TTTTTTTTTTTTTTTTTTTTCTGTATTTTTTGTTTCTTCTTCCTGTATTACTGCGTTAATCCCAAAAGGTAAAATAACTACACTCATTTTTTTATTTTAATTACTTCACCTGTTGGATAACGTAGCTACGATTAAAACAAAACAAAACATTCAGCAACGAACTGCAGCTACAGAAAAAAAAAAATATTTTGGAAAATTCCCGAATTAAATTTAATTTAGACAGGAAGATAATAATCAAAACAAAACAACAGAAAAACAACAGTCCCCCAAATTAATCTTAAAATTCGGTGGAACTCATTTCTTTGTATAATTTTTTTTTTCTTTTCTTTCTCTCCTTCTCTCGTTTTTTTTCTTTCTCTTGTTAATAAATTTAAAAATAACAGATATCCTAATTGTTGTTTATCACATTCATTATTACTCCTCTATAACTTTTATTCCAAACAACAAACAACTTTTGGAAAACCAAAGTTAATTAACGAATAAGTTTATAATAATTATATTTTATTGATAATAGTTTGCCTTGCACATTTATTACCTTTAATCAGACATAACTCTCAATTTAATTTAATTTATTTTGTTGTGAAAATAAACCAACTTTTAATCAAATTATTTAATTGTTTTACTTTACTTTCAAAGAAACAAGATAAACAACAATTCGTGAGAATATCGATTTTGGAAATTTTAAGAATTGCGAGATATTGAAAAAATAAACAACCTTACTGTTTTATTAAAATATATTAAATTTTGTTTTCCTTCTCTTCGATATAAAACTAAAGTATAACTATAATATTTTTCAACTAAAGGATAAGAAAAACAATAAGAATTTTTCATTTTATTTAAAATATTAATATAAGTGGTTATAAAACATCCAAAATGTCTTCGTCTATCAGTGATTCACAAGGGAAATTAAATGAACTCCTTGAAAGTATTAGAAAAGAGTTTAATAATGTTTCTCAAGAGGCAAATTCTTACCGTCTACAAAATCAAAAAGATTTTGATTACAAAATTAATCAAAATTTAGCAGAAATGCAACAAATTAGAAATACTGTGTATGAATTAGAGTTATCTCATAGAAAGTTAAAAGATTCTTATCAAGAAGAAATAAATAGATTGAAATTAGAAATCTCTCAAAAGGATCAACAGATTGCAACATTAAGTCAACAACAACAACAGTTACAACCTCAACAACCTCAACAGCCACTACCTGTCCAACCTCAAGTTCCTCAACTACCTCAAGTACAATCTCAAACCCAGTTACCTCAAGTTCAACCAATTGCAACTGAAGCTCCAAGTGTTCAATTGCCAGGTACAAGTGTAGGTGCTCCAAAAGCTCCAGAAGTTGCTCGTCCTTTAACTCAAGGTCCAGGTAATGGTCCAACTTTAGCTCCATTAATCAGTGCTTTAGGTTCACAATTACAGCAACCACAAACCAATGAACAAGAAGTTCCAAAGGCCACAACAGCTTCAATCCCACCAATTACCACAACAGAAACTGCTCAATCAACCACTACTCCAAGCATGCCTCCAATTGCGCCAGCTCCAATTGCACCAGCCGGCAGTGCATCTCCAACATCTCCAGTCACAAAGACAGAAACGACCATTCCAGAAACTAAGACAGAAAAGGAAGCTAAGCCAGAAGAACCTCAACAAGCTACTAATGATCATTACCTAGTCCCATATGACCAAAGAGCTAGTCAAGTTAAACCAATCCCACCATTTTTGTTAGACTTGGATTCTCAACAAGTGCCGGATAATTTGAAGAAACAAGCTGAAGATTACTATGTTTTATATAATCCAGCTTTACCACGTTCCGTTGATGTTGATTTATTATTTTCTTTGGACCATACCTCTGTTGTCTGTTGTGTTAAGTTTAGTAATGATGGTGAATATTTAGCCACCGGGTGTAACAAAACTACACAAGTCTACAAGGTCTCCACAGGTGAATTAGTTGCTAAATTAATGGATGATAATGCTAATCCTGTCTCCGGTACTTCTAGCTCCGAGGAGAATGGTGCTAATGGATCAGGTAACAGTAATACTTCTTCCGCTGATTTGTATATTCGTTCTGTTTGTTTTTCCCCAGATGGGAAATACCTTGCCACTGGTGCTGAAGACAGATTGATTAGAATTTGGGATATTGCTCAGGCCAAGATTGTTATGGTATTACAAGGTCACGATCAAGATGTCTACTCTCTAGATTACTTCCCATCAGGTGATAAATTAGTTTCTGGTTCTGGTGACAGAACCGTTAGAATGTGGGATCTAAAGACTGGTCAATGTTCTTTAACTCTATCTATTGAGGATGGTGTTACCACTGTTGCTGTTTCTCCAGGTGATGGTAAATACATTGCTGCTGGTTCCCTAGATCGTGCGGTTAGAGTATGGGATTCTGAAACTGGTTTCTTAGTAGAGAGATTAGATTCCGAAAATGAATTAGGTACGGGACATAAGGATTCAGTCTACAGTGTTGTATTCACTAGAAACGGTAACAAGGTTGTATCAGGTTCTCTTGATAGAACTGTGAAATTATGGAATCTACGTAATTCCAGTGGTGCATCAAATACTGCCGAAGCAAACCAATCTTCAAAGACTACAAATGGAACATGTGAAGTTACATATGTAGGACATAAGGATTTCGTATTATCGGTAACGACAACAGCAAATGATCAATACATTCTTTCTGGTTCGAAAGATCGTGGTGTTCTATTTTGGGATACACCTACAGGGAATCCACTTCTAATGTTACAGGGTCACAAAAACTCTGTTATATCGGTGGCTGTTGCCAATGGTAAGCCACTAGGTGAACAATATGAAGTTTTTGCCACTGGTAGTGGTGATTGCAGGGCAAGAATCTGGAAATTCTCGAAAACTAACGGTCATGATGAACAAAACAAAATATCTGAAGCTTGAAGAAAAAAAAAATAAATCAAATAAAAACTAAAAGACAACGAAAACTGGTTGAATAATCGATCTTTGTATCATATTTTTTCCAACATTCAGCGGCTCTAACTGATAGATATTTTTATTGCTTACTAAGGATTATGGGTATTGTTGTTCTCTTTAGCTTCTAATTATGATTAGAAAGTACTCAAATCCTTAGTTATTGTATAATGTAATTAACTTGTAACAACAGAATAATATATATATATATGTACTTATATATCAAAATAAACAAAAACAATTAGAAACAAAATGAGTTGAATGAATTTCCAGAAGAGTAGTGAATGGGATTAATTTTAGATATATATTTATTTGTTAGAATACATTGAATATAAATTCTCAAAATATTTAATTTAAGCAAAAAGATATGAATAATTGAAAGAAATTTACTTTGGCAAACCAGTAGATTGGTCAATCAGGCATTCTTCTGAATTTTGTGGACCAGGACCAACCCTAGTTAATATAATTCTAGTGATTCCTTGATATAATTCAGGATCAATAAAGAACTCAATCTTATCCTTGTACTGGTTTTCGAAAGTATTAATAAACCCATTTAATTGTTCCTTATTATATTTTGGTTCCCAACCTTTAACTTGGTGTAGAAGTTTATATAAGAAGGCAAATAACTTCTCCTCATTCTTTTCCAAATAATACAAGACTGCATTTGGGCCTGCATCAAAAGTGTAAGCGACAATAGTTTCATTGAAAAAGGCATTAATTGAATGTACTAATCTAATAACTTTTTTAGAAGTGTCGTTAATATAAAAAATTGGTGGGTATGAGTCTAAACATGTAGCATGGAAAGAATTAGAATCTTTCATAGTCATTTCAGCAAATCTTGGAAAATCACGATTTTCAATGGCCTCTTTCATTTCTACGAAACGTTTTGGGACAATCGATGTTATCCTTTCTTTGAATAAATCAGAAGTAGCAACAGTTAGTTGCATACCTTGAGTAGATGGGGTATCCTTCTTAACATCACTGACAACTAAGATTGCTGCCTTCATTTCAGGCCAAGCCTCTTGAGGTAGAACTTGGACAGCCATAGAATCTAAACCATCCTCCGCTTCACCCATCTCCCAAGCAACATAACCACCAAATAGGGACCTACAGGCAGAACCGGAACCCTTACGAGCGATTCTCGATAATTCTGACATGTCTTGAGGTAACTTATATAATTTGGCGACTGCTACTACTAAAGCCGCAAACCCTGCTGCTGAAGAGGCTAATCCTGCAGCTGTTGGGAAATTATTTTCAGAGACAATATGCAACCTCCATTGAGACATCTTAGGTAAAGAAGCATCTTGTGACTCCAATTGATTCCTTAAGCCACGTAAATCTTGTAAACAATCTTGAGTTCTTTTATTGGTTAAGGATTCTTCTTTACCATTCAACCATAATGTATCCTTCTCAAAACTTTCAGATGTAGCGGCGGATGTCAATGTTCTTAGATCATCTTGAGCCAATGTAACAGAGATAGATGAATTGGTTGGTAGGTTCAAGTTAGCATCTCTTTTACCCCAGTACTTTAAAGTAGCGATATTTACGGGTGCTGTAGTTGAAGCAGTGTATACAGTCATATTTTTATCTATCCTTCTAAAAAACAAATATAGATTGGTGAGTCTCAAAGAATACTGAAATTAACTTCCCTTAAAGTGAACCAATTAAGACAGGCATATCCATCTCGACCCATCCTTCTTTATATACACATTCACATATTGCAAAACTTGCCTCTGCTCTGTGTTGGTCTCGAAGCCTCTAGCTCGTTTGTTAGTGTTCTTGCTTCACCAGAGGGACGTATCGGGGAAAGGCGAAATTTTTCTCTTTGGGACCGTATAGACTAAGATAAAGTATCGTTTAAATGGAAGCAGAGATGGTTTTGAAGATATAATCAAAATCAATCACAAGGTTGTGAGGTATTGAAGAGGGATTGTAAAAACTATTGCAAACCTGTAGGTGAATATTTATTAGAATAAACTGGGTTTTGCTGTTGTGTTGCAGACTATGTTGAGATTATGTGTTCCAAGCCGTACGCTACAAACGGTTTCTAAAGGTTTATCAAATGGCCAGTTTAGTTCAAAAATACTAAAATATAGATTTGTTGGATCCCAACCATCCACATTTACTAAGAATCTCATTATAAGATGGAATAGTACTCTTTCTGGAAAAAATGAGTTAAAAACTACATTTTCTGAAGAGCAACTAGCGTTAGCAAGAGAACAAAGACTTAAAGGGTTAGGTCCATTTGTATCTAAATTACCTGAACGATGGATCCCTTATGCTGAACTAATGAGGTTGGAAAAACCTGTTGGTACATGGCTGTTGTATCTGCCTTGTTCTTGGGCTATTGTTATGGGCGCCATGGAGACAAGTGCAACTTTGGGACAAACAGCTTGGATGTTAGGTCTATTTGGAGTCGGTGCGTTGATAATGAGAGGCGCTGGTTGCACAATTAACGATATATTTGATAGAAAACTCGACGACAAAGTTATTAGGTCGGTCGAACGACCAATTGCATCCAAAAGAGTATCGGTAAGGAACGCTTCACTATTCTTAGGGGCTCAAACTGCTGTTGGAATGGGTATTCTTGCACAATTACCAGCTAATTGTTGGTGGTTGGGCCTGGCCTCTTTACCTATCGTCTTTGCTTACCCTCTATTCAAGAGATTTACTTACTATCCACAAGCTGCCCTAAGTGCTTGTTTTAATTGGGGTGCATTATTAGGGTTCCCAGCAATGGGAATAATGGACTGGTCTACTATGATTCCATTATATGTAGGTTCTTACCTGTGGTGTATGATTTACGATACTATCTATGCTCACCAGGACAAAAAATTTGATATCAAAGCAGGCATTAAGTCTACAGCTTTAGCATGGGGTAAAAATACGAAGACCGTATGCAATGTATTAGCCACTTCACAATTTGCTATGTATGCATTGGCAGGTATTAATAGTGGTTTAATTATGGGTCCCGGTTTTATTGGAGGGTTATCGATTTTTGCCTATAGGGTATTTACCATGATTAAGAAAGTAGATTTGGATAATCCAGATGATTGTTGGAAAGCATTTACTGGCAATATCAAGACAGGGTTGTACTTCTCCTACGCTTTGTTCTTTGACTACCTATTACAATTGATGGGATTCCTCTAAATTATCATAAAAACAAACTTTCAGCGTGTATATAAATGTAACTATTAGCTAAATAGATTATTTGCTACATATTTTTATTATTCTTTAAAAATCAAAAAATGATACTAGAATGTAAAATTACATCAAAGGTGTAGTAACTTAAATTTATTTACAAGGATTCTCTATATGCTGATAATGATATACATAAATAGATTTATTTACTTATTGTTCGATTTAGTTTGGGTGTTATTTACAATATTCTTTATCAGATTCGTCTGTATGTCTTTTTTATTTTTATTGTGGAACTTAACCTTGTTATTAGCATTTAATTTCATCATTTCCTGGACAATAATATTTTTCTGTGTTGCATTAATAGTTTCTTCCATTCTAGACTTGTTACCCCCTGACTGGTTAGTTTCATCTACATCGTTAGATAAGATGTTTTGATCCTTACCGTTACCGCCAAATAAAGCAGATAATACTCTACCGTCAGATTTCCAAACAGTACCAGATCTAGGAAGAATATATAATCTATTCAAGGGTGTCTTTAAAGTGGGGCTTAGATCTTTCAAGTAAAATGAAAAACTTGCCTTATCATCAATCCCCTGGGGACCCTTCCCGGTATATATACGGACATTAGAGCTTCTAACTATATCACTCATAGGTCTAGTCACAGTAATCTCACGACCGAGAAGAGCAGAAGTACGCGTAATTTCACATTTAGGTATTTGCTGCACTTGTGGGATATATTTAACCCTTGTCACGGTCCTTGATAGTACAAATAATGAACCAAGTGATATGCTTAATGGGATTAATGCCATCCCTATAGGACCATATGCCTTCATTAGAAATAATGCATCTTTCTTTTCTTCACCGTCAGCAATCTTGTATTGTAAAGAGGCACTTAACTTAGAAACATCTGCGAATGAAAGACTGTACACGACTAGAACAGTCGATAATGATAACGCACCTGCACGATATAAGGGACGCAACTTATATGAATAGATGACTTGTGGGGCATCCCTAGCTGCCAACTCCGAGAGTAATTTAAAAACGTTACCTGCCATTTTAAAACCACGAAAAAGTATTGAATAGCCAATTGGAATTTTTCGAGAGAGACTCCTAGACGATAAGTTAATGAAACATTAGTCATCTAATTGAACTTTTTCTGTTTGACTTAAATAAATATATCTAATATTTATGCAATATATTCACGTGGTTCGCGGTACTTTCTCAGGGCAGAGATAATGAAAATGTTTAAAGTGACGATGAAAACGAGGCGGTCTAAATATACTAATTTTAATAATAAAAATAGAAAGACGATTTATTGAATAAAATTGAGAGGTCAACTGCTTTTAGGCCTATACAATAGAACCACTGATCCATTCGTGTTTCCCATATCTTTGAAATCGAGACCATCATTATTGCTTGTAAGTCGTGCATCTTTTTTTATATTTATTAATCTCAATTTGAGTCAAAAAAGAGAATTTTACTGCCAATAAGTTATTTAGCCAAGGGTACATCTACAGAATATTAAAAGTATGGATCCTTCTAATGAGAAACAGTTGCATAGCCTAACATCTACGCCGGTTATGAATGCCATTGAGGAAGAAGAGGATATGCCTCCTACACCAATTGAACCAGTTGCATCAGAGTTTAAGACACCATACCTGGGAGATGCAACTTCTAATTTATCATCTACGGATCTTTTTCAAACAGCTAAGGCGACTTTTCCTAATTCACAAGTACAGAACAAATTCATGTCCCCACCAGTAGCAAATTTCTACTCTCTAAAGGATGGCAATGATTCTAGTTCCAGTCTTATATACAATTCAGGGTTCACATTTGGTGGCAGTAATAAGAACGGGGGCAACAATACACCTACAACAAACACCCCTACAAAAAATGTTCCTGTTCCAGCAACTTCTAATATTAAAAGAGAACCTAGAAGGAATTCTCTCAAATATATACCTGGTTCAAAATTGGCCCCACCCCCACTTTCAAGAAATAGATCTCCAATGAGAAATACATCACCTGAAGTAATACCGACATCGAAAAGATCGTCTACATATTTAGAATCTCCATTTAATTTTGCCGAGGCGTATAATGAAGCACCAACTACAACAATTACATCACCACATAAGTCAACTCCACCCACATCAGCAGGTTCAAGGGCCTCATTCCGTAAGGGGCATCGTTATAAACATTCTTCTGTGTCTATGAATTTTTTCCAGGATGCTGAAGTGAAGATCCCTTTGAATATTGCGAAATCTTTACCCATTCCTGATTTAAGTGATATTTTCCAGAATCTACCATGGCCTAAAGCACACATACAGATTGCTATTGTATCCCTGCAGCTTATGTTGGGTATCTGTATCTTTCTTGTAGGGAATGCCAAAGCATGGAGCAATTTCATTACACTGTCACACTTCATAACTTATGATATAATAGGTTCTCTTGCTATCATTTTTATCGAAACATTGTCTCAATTTGAAGCATGGTTCACAGGGACTATTACATTCCCATTTGGACTAAACAGAGTGGATGTGTTATTAAGTTTTGCTTTAGCTGTATCCTTATGTTTTGTGGGGTTGGATCTATTATTTCATATGTTAGAAGAATTTATTGCAATTTTTGTTGAAGCATCTAAACCAGAACATCACGGCGACATTGTTGCTCAAATACCCCACTCACACCACGATGGTATGGAAGCTGGGCAATTGATTTCTGGAAGTAATATTACTATGTGGTATACTATTGTACTTTCCAGTCTAGTCTTGGCAACATTATCATTATACAAAACGTTTTACGCTAACACAAATAGTAAATTGAAGACAAAAAATCCAATAATCACAATAATATACTCGTTTTACCTATTAATTTTCCCTAGTTTACCTGACAATTTGTCAAGTATATCTGATTATATTGCATCTTTCTTGATCTCCATGTTTATTTTGGTGCATGGTTTGACAATCGCGGAATGGACTTCAACTATTTTATTATTGGGGTTCTCAACTACGGTATTACCAACATCAGCATTCTTACTAGACCAGGACACTCATTCTCACGATCAACTAGAGGATATAAATAGTCATAATGAAAAAATGAATGTTAGTGCAAGCAATTTAAATAATGCAATCATTGGCCGCAAACGATCAAAAAGCTCTTTACCTGTAGCTACATCCATGAAAAATCACTATCACAATAGTGATGATTCAATCTTACACACATTCTTTTCTATTTTCAAACATAATAAACTTGTGAATTCAAAGAAATTTAATAATCCATCCAATATCAAAGCAATTATTAAGGAACAAATAGAGAGTTTATCAGAATTTAAATCAAGATGTCATCTAAATGACGGTGACTTGGTAATCATTAAAACCAACTTTAGTCTATTTGTAGTACTATTAAAGATCGACTTGAAGGGTGGTTCTAACGATGACGAGATAGCATTAAGACTAGCTGTCGATAAATGTATCAAAAAATGCTTACCCAACTCCGAGACCACAATAGAAATTGATAGAATTTAATACTTAAATTGTTGAAATAATGCACCAATTTTAATAGAAACCACAATATATACCTATTTCTTAAATATTTAAATAAATATTAAATAATATCTTAATCTATTTTGTTAATGCCATTTCTTTAAGATCGTTCAATGCATCTTTATATATTGAATCCTCTGTATCAGAGATATCCATGATTTTGTTATAGTTTTCAATTGACTCTGTGTCTTCAGCCTTTTCATTCTTTTCCATATCGATGTCACCTTCTTCATCCAAGTTTCCTTGTTCATCAGCTTTAGACCAAGATATTGGTTTAAGACCATCGATGTCTCTGCTGATATCATTTGAGACATGTTGTGTCCAAAACTTCTTTTCACCCTTACCTACTAAGTAATTGTATGCGTTACCAGAGGCCCCAGCTCTTGCAGTTCTACCACAACGATGCACGTACTGTTGTGAAGAGATCGGAACATCGTAATTTACTATATCTGTCACATTAGTAATATCTATACCTCTTGACATGATATCTGTAGTAATAAGCACAGAAATATTATAGTTATTTGCTTTTGTTTCTGAAAATTCAGTAACTAATTTTCTATTTTGTGCTCTTGAGTTATTAGAATTAAATGAATTCACTGAAATATTTTCGATCATATTTTTTTTTTGTAAGATAATATTAATCAAAGTTGCTAATCTTAGAGAAGCCTCATTTGATTTAACAAACACAATCAATTTCGCAGAAGAGCTTAATAATGGGAATAAGTGTAGTAATAATAATGGTTTGTACATGCTCTTTGCAGTTGGTATAGTGATATTGAATTCTTGCAAAGTATTTGGTAAGTTGTACAATTTGACAGAATCTGTTAAGAATAACCTTGGATTGTAGAGATGTAAGTCATGCAATTTTTGTGTATCTGTAGACAAAGTAGCACTAAACACCATCTTGATTACATTACCTGGTAAATGATCTAATTTATCTTTATCTATTGTAGTCATCAATTCGGAACACCAATTTTGAAAAGATTGATTTAATAATCTATCTGCTTCATCTAAGATTAAAAATTTTAAATTCTTTAATGAAATGGATTTCATTTGTAAATGATCTACCAATCTACCAGGGGTAGTAATAAAAATATCAGGTTCGGATTGTTGTAATTTTCTATTTTCTTCCCTTAAGGATTGATCCATCTTAGCTGTAGTGATGATAATACCAGTACCTTTTACTAATTTATTGAGTGTATCGAAGACTTGTTGGATTAATAATTTTGTTGGAACAATAATTAAAACTCTTAATCTGTTTACAGTTCTATTTGATAAAGCTTGAATGATTGGAATTGAGTAAGCTAATGTTTTACCTGAACCGGTTGATGCATTAATTAATAGATCACCTATACGTCTTGTTAAATTTTTCTTTGTCAATTTCAGTGATCTGTTTAATACATTTAAAATGTTATCAAGTAAGATAGTTTGAATAGGGAAAGTATCCTTTGAAAAATTTGTTTGAATATTTTGTAATAATTTGGGAGTCAATTCATCTTTATATTCATCGAATGGTTTAATCATAGTGCTATCATAAAATACCTTTTTTGTATTTATCCATGCAGTAGAATGACTCTCCTCAATGGCACTTTTAACTGTCATATCAGCTCTTACAATATCAGGTTGAGGAATATAATCTAATTCGTGGGTTTCCACAGTATCAATGGTATCAATGGAAGGTTGGACATCAGTAATAGTGTCTTTCTGTAAATCAGTCTCCTTTTTAGCCTGTTTTTGAATATTTTCTTGAAGTGAAAGAGTTTGATGGAATCTAGACATCACCAAAGTATGTTTCCCATCATCATCATTATCATCATCGCTATTCTCTAGGTTTGCTACAGTTTCTTCGTGTTCTGATTCATTTTCGCTTTCTGAATCAGACACTTCATCAGCTTCGTTAGTCACGGACTCCTGCTCTTCTTCATCTTCATCTTCATCTTCATCTTCACTTTCACCTTCACTCTCTACATCTCTTGATCTCTTCAATGGAATCATAACATTTTTCTGCTCTTGTTCATCGTTAGTTTGAGAATTATCAAAGACCTTTGTTGGGTCAAACCTGGCAGCAAACATTTCTCGAATATATCTAGGTTAATATATAAACTTTATTCAAAGCTCGTTACGATTACTATTATATATATATAGTTGAATAAGCATATAAATCCGATTCTAAAACATGTCAATGTTAAAATACCGCAATAATCCCTCTTGAAATGTGTATCCTTCCAGCTCATCTCATCTCATCGGATCCATACAAAATTTCAGCTCTAAGCGAAATTTCAAGAAAATTTTCAGTGTAAGCAGTAAAATATCATAATTAATAGAAACGCAATATCTTGAAAGTATACACATAACGGAACCTGATAATGTAGGCCTCCAACACCAGCAGAATCTACTATATGATTACAAAAAATAGACCACTGACAATACAATCACACATATATAAATGTGAAACAGCCTTGTAAATTACTCTTTCATCTAAAATCTAGTACTTATATCTTTGTATTTCACAAGCTCATCACTATAGACGACATGCCTTTTCCCGCCTAAATGAAAAGCGAACCGCCTCGAAATTTTTCATTTTTGGCGGCGAATTCGGAATAAACAAAATTCTTTGTTATTGGGGGAAGAGAGGATTAACGAATTTGAATTCACTTACTTAAAGGAGGATTGCATATTTAATTTAATAGGTAACAGTCTAACGTAGAATATATATGTAAACATAAAGTTATATATACATATACACACACATCATGCATGCTACAATACGAGTACTAGCAAGGTCTGCTTGGAAGGGACCAAATATCGTTCCACTGCCTTTAAGGGAAGCAATGTCAAAAGGGACGCCAATCAGAACGAATGCACGTTCTGCCACAATACTTCCTCAGTTTGTTGGACTAAAATTTCAGATACATAATGGTAAAGAATATGTTCCATTAGAAGTCAGTGAAGATATGGTCGGTAGAAAACTAGGGGAGTTTGCACCAACAAGAAAGAGACTCACATTCACAAAGAAATGATAATCAAAAAATTGATTATTGTTATTCATCTGTGTTTTATAATAAATAGCACATACACACAAGTACATATTTGTAAATAGTAGTACCATCATTAATATATACATTCTTTTTAACGTTTAAATATTTCATAGTCGATATCTGGAAATCGCGTTGCACGACTGGCTTATTTTAAATGTTTTAGCCAAAAAAGTGCGAAGAAATTCGAAATTTCTATTTCAAAGGAAGGGAGACTTTAATTACAAAACAGGAAACGCAAGTAATGTTTTAAAAGGACAGACGAAAGTTTGGAGAAGAAAACTCAAGTCAACTACAAATTACACTGTTTGAAGAGACGTTCGCGTATATCCTCTAAGAAAGCTATCATCAAACGCTCAATTTTTCAATCGAAGAGATGCTAAGAACGCTGTTTACAGGAAGAATCTCGGCGCTTGCAACAAAGTCATCATCACAACCATTATCCAGTATGCTAATGGGTTTATCGCTTAATAAAACAGCCTTGAATCCAGTAATGCAACTATCTCAACACAATACATTTAGTACATCAGGCGTCTTTAATGCTACTGTCAATCAAATTAAGAGAGGCTCGGGTCCACCGAGACGTAAGAAGATTTGTGTGTCTCCGGATTTAGAAAGATCACCATTTAAGAAAGGTGTCGTCCTTAGAGTAATGGTATTAAAACCAAAGAAACCAAATTCAGCACAACGGAAAGCATGTAGAGTTAGACTCTCTAATGGTAGAATTGTATCTGCTTATATTCCTGGTGAAGGACATAACGCACAAGAGCATAGCATCGTGTATGTAAGAGGTGGAAGATGTCAAGATTTACCTGGTGTGAAATACCATCTCGTAAGAGGTGCTGGAGATTTGAGTGGTGTTGTAAACAGAATATCGTCAAGATCAAAGTATGGTGTGAAGAAACCAACCTCAGAGCAATAGAAACAAAAAAAAAACATATTCAATTTTGAGAGCTTGAAAAAAAAGGTATATGACTGTGAAAATTTTCAGTCATATACAGGCATATATCTATATATTCATAAACATATTTATGTAAATGTTTACTTGTAAATATACTTACTTCTGCAACAATTTTTGATTACAAGATGTTTGTTATGATGTTTCTGACGTGCGCAGACACCTCGTATTAAATGATATGGTCTATGCGCTTTTAGGACTAGCTTCCTTGATGCGAAATTTGACAAAATAGGAGCAAAGTGAATTTTGGTAATTTCCCTTGTAATAATAAAGAACAAGATCTCCCTTCACACTTACTTAAAGAAAAAGGAATCGATTGAGTTTAGGTGGAATATATTGCTTAATTAAAAAAATTATCTATCATAAATATATTTATACTTAGTGAATAGTACAACAATAACGGAAGGATACACAAGGGTAAACAATGTTACATTTACAACCTAGTAATTTACTGATTCAAAAAACGTTTACAGAGGCCCTTGAGGCCAATAGTACTGGTTCACCATTAACCTTTGATCGTATCATCTCTGATTTTGATTATACAAACTTCCATGTCTCAAATGATCCAGAGAATAAAGGTTTATTATTTTTAAGTGTTAAAACCAAAGCTTGGCAATCCATTTTGACATGTGACAATGGTTCACAAGGTGTCTTACCATACTTGGCCGCTAAATATACAAAGTTACCAGGTATTACAGTGGCTGGTGGTGCTGAAGCTGGATATGATTATACTTTGGCCATCGATCTTTCTCAATTGACTTATGAAACTATTGTTCAATTGTCCTTATTAAAGACAAGCATCATGAGTTATCCATTTTTCTTAGCGTTCCAAGAATTTGCAACTTTAAGTGCGAACAATCCAACTACAACTACAGTGACTGTTGGTAGATTCAATGAAGAAACTGGTAACGTATCTTCAATTGATGTCTCTAGTACATTGTATACCATTCAATATCGTGATAATGAAAATATGTTTATTAAACCTTCAAATGATCGTATCACTGTAATCTTTGAAACATTCTTTCAAGATGAAACTGATAAAGTATTCGGTAAAGTTTTCCTTCAAGAATTTGTTGATGCTCGTAAGAGAAATCGTGATATCCAAAGTGCACCTCAAGTGATATTCTCCACAGAACCACCATTAGAATTACAAAATCATTTACCAAAAGGTAATGAAGTAGGAGATGAAGCATCAAAACGTTTTATTACATTTGTTTTATTCCCACGTCATTTTGCTAATGAAGAATTACAATTCAAGACAGTATCACAATTAACATTATTCAGAAATTATTTCCATTATCATATTAAATGTTCTAAAGCTTATATGCATTCAAGAATGAGATACCGTGTAGATACATTTGTTAAAGTTTTGAATAGAGCCAAGGTTGACGAAGATGAGGACGAAAGTGGTGGGAATAGTAATGAAACAAAGAGAACTATTACAGGTAGAAAGATGGTTTATTAAGAAAGAAAGAAAAAAAACAGCGACCGTATATATAAAAGTATGTACAAAGCATAATAAATAATAAATTGAATGAAATAAATTTTAAAGTAAAGAAAAGTTCAGAAATATTAATGAATTAATAAATTATATTATTAAAGAGGAAGAAGATATAAAAGTTATATAAATGAAACATAAATACGTTAAAGAGTTGGGGGGGCGAGAGAAGGCATACTCATGAGGATGTGTCCAGTCTCATATTAATTGATTAATTAAACGATAGTTTCAGCGGCTCCCTTTGGGGTGAATAAGACATGAACGGCACCGTTCTTACCAGAGAACAAATGAGCAATCTTATCACCATCATCCTTAATTGCGTAACCAGTTTTACCTAATTCATTAGCAGTGAAATGTAAAAGATCTTCAATATGAGTCTTTTGGAATTCTTTTGGGAATTTTTCTGCAACACCTTCAGCATAAGTAGTATGTAAATTTTTATCGACAGATTGTCTACCAATGGAATGAGGTAACAATTCCTTCCATCTCTTTGAAGAGGTATCATTTAAATGCATATCAGCCATAGCGTTCATTGTGTAAGTAGTTTGCTTTTTCGAGTTTTGTTTTATTTGAGTGTATCTATATAAATATATTTAATACTGGTGAGTTTTTGAAAGTTACAATAAAAAAAACAACAATCTTAAAACAAGTCGACTTGCAAGAAAAGGTCAAAACTGATAAGGATAAACCTTGCTTTATATATGTAATATTTTTTATTAATTCTTCGAGATATGTTCTTTCAAATTTAAAAGTTTAAAATGCGAAGACATTTCCACTCCCTGTCGAACAACTCCTTATTACCTAACCAGCTTAGATGTATTTACTATTACAATGATAGACAAAAATATTATTCTGGAAATTAAAACCAGCAAAACTACACTTTAGTTACTCTCCTTGTTTACATGAATAGGTTGCTACAGATCTACAATTATAACTATCAAGGGATGAAACAAGAACTAACAATTACAACTATACATTAACTGGATTACACAGATATTATATTTCGGTAAACAGACAAGCGAAGTTATAGCTAACTAACCCCTTGTCAAAATACTAATAAGACACCATTCAGCATTGGAACTTATCATTATTTTTGTTGTTGTTGTTGTTGTTGTTGTTGTTGTTGTTGTTGAAGTATATATCGCTTTCTAGGCAGTAAAATGTGTTATATAATCCATTTATAGTGACACTTTCAGGGGGGGGGGAGCAGTGTCAAAAATGTTTTACAGTTTACATATTCTTGCCTATTTTAACGTAATTAGGAAGGAGAGGCAAAGAGTTATTTATGGGTTAATAGAGACACCTTTATTTTAAAAGAGTAAAGCTAATGTCAGCAGCTTCTGTGTACCAAAGAGGGAATGATGTCAACGGGCAGGGAACGGTGTACAACTCTTTCAGGGAGGGCTTTGCTAATAGGATTTACTAAGAGACGTTTCTGAAAACACAGCAAGGAATATAGCTATTAATAATGTCAGTAACAAGGAGTTAAGTGGTTATCGGGTTAATATATCTTCAACTTTTATGTAGAGGTATGGACGTCAAATGACAGAGAAAACGACGGAGCTTGGTGATGAATATTTTTTTAGGGTATATCACCTTCAACGGATAGAATATGCGTGGGGGTGAGAGAAAAAGTGGGATTATTTTTGTATTTGGCGTGGGGGTGGGGGTCGGAGTGTTACCCGGCAAAATATAGGTGTTACCCTACATAATCAATTTTTCTTATTTTCAGTTTGGCAAGGCGGTTTGACTTTCGTCTTTTGCGATGTGCAGCTTAGCAACTACAACAAAGAGAAGAGATGCAATCATCCCAAGTGATGACTTCATTAAAATATGTATATGTTTATATTTTTAAGAAAAATTCTTGATCAAAACTTTGTAACTATCGTTTGATATAGTGGGTTATATGACTATACTGAAAAAGAAACAAGTTTCGATCTGTTACTTAGTTTGTTGATAGTACAGATAATTTAGTGTCAAATCGAATGGTCCCCTATATATAGAATTTTATTGTTTTTTTTGCTTTGTTGTAGTGATGTTCTGGATACTGTGTAGTACGTTCGTTACTTTATTGCTATCGTTACTTGCGATAGATAGATATTTCTCATTTAAATTACACAAGAATTCTTTCCCATTAACTTTGGCAATGGTTTCATTAAATATGTTTGTATTATTAGTGACAGATATTTTATTACCATGGGATTTAAAGACAGGCAATAATACTTCAACTGGAACTAGTTTACTTTGGTTATTAATATATTGGACTCAATTTATAATATGTTGGTTAATTATACCTGTACAAATATCTTATCTTTCATTGAAATATATCACTTTAAAGATAGATATTAAACAAAGATTATCAAAAGCAATTATGGATAATATTAAATTTTATTCTTTGTGTTTATTAGGTATATTTATTGGTTTCACATATTTAATTTTTTCAACAGGTCATTCTCCATTAGATTTTAAACCTTTATTAATTTCATTATCACATTTATATTCGTTAAGTTATACCTTAATTTTATTATCTTCGGGATTAATTATGTTCCCAAGGGATTTATTAAAACCTTTAATTCATTCTTTAAAGAAATCTCAAACCATTATAAATGATTCTACAACAATGGAAAGAGATCCGAATGTAAATAATGCATTGTTTGTTGAATTAAGTAAAACTAATGAAGATTTAAATGATGCGCAATTATCTTTATCAGAAAAAGCTGCAATGATTCAAAGTACACAAGAATTGACTAACGGTGATATTGTATTTAATGAATTATTAATCGAAGTTAAAGATGAAATTAAATATAAATTATCAATTATTAATGATTCTTTAACAACTGATCAAAATTTATTACCGTTACAAACCTCTTCGATAAATTCTTTAGAGAAATTAAATAATAATTATAATAAATTTATTACAAATTATTATAACTTTATTTATTATAAGAAAAAATCAGATGAAATTATTCATATTTTAGCACAATCTTATAATTCAACAATTTTATCACCAAAAAATATTATTATTACTATATTTGGATTTATTGCAATGATTTTATCTTGTTTAATTATTATAGTGGAAATTTTACCGAGAACAAAGTTAAATGATCATTTATTTTGGCAAAATAACGATGATGTTTTCATTTCAACTTTATTAATATTATCATATAACACCATTTGTTCATTATACGCAATGAGTAAATTTAAATTTAATAATTTCCATTTGATTGCTAATGGTAATAGTAATCCATCAAATGTTCTCTATTATTCTTTATATTCTTCAAGATTATTATTCCCTCTTTGTTTCAATCTTATGACACTTTTACCTAAAGAAGTTGCTAATGAAGCAAATTTCAATATAACATTATATCATGATTTGAAATTAATCTCATTCGTTAATTTCTTAAATAATTATTTACCAATGTGTTTCATGATTTTGGTACCAATAAGTTATAAATTTGATATTAAAAGGAAAATTTTATTAAAAATATTAGGTGAAGAATATTATTACCAATTTTTCGGTATGATGATATACGAACCTGTCGATGATGTAGAAAATAATTATAATAATGAAAATGATAGACAAACTTATGATAGAATTAATGAAGATTATGAATATTCATTAAAAGATGGAAGGTATATTTTCGAAAGAATGGCAGCAAATGTGAATTTTGATAATAATTCATCTTTAGCACCAATTAGTCTGCATGATAATGTCTCTACTACGTCACACTTATCCACTTCAACAAATAAAAATAATAACAATATAAATAACACAATTATATAATAATATATTGATACTATTGAACTCGAATATTTTACAATTTAGAACTCATCTGTTATTATGGTTAATTTTTATTTATTTTCTCTTCTATTCTTATCTTAATCAGTGCTAAACGTTAAAAAAATACATATCGTAAAAAACCTAACGCTATGTTGAGAGCAAAAAATAATCAATGTTACAATACAGATACTTATATATATACAGAGATATTAAAAATGATTAAATCCAATTAAGAAAATGTTTCCTTTTAATATTAAAAAGTGTTAAAAAATATTAATACAATTATAATTGTGTATGTGAAATGGTATAATGTGTTATATCTTATGGGAAAAGAAGGGAATACAAAAGAATTAAAAATAAGCATATACGTTCAAAGTTTAATTACAAAGTATAGTCATTGTATTACTATTGTTACTATTGTATTTTTTTATTTTTTATTTATTTGGACGAGTTATTTACTGTTCTGATGTTTCCTCTTTAAATGGTTCATTGAATTCAATCTTGTTATGGAACTTGTATTTCTTTTTCGTAACAAAGACATCGGTCAATGCATCATCATCGACAAACCATGATACACGACCAGCCGCACCTTCATTAACAATACTACTTGGTAAACCTTTCTCAGGTCTCTCCATAATTGTTTTAATAACAGGTGCCTTAACAGCACCTTCTACGACGAAAATGACTCTATGGGAATGACAAATCACTGGGATAGTTAACGATATTCTATTTTCTGGTCCACTTGGAGCCTTTTCGACGGGGACAACCCATGCCAGTTTTTCACGTAAGTTATCTTGGAAATTTGGAAACAAAGAAGCAATATGGCCATCTGGAGCACAACCCAATAAGAATAAATCAAACATCGGAAGCTTAACAGAATCTCTTCCTGCAAATCCTTTAATAAGAACCTTTTCATAACTATCTGCACATTCTTGAGGATCATCAATCAAAGACTCATCAATATGATAAATGTTTGGGGTACCATATTTTTCTGTATCAATAAGATCAAAAATCTTCCTCTTGGACTGACCGTAATTACTTTGATCAGATTTAAAAGGAACTAGTCTTTCATCTGCAAAATAAATATCCCATTTACCCCATTGAATATCATCTCTTTTCAATAAACCTTCATGTAAAACTTGAATTAAAGAACCACCTGACAACGCTATCTTGAACCTTCTTTCCTTTTCCTTCTTATTCTTTTTGCTACTATCTCTAGACGATATACTTTTATTTGACAAAATACGATGCATATCTGCAGAGGATGGACCTCTATCATCCATTGATAAATTTACTGCTGACGATTTTCTTTCCTTTAGTTTCTTGGTAAGAGCACCATTCTGTGCATAAACAACATAATCAGCTACAGCCTCTGCCACGTCAGAAAATTCATGGAATGCGAAAACCTTTGGGACGGTAGTAGTCATGATTTTCTTTTAGTTTGTTAATATTGTATTAATAATATGTCGAAGTACCTTATTTTTTTTTTTAAAAAGAGAACAATTTAATAAACGGTATTGAGAACACTGACGTTCAAGTAATAGTTATATTTAATTTTAGAAAAGTCAAAAATAATAAACCAAAAAAAACGAAAATTTAATGAGGGAAGAATGTTATATTTTAATTAATGCAAATCTTAACAATTTTAACACTTCAACAGCTTAGTTCGTTTCACGTTTTCAGTATTCAATTCAGTGAATATATATTATCCAATTTCAATGCCTAACTATTCAAATAAAATCCAGATAATTTTGATTAATAACCTGATCACTGTCTCTTCAAATTGTCAATTATGAGTGTTTCAACTGTGCTCCCTCTTTATTTCTAATTTGAATCTCCTTTTTTCCTTCTCTTTCTTCCTTCGCCAAAACCAAAAAAAATTTCAGATTTTTTTGGTCCGACCTATTAGGGTTGAATACGGATCGACTTAGGGCACAAAACAATACAATACAATACAATACAATAGAAACAGATATATTGTTTGGTTTGATACGCTGGTTGATCTCCTTGGAATAATTACACAGGAATTGGATAGCATAAAATGTGGATACTGAGTATATATATATATATATGTGTGTGTATATTTACATGAATACTTGTAGAGCACTCTCGAGCTTTGTGTACATCTCATCGAGTTCACCTTCTTGCGTGCTTAGTACCGTGATGGCACCACCTGCGCCAAGTTTCCAATGGTCTCCATTATCATATGAATACATACATCTGATATTAACTGACCAGTCCCCATTGCCGTTAGCAGACCAATAACCTGTGACACCACTATAAATACCTCTAGAACCATTATTGATATGTTTATTTAGGGTCTTTTCAATGTCATCTTGTAGCAGTTCTACTGTGATTTTCTTAGGAGCCCCAGTCATCGACCCAGGCGGTAAAGAATACTTTAGAACATCTATGCCTGTATACATGGATTTATTCAGATTATAAGCCTTTACCACACTAACTAGTTGGTATACTGTCTTGTATTCTTCCACAGACATGAACTCTTCTACCTTAACATCTGGTAATAGTTCATATAGATCATTTCGTATTAAATCTAAAATCATTAAGTTCTCACCAAACTCTTTTGGTGTTTTCAAAATCTCAGTAGCTTTTTCAACTGTCATTTCCCCAGATTTCTTTACAGTACCTTTAATGGGTCTTAATTCACATGTTTGACTATCCCACTTAAGAAATCTTTCCGGTGAAGTACTGATAAAAGAAAGAACATCATCAGAATTATCCAATATATCATTAAAATAAAAGAATCCAGAGAAGGGCGCTGGATTTCTTGTAACCAATGTCTTAAAGATTCTCCATGCGGGGAGTCTCTGTGATGGGGTCACCATGGTCTGTGTAGTTAAACAGATTTCATATGAATCACCTTTATGCATAAATTCTTGACATTTATCAAATGCCTCTGCATAATCCTTTTTATTTGGCATAACGATATCATAACTAATATTATTTGGTAAAATATCTTCCCAATTCAATTGTATATCATCTTCTTCATGGATTATATCATAAACTGCCTCCATTACATTTTTGGGAAGCTTATCACACAATGAACACACATACAATTTACCTGTCTTATGATTAATCAAGATGCTGTTTTCAATATATACAAGTTTAGCATCAGGCTTTGGTAATGTGTCAAACGTTGTTGGGGAATTGAAATTGACATAAGAACCCATCTCATAACCCAATATACCAACAAGACCTCCTATAAATGGAAGTTCTTCACGTTTCTTTACAATTTTTTCCTTCATAAATTCACCAAGGTTATTCCAAAAGGATTCTTTGTTTTCGTTCACTACCTCTAAATTCTCATAATGAACTGGATTTTCAGTTTTCAGAGCAATAAGAACTTGTTTTAATTGCAAATTATCATCTTGCCACTTATGGATCGTAGTCTTTTCAATAGAACCATAATGGGTTAAAACAGTAGAATCCTTAGATGGAATAGCAATTATAGACCACTCGCCTCGATCTGCACTGACTGCTGAAGATGCCATAATAAATTTATCTTCCTTTATCTTGTCACATATCTTAAACGTTAGTTGAGGATCATTTGATACATCAAAACTTTCAATGACGAACGTATCACTGGCCTTTTTAGTTGATGGGTCATAAATGGGAGAAATATTAATAGTTTTCTTTAAATCAAATAATCTATTTAAATCTTCTTTACCTAGTTCCAATGTGTCACGGTCACCCTTTGTTGTTGAATAAATAACATTTAAAAAATTTTGAATTAATTTTGCGCCAAATTCAGAACAGCAAGACTCAGGATGATATTGAACACCATACCAAGGATTTGAATTAATCTTAGCAGCCATTAGTAAAATGCCATTTTCATCCTCAGTGTAAGCTAATGGTATTATTGATTTTTTATCCTTAAAATTTGTGACGTGTAAGGAATGATATCTAGTAGATTTAAAACTTTCTGGATAATCTTTAAATATCGGATCAATATTTTTAGTATTTAAATTTATAGGATATACTTGACCATGTTTAATTATACTTAACTCTTCAACTGATGCACCTTGCGAATAACACATAGCTTGAAACCCTAAACAGATACCTAGAACAGGAAAATTACTTAACCTTGGATCTTTAAATAAACTTTCAATTATACCAATATCTTTAGAACCATGAACGGGATTCCCTGGTCCTGGTCCCACTACAATCCCTTCAAAAAGTGGTAGATATTTAATCAGTTCCTCAATATCAGAAAATGTATCATTATGGATAGTGGTGACTTCCACGGGTCTGTCAATAGTTGATTGCTCTTCGATGAGTCTTACGACATTGTATGTGAAGGAATCATACGAATCAATGAATAGAATGCGATTTGGTTTCATGTTTCTCTAACTTTTAAGTATATCTGCAGTAGCCTTTACACCAAAGCCAAATGAAACAAACAAAAGATACACCTGAAAAAACTAAAGTTCAACTAACCAAACGAACTTCAATCTTAATATCTCACTACCCTTGTCTCCTTCTTTATGTATATATACATATATATATATATATATATAAATCCACATATCTGTCTTCTGATCATTACCATTTGAGCCGTGCAATCATCTCCCATTCAGAGATGTCCCTCTCTTTGTCTCCTCTCGAAAGTCCAACAGAATCGGCTTGAATTTCAAAGGGTCATCTCTCTCTCGCTCTCTGTGCGGTCATTTCTTTCGCACAGTTTTCTTCACGAGCCGGCCGATGGGATAACTAACAACAATATTCACAGTCAGTCTGGTATTGTTTGCTCATTGCAACAAAGAAATAGAAAGAACCATTTATGAATGGTTGTCTGTTCATTGGATGGTGAGGTAGTATTTATATATAGGAGATAGTAGGGACACTAATTAAATAAGGCTTTACTTTTACATATACATATACATATCGATGATTGAAGTACTAGTCAATGACCGTTTAGGGAAAAAAGTACGTGCTAAGTGTCTCGAGGATGATCTTGTAGGAGACCTTAAGAAAGTACTGGCGTTACAATTAGGTACACATGCTAATAAAATTACTTTGCAGAAAGGTGGGACTACACTCAAGGACCATATATCGCTAGGGGACTATGAAATTCACGATGGCACGAATTTGGAATTATACTATGTATGAAGTGACTTCCTTTTCCATTAAATTGGGAGACGTGCTAATGCAACTGGCTTTTAGTTGAACTACATGCATGTACATGCCATTATTATTTCTATATTATGTTATGAATGAAATTAATTTATATATACGGAATATGTAGGGAGTATTATATTTTTATTTATGTGTCTTCTTCAATAGGCTTATAACACGTTTAGTAGATTAACTGAAACAATGTAAACAGATGCATTGGAGGTATTTGATGGTAATTCTTCATAAGAAATATTGTACACTTCTTAAGGAGGCAGATCTTGCCTGATACTCTTCCGAGAAGACATCCACATCTCTAAAAGATTCATCCTCATCATCAGATCCATCATCAATAAAATAATCATTGATCACTTTACTTGTTATTCTTCCAGAATCATCATAAGTATTATTGAAATTTTCTTTTAGTAATTTATTTTCAGGTGCTTCTTCAAATACATTGAAATAAAATTTATTCGTACTATAAAGTTCCAAAATTGAAGCTTTATTCCCACATCTATAACAATAGTTCGGGGCTGACCATACTGTAGTGACTAGTCCATCAAAATATACCTGGTAGCCATCATTACATAATTGATGTGCTCTATATATACGTGACATCTTGTTGGACTCTAAAAATTTCTCGACTACGGCTCGACCAAAAGTGTACCCTGCACCTCTTGGAGACACTTGGAATTGATTAGATGTAGGCTTAAAAAATTCTTCTAAATTATTTGGATCCATGCCATTCTCGGGATTAAGATGGTCACTCTCTTCTGGATCTGACCATACAAGATCTGCCATAGCACCATCATGTGGTATCTCTCTAAATCTATCTATAATTTTAATTTGATCTATCGTTTGCACATTCGGTGATAGACCACCATGAACGCAAAATAATTCATTATCTATAATACAACACAATACCAAATAATCAAATGCATCAGTTAAATAAGTCCATACTTTAGAATTTCCACCATACTTATTCAAACATTCAGTATAAAACCCATAACTTTGAGTGATTTGCCTGGATTCATGATTTCCTCGTAATAAATGTATTCTATTCGGGTATCTCAATTTCAGCACAATCAATAACATAATCGTTTCAATACTATATAGACCACGATCTACATAATCACCTAAAAACAAATAATTTGTATCTGGAATACGTCCACCAATACTGAACATCTCTAAAAGATCATGAAATTGACCATGCATATCACCAACAACAGTTACAGGTGTTTGAATGTGTATAACGTTAGATTCCTTAATCAACAACTCTTTGAACTTAAAACATAATGCTCTTATTGTAACTTCTGGTAGTAACTGTCCCTTGTATAACACTTCCAAACATTTATCTAACTCCATTGCACCCTCTCTTTCTCTCTTTACTGTTGTCTCTCTTTATATGTTGTTCCTGACTAATTTCTTCAGGATACTCAAATATGAATATGACTATTGGGTAACCTATAATGACATTAACCACGAAACTACTCTTCGACCAATTCTATTGCAGTGATATTCAACTTATCATAGTTCGTTTCTCTCTTTTATCTCAATGGCACCCACATAATCAAAATGTTTACAGTATGCATGGGTGAGAAATACCAGAAAAAAACAAACATACCAAACCAAAAGAGTATTCGCTAGATATGCTAATAATAAAATACATCAAATTAGAACAAGTTAGTAACACTACATTTAAAGAAAATGTTTCTATTATATATGTAAAAGTGTTTTTTTGGCCTTTAACAGTGGAGTATCATAGATTACATAAGGTGAGTGATTACCAATTCCATAATTGGAAGCATTGTCAATTAATTAATCAGGCAAATTGGAACATAAATTATTCCACAAAGTGCATTATCTACTAGGACGCAATTCAATTAGTTTCTCCCAAAGAATCCCACTTACCTTATATTAAATCATATTATATAGAAGCAGCTTTAGTGTAACATTTAATTCTATTTAACAATGCCTGATTCTAAAAGTACTGAGAAATTCAATAAGACACCGATGCTCCAATCCATAAACGATAAGGCGAGTCGTTCTTCATCTAGTCTAAATAGTACACCCGGAACTATATCACCATTAAACCCACATATATTAAGAACAACAACGTCGATGACACGGTTAAGATCATATTCAAATACCCCTTTACCAACATCTAGAAAAACTAGCATACCCAATGACCTTCAACGAAAACCATCTGGAAAACCTTTTCAACCTCATCCTAAAGATCCATTATACATTACAAGTTTAGAAGCTGGACCTAGGAGCCGATCTCACTCAAATACTTCAAATGATACAGATTTTACGATTTCTGCCCAATCCTCTTCTTCGAATCCTAGTAGAAGAGGCTCAATTGCAAATAATGTCCACGAATTAGACAGCACAACTGTTATGAATCTACCGAAACTTTCGCTACAGAAGCAGGCTCAAGGATCGAGCATAGAGCTTCAAAAAACTGACACTAATGATTATAATATATCTCCTGGTTCAATGTCGGCAGTCTCTATGACACCTGAGAGAAGATCGGTAACAACAACTTTTTATAATTCTCCTGTAAATTCATCAAAGACAAGTACATCTTCATTTCAAGATGGAACTCCAACATTACATATGGATAACAGTCCTGAGGATACCTATGGATCAAGTAGTAATATTATTTCCAGACCTATCCTATCTAATAGCAAAATGCTAAGTAGCCAACGACTTTTTGAAAGACAATATATTTTAAATGAGAAAAAATATCTAGAAGGTATGAAAAAATTAATCACTGATGATGATTACTATACAAGGACAATAAACTTCCCGCCAATTGAACTTGATGATGAGGATAATGATTTTGAAAAGGACTCCCAGAGGGGCCACGATGAAATTAATGAAATAATGGATACTAGCAATGACAGTTTTGTTAATTCGAAAGATTATAATATTCTGGAAAGTAACAAGAAGAACAAGTCCATCGAAAATTTCCAAATGGAGAAAGATATAAATATGAGAATATTCCATGGTACTAACTCTAGTTCAATTAGTCCAAGCTACCTTTTGCGAAAGTTGAAATGGCTGAGTGACGTTTCACCAGATAACACATTTGTTAAGGAAATTCTAAACGGAGTTCAGGATGCATCGAACAATGGTATTGGCCCATCTGGGGATGAACACAATCTGTCTGAAACGATCCAAAAACTATTCCAACAATCAAATGTTGCCGAAAGATTTGAATGGCTTATAATGTTGACTAACGTTTTAAAAGGTGATATTGTCAGAAGTGAGAAGACCAAGCTAGCTAAAGAGAAAAATGGCGTCAACACTAATTACCAATACGCCGACAATATCTGGCTAGAACTTCGAGCTTGGATGAATGGTCGTACAAAGGACGAACAAGAACGTTCACTAAAGGTATTAAGAGATAACTCAGATGCATTTTTCGAGGAAATTATGAATTTCAAGGTAGCAGAAGGGGTTACAAGGACAGAATCTGAGGTAATTGTGGATGAAATATTGAAAAAATACTACAAGATTATTAACTTTTGGCCAAATATTAGGAAGTTAAATATTGACAAACCAATTACTAATACAATTGCATTCACTCAGAGAGTTGATGCTTTAATAAGTTGGCAAAACGCAATATGGAACTATAAAAGTAAAAAAAAATTACTAGAAGACTGGATAGGTATCCCAGATCTAGCAAAACTATTTGATGATGAACTCAAATCAAAGAGAGCCCTATTCACAGAACAATTAATTAAAGAAAGAGATATTGAAAGTATCTTCCAAAAAAAGATTTTTTTCCCTTTAGCTCCTGGGATTCTTAAAGCAAAAATATTTTATTTGAACAATAAGGAATTAATTGATGAAATGAAACTAGTGTATTCGAACAAGGAGTTATCTTGTCTATTATTGTTTCCAATAAAGTTAATCAAAGAAATTATTATATTGCGAATAGAATATGCAAAGAAGCTACAAAACCCTACAATGATGATGGTTGACCAAATGGTTGATGACTTTACGGCGTATATTAGGTTAGCCGTTCAATTAAAGGCTACCCTGATGGACTATTACTACGATTGGCCTTTTGAGGTCAAATTTGACAAAGGGTTTGATAAAACTGTTGTGGATGCCATACATTATTTATTTGTTTTGGTGCAACTTAAAATTCTAGATAATTCTGATAAAATTTACAAATCATTCAGGGAACCAGAAGTATTGTTGAAGTTTTGGGAAGAGCTGAAAAATGTTGGCCCATATATTGACGGTGCTGCTGTCGTAATTGCCAATGGTTTTGCTAAACTTACATTACGTTTATTACAAAGGTTGAATTCTTATTTAAATTTTCAAGAAGATGGCCCACTCAACACAGAAATGAGTGGAGATACCGAGAAATGGCTTTCACATACTTTAGATAGTCTTGGCTCTATGAAAAGGAAACTTAATAGATTTACAAATTTGATCACAAAAGCCTTTGAAAATTCCGTTTCATTTAAAGTTGACGATTATGAGAAATTATTGACAACATTAGAAAATTCAGGCCATTTTCTAATATATACTGGTGGTGAACTTGAAGAGAACGGTATATTCTTAATTGGTAGTAGTGAGTTACTAGGTATCGAGGATGAAGATTTAATGAAAATTCTTAAAAGTTCTGACATAGGTAGTGATCTTATTCCGAAGTTGAATATTGAAAATAGTTTATCAATCTACAACGCATTGCAAGTGCAAAGAGATCCAGATATTCCTCTAAGTAAGGATATAGATGATGATGGTGTTCCCCGCCATAATATAGGTGGCTTCTCAGAAATCCTTTCCAATTACCAAGAAGCTTCTAGAACGCATATGAAAACCCATAATATAAATAAGATCAACAAAAGGATTAATAAAAATTACACAACGTCTAAGAGAAACAAAACTCTACCTTTGAATAGTTCTCCCGTCGAGGATGCTGAGAGAGAATTATTTGAGTTAGAAATTAGATTACACACACTTGGTTATGTACTAGTCCTAGTCCCAGATCGTCCAGTTCTTTGGAAAGGTGAATCGTACAATTTATCAAGTACTACTGCTATCAGCTATGAAGACTTTGTACATAATCATCACGAAATAAATTCAATAACGCTAATTAACCAAGGCTCTTGTTATGCATTAGAATACCAATGCGATAGATTCAGACAGGTTGCAGATGACTGTGTTTCGTTCCTGAACAGAAAATGTATGGTAGAGAATGTTGATGTTGCTCTATCAAAAATAGACAAGATGCACTATAGTTGTACATATAACAGTTTGGTGACTTATCCATACCTTATTAATAAGTTCAAGCCTATTTGTAATACCAAGGATCTTTTAAATGGTGTATTCCTCTTTGTCAGAGACTTTTGTAATGGTGTACTGTCGAACACTACTTACGGTAGTGAAAAAAAATCTTTGATTGTACTTTTGATGGTAAAACTAAGTCTAAATTGGCTTACCTATTTAGTAGAAGACTGTGACCCTACAGATCCGAAGACGTTCAGATGGTGTGTGACAGCCATGGAATTTACATTACAAATGATCAGTGGTCTGAATATTTTAACCTTAGATGAATCACAATTTAAATGTCTAAAACAAAAGATTTCTGCCTGTATGTCGTTAATGATATCTCATTTTGACGTCATGGGTGCGAGAGCGAACGAGGTCGAGAATATCCATCAACAAACCAGAGCAAATATTGAAATTGTAGATGATTTCGATGTAGATGCCATGCTAGAAGTAAATTCCCAATTACGATTAAAATCAATCCAAGAACTAGAAAAGACTATTGTTGTCAACCCACATCAGAGAGGTAAAGTCCTGGACGACAAGGTGAAAACCGATAAATATTTGACCTCTTTGGCTTCATCTATATCTAATGTGTCTATTAGGTGGCAAAAACGTAAATTCATTGGTGGTGGTACATTTGGTGCAGTATTTTCTGCCGTAAATCTTGATAATGGGGATATCTTAGCTGTCAAAGAAATTAAAATTCAAGATAGTAAGACAATGGAAAAGATTTTCCCATCAATTAAAGAAGAGATGAGTGTCCTCGAGATGATGAATCATCCCAACATTATTCAATATTATGGTGTTGAAGTGCACAGAGACAAAGTGAATATTTTTATGGAATACTGTGAAGGTGGGTCTCTTGCCACACTTCTGGAACATGGTAGAATTGAAGATGAAATGGTGACACAAGTTTATACTTTAGAATTACTGGAAGGTCTTGCGTACCTTCATGAATCAGGAATTGTTCATAGAGATATTAAACCAGAGAATATATTATTGGACTTCAATGGTATTATTAAGTATGTTGACTTTGGAGCAGCAAGAAAAATTATTAGGAATGGTACAATTAGGAAAACTACAACACCTGTTGTGGAACAGAAGGATTCTGATGAAACCAGTATTGATAGTTCCGATCCTTCATCGAAACATAAAAATGCAGAAGATAATATGCAAAATATGATCGGTACACCAATGTATATGGCACCAGAGGCTATAACTGGATCTAAAAATCATGGTAGGCTTGGTGCAGATGACATATGGTCGTTAGGTTGTGTTGTTCTTGAAATGATTACTGGTAGACGTCCATGGGCTAATTTAGATAATGAATGGGCAATAATGTATCATGTTGCTGCAGGGCAAATCCCGCCATCTCCTTCTACAGATGAAGTTTCGGAATCTGGGATGGCATTTTTGAAAAGATGTTTGGTTCAAGACCCTGATAAAAGAGCCACTGCGGTTGAATTATTAATGGATCCATGGATCGTTCAAATTAGAAATATTGCATTTGGTAATGGCGATCATAATATGGCGTTAGATGATAAGAATTAATTAGTATATATAAGTTAAGTATAATAAACATTCGCTTTAATATATATATAGAGGTCTGAAGTAAAGAAGATTGGTTTTTTAAAATTTTATATAAATAACATACGTAAGTTATATTTGAAAATTTAATCCTTATTTATTCTCTTGTAAGTGTAGAAAATATCTGATTTTACAATAGAATTTTCTACTAAATCGGTAAAGAATGGACCGAATGTTCTATTTGTGAAAGCTACTCTAAATATCTCTGGAATATTTCTTTCTTCATTGAAGAATAAGTCATTGATATAAGTATAATTCAAGCCCATAAACATCTGAGTAGTTTGGATAACCTCCCAATCCTTATCATTAGCTGTTTCCAAATGCAATGAATCCATTGAAGGCTCCAATAAGATTGCATAGTCAAAAGTGTTCCATAAGGATGTTAGGGATTGGATGTTCTCAGTTCTATCGTATTTGATACCGTATCTATCATAATCTAGTTCCCCAAATAAGGAGACACCGGTCATACAAGGAGGTACACTGATATGCACTGTAGCATTTGTCACGTTTTGGTTGATAATGTAGTTGTTAAAAGAAAACAACGCATCACCACCTGGGTAATTCATACGAGAAATATATAAGAACATCATTGATAAAGCAAAAGAGAGTAATGGTGTAGCAGGCAACGAAAACAAATACAAAGCATTCATGAAATTTTCAACTTTAACATTTTCCCATAAATAAGCAGCTGATAAGGACCCTAATAACATAATTGATGGTACTGAGTAAACGATAAATCTCCATTCTTTATGTGGTTGTAATGATAAAATTATAATGTGAAAATAACTAGCGAATGCAACAATCTTTAAATCAGTTGGAGCAAATTTCAATGCTGTATAGTTTAATATTAATGCTGTAGGTGGTAAAAATAACATTGGAATATATTTGTTAAAATATGCAAAGAAAGATTCAGTACCCCAATTAGATGAGTTTCCTTCAACAACATTAAATATAAAGGAATCAATTTCAGGGATCCCCCAATTTTGCCAGAAATATGAATCAATAAATAGAGATAAACTTATACCTAATGATAGACCCATTACACCGAATTTGGCAGTTTTTAAGATAGATACTTTTTTGAAATAGACACAACACAATGTAATACCTACGCCTAATGCAGCAATTTCTAGTCTGAATACAACAGACGCAAATGCAAGGATACAAATAGACCATTCATATTTACTCTTTAATACCATAGCCAAAGCCAAATTAGTTAAACTAAAGGCAATAACGAAATTAGGCAATGGTCTAGAGCAATAGAACATCATATGAAAACTAGACATGAAAAACAATAAAAACCAGTTACCGGCACTTGTGAAAGAAAAATCGTTCTTAATATGTGTATTAATCTTGTTACCTTCTTTATCCTCTGCGGCACCAGATTCTCTATCGACTAATGCTTGATATTGTTCTTTCAAATATATTATAGAAAGACAGTTTATAAGGCCAATAACACCCCTAGCTAACAACTGAGTTTCCAACTGAGTTGGGAGAGCATCTGATCCGTTCCATAGACTTGAGACCCAAAGGAATGGTTTTAGAAATGAGGAAACAATTAAGGCGCCAATAAAAGTTCTTGGAACAGCACCTGGAAATTGTAGATGATCATACCTAGATATATCAGATATACCGTAGTTAATTATATCATGGATAGCTTGGAGGTTAAAACTTTCTTCAACTTTAGTATATGGAGCTTTAATTAAGTGTAAAGATGCTACCACCAGTAAGGCCGATTCTAAAAATGTCCACGTCATAACAGAATATTAGGAAACAATAGACACTATAATGATCAAATAAAAAAAATAATAACTAGCAGAGCTATGGTTCCAACACTTGGTAGTCTTTTATTAACTAAACAATTATAATTCTTTCAAAAACACACACACTTACCTTTTCACAACTTGTCTCTTCTTTAAATAATTTTAATTTGAACTTTTCAATTTCTAAGAACGGCAATTATTTTTTTACCAGCCGACCGGGTCTTTCAAATGTCCTAAAATTTTCACTCACAGAAAATACCGCACAAACGGAAAAGAGACAGAGCGATGGGATTTCATTTTCAATTTATTCCAAATTTGGTTACCACAGCAATCAGAAACAACATAAATATTACATAATTCAATGAAATAGGAAGAGATTAAATAGCTATTTGCGGTTGTTCAAACTCATTTATTCAGACACCTACTTGAATCGGTTAGTGCAGTTTAATATTTAGAACCAAATTATTACGGAGTTTTCTCTTATTTGTTTTCGAATTAAAAAGATATGTCTGCTTTGAAAAATTTCCAATATAATGAAGAAGAAGATGGTGAATTGCCTTCTTTGGTTACAGGAACAGAAAATAATTTGAATGAGATTCTCAGCCATGTGAAGAGTGATGGTGGTGTGAAATTAGTCAGTGACTCTAAGATTGCCAGGGTAAATAAACAAAATGATCTTGCTAGAGACTTAAGCCAAAATGATGCTAAGGGGGTTCCTTTGAAGAAGATTCCTGTAACTATTATTACTGGATACCTTGGTTCTGGGAAGTCTACTTTGCTTGAGAAGATAGCTTTAAAGGGCTCAGATAAAAAAATTGCGGTGATAATGAATGAATTCGGGGATTCAAGTGAAATAGAGAAAGCAATGACAATTAAGAATGGTTCTGATTCATATCAGGAATGGTTAGATTTAGGAAACGGTTGTCTATGTTGTTCAATGAAAAACGTTGGTGTTAAAGCTATCGAGGATATGGTAGAGAGATCACCGGGAAAAATTGATTATATATTATTGGAAACTTCGGGGATTGCTGATCCTGCTCCAATTGCAAAGATGTTTTGGCAAGATGAAGGGTTGAATAGTAGTGTTTATATTGACGGAATAATTACTGTCTTGGATGCTGAACATATTTTGAAATGTCTTGATGATATTTCACCAGAAACCCATTGGCATGGAGAAGACGTCATGAAGGATGAACATTTAACAATTGCTCACTTCCAAATTGCAATGGCAGATAAAATTATCTTAAATAAAATCGATAAACTGGAATTAAATGGAGAATCTATCAAGAATATTAATGATATTAAGGAAAGAATTCAAGAGATAAACATTGTTGCCCCAATAATTGAAACTAGATATAGTGATGTGCCATTGTCAGAAGTATTGGATGTGCATTCGTACGATTCTCTAGACACTGGAGTCAGTAATGATGTTAAAACTTCAAAACAACTTTTGAATTCAAAGAAACTAGAAAATAGACCAACAATTCATGATCCACGGATGTCTTCAATTGTGCTTACATTCAGACCATTAAAAGACGAAAAAGAATTTCAATATTTTATTAAGAATTTCTTACAGGTATTACTTTGGAAGAATTTTGGTGTATCAAATAACTTTAAGCATGGTAATGATGATGATAAAGAATGGGAAATTCAAAGAACGAAAGGTTTATTAATAATTGGGGACTTGTCATCGAAGAGAGAGGTTAAAGTGATTCAAGGTGTGAGGGATACATTCGATGTGATGCAAGGTGAATTACCACCTAACGTCGATTGTTGTAAACTGGTTCTAATTGGGAAATATTTAAATTTTGAAGATATAGACAGTTTACTAAAAACAGTCATCGTTTGACTTGCTATCAACGTTATTTTCACATAATATATACGCTTTTTTTTTTACAACACTTAAATATATGTTATCTGTTAATTGCATTTTCTATAATAAGAAATGAATAATAATAATATTAAAATACAGAAAAGAGTACTAATAAACTATACATATGTATCTATATAGGAGCACTTTCACTTTATCAAACATGCAATCCCATCAATTTAATCTTTTCTAATAGAGACAGGATCATCTAAATTTGTCACATTTGCAGAAGATCTACTAAATAAAAGCTTTCTCTTCGTGGTGATTAAGTATAATATTAATAAGAGTACAAACCCAATTGAAATCTTCATAACTGGATTATTATTTTGAGCAAGTTTCATATCATGCAATTTTCTTCTTTCTTCTTTCTCTAAATCTTGCTTCTTTCTACCTTCCTTTAATTGAGTTCTAGTTGGTCCTAATTTAATACCTACACTTTGATCACCATTCTCGAATTTAGTTAATTTGTCCATATATTCTTGATGTAATTTGGCTAAATCGGAAATTTTCAATTCATCAACAACAATATAACTAATTGTGATATCATGTTCTGGTCTATGTGATTTTGAACTAACTTGTGACAATTGAATCTTCTCCAAATTATCATAACCGAAGATAACTTGACCAAAGACGACATTTAGACCATCTCTCTCTGGGGAACCATTTGCATTTAATGAAATAGAAAATCTTGAATCATTTGTGTCTGGTTCACCATCGTTAACCAAAGAGACTCTACCTGGTCTATCATGCTTTAGGAAGAAATTTTCATCTGCAAATTTAAATCCATACATAGAGAATGGTGTAATACCAGGTAATACTTCACCACCTTCAATAATATCATCTTTAATCAATTTTGTGAATAGAGTCTTCTTATAGGTAACCATGGTACTACCTTCCTCATTAGCAGCGTCCGTCAATACTCTCAGACCTCTACCAATAGTAGCAAAATTTTGTACAGTTAATGGAGTTACAGTACCATATAAATCAATAATTACTTCATCAACTTTTTCTTTTTTAGCTTCCTCATCGTAGTATTTTATACCCATCAAAACATGATGTGTAGCAGGAGGATCTGGTGGATATATTTTATCATGAACATCAATATATGATGGAGCAGCTAATACTGCGCTGCAAACTAATGCTAAATATATTATAGCATCAAAAAACAACATTATAGATATTTTAGCGGTTGTGGTTTTGGTCTCTTATTTGAAACTTTAGTACAAATAAATTGAATATATCAGACAACAAAATATAACATGTATATATATATATGTATATATAAGAGACGTCATCAAATTTTCAAGCCAAGCCTAGACAAAGAAAACCCTAGCTACATAATTTCGTGTCTAGGTACGATTATTACCAAAACTGGACAACATTACCATTAGTTACGACCAACAGCTCTAATGTTCACCGGTCTACATTGTACGTTGTGCGGTATACGAAAGGTTTCCCAATTGAATTGAGATGAAATGAACAACTAAACATTTTCTTTGCCAAGTTTGCCTCTGCGTGGCGTTCTTAGCAAAAACTGCAAAATTGAAGTGACGCGAGATCTATTTAACGTTCTTTGTGGGTTTCCCAGCTTATATAATTCTTTTATATGAAATAATTCACGCGTGCCTGTCTATCATTAATTAACATGAGGACAAGACAGGAGGTACTGTATTGTTGCATGAAGGAGGCATTGGCACTGAGATTTCAATAATATGGTGATAGTGCATATATGTGTAGACATGGAGTCTGCTTTTTGAATGATGCCTCATTTGTATTTTTTTTGTTTTGTTAAGCTATTAAACTTGAGATAATGGGTACCGTATATCTATATCTTCTGTGCGTACTCTCAATAGTTCTGCAGATTGTATCAATTTCAAATCCTTGATGTGTGGGACGGAGGGAGGATGTGGATGAGTCCCCGACTGTGCTCCTGATAGTTTGACAGTGAGTCTATATGTTTTATTCAGTATTTGATGAGTTAAATCCAAAGCTTTACCTACAGCAACAGCTAAAGAGACAGATACTTCACGATCACTCGTTGGGAATAACATATCTACTAACAATGCAGAGAATAAATCACCACTACCATTGAAATGTGCTTCTATTTTATCAACTGTGAAATACTGAAAATTATCAAAATTTGAGAATTCTGTAAACGCAACTGTATATGTATTACAATTTGGTTTTTGTTTGAGATTGGTTGGAAAATCAATACTACTTACAATAACTCTTTGCACACCTGGGTATAATTGATGAAATTTTTGAAAACTTTGCTTCAATGTATTCATATTTGTAATTTTCATCCCTGTTAAGGTCTCCATTTCAAATTGATTAGGTACTGTCAGATATACCTGACAAGTTGACAAAATTTTCTTGTACATAGTAACACATTCCATGTCAACATACAATTTACCATTATCTCCAAGGACAGGATCGAGAATCCATGGAATTTGTTTTTGGAGACATAGGTCATTAACTAATCTTGATATACCTTGTAAAGAATCCACTGAAGGCAAATATCCAGTCAATATAGCATTGTATTTAATACCTAATCCATTTACTAAACCTGATTCAATAATTTTATAAAGATTCTCTTCATCTTCTCTAAATCCCGTGAAAGATCCATATCCAGGATGATTAGAAAATTGAACAGTATTTAATGCATCAACGTTCCAGCCCCGATATTGTAACGGGAATGTCGCAGCTTTATTACCAACGTATCCATGAACTACATGCGACTGTATGGAGAGAATCTGTCTTGTCTCTTCTACCATTGCAAAAATAAAAAAACAATACTAGCTAACTAAATGAAACAATTTAGAATACTGTTACCCTATATAGAACTCTAGTAACTATTTCAGTAACTTCTAAAAGTACTAAGCTCTCTCTTCAATTTTTAAAACAGTTCAAACTGTTGATAAGATCGACTCAATTGAGGTGATCAATGATTTTGACTAATAGTTCATAATCTGCTTATGCAATACGAATTATATCAACTTTGTTAAGAAAGCACCGCACGCTAATCGGATTGCCCCTGTAGAAATGAACCTGTCTCCGGATTACGAAATTCTGAAAAAAAAATGGAAGTTTTCTTTTAGTGGAAACCAAACGAAAAAGCTTTAGCTAATTAGTTAGAAAAGAAAGGGTTTGCAATTGCCTTCTGTGAGAAAGTGAATAACTAAAGAAATTTTAGAGAATCTGAACACTTGTATTTGTTTATCTAAAATATACATCATAAGTAAAGGGTGTTAGGATAATTGTATTGTTATTTTATTTCATTTTGCAGTGTGTTTGACGAAACCTTCTTTTGTCACTCTAAGTTTTACTTATCAAAAAATTTCCATATAGTCAAACAGCTTATTCCCACATTTAATAACAATGAAGTTTAATACGTGTACATTAAACGTTGAATATCCCGTCTATGGTGCTCAATTTCTAGACAACTCTACCCTTTTGATTGCTGGAGGTGGTGGTGAAGGGAAAAATGGTATCCCTAACAAATTAAATACTTTAACAATTACAGAAACCAATACTGAAGATCCTAAAGATCACAGTTTAAAATTGAAGAGTATCAATGAATTTGAATTAGAAGCTGAAGATGATTCTCCAACGGCTCTGGATGCTCATTCAGGGGTTGTCCTTGTTGGTTGTAATGAGAATAGTAACCAGATTCAAAATGGTAAAGGTAATAAACATATTAGAAAATTTACCTATAATAATGAAGACCCTAAGCATGAATTGAAATTTATTGAAGGAATCGATTTTGATAAAAGTAAAGATCCAAATGAATATACTAAATTAATTAATATTTCAAAGGATGGTACATTGGCTGCCATTGCATCGTCTAATGAACCTACTAAATTAAGAATTATTCATCCAGATGAGATGTCCGAAATATTTGAAATTGAAAGTTCTTCAGAGATTAAAGATTTACAATTTTCTCCAAACGGGAAATTAATCACATACATTACTAAAAATTCTTTAGAAATGATTTCAACTGTCACAGGGAAATGTGTTGCACGTAATGTCAGTTTTGATTCTAATTTAAACTTATCAAAGATTAGATTTATTGATAACGATAGAATCGTAATTGCAGCATCCTTTATAAAAGGTACTGGTATCGTATTAATTGCCGTTGATATAAAGAGTGGGAAAGCTACAATAACTAAATCGAAACTTTTAAGTAAAAAATTTAAAGGTATTACATCAATGGATGTCGATTCAAAGGGTCAATTAGGTGCAATATCAACAAATGATAATTCCTTGATTTTAATTAAATTAGGTAGCTTACAAATTGGTAAATTATTTAAACAAGTCCATGACTTTGCTATTACTAAAGTCGCCATATCACCCGATTCTCGCTATGTTGCAAGTGTTTCTGCCGCAAACACAGTGAACGTTATTTCCGTTCCACGAGCCTACGCATTATCCTTATCTAAATCTGAAATTGCATACAAAACCTTCACTAGATTTATTCTTATTGTGTTGCTTGCAATATTATTCCAACATATTGTTCAAAATGACTTACATTCTAAATTTATGCAATACGTTGCGGATCTTAATGAAAGAAGAAGTAAAAATAATTCTACTCAAAGCAATTATTTTGTCCAAACAACTCTAGTTGGAAAACACACAACTGTTGCAGACACGATACCAAGTGGGACTTTGAGTCAATAGACAAGAAACAGCAAGCCATGGCATTTAAGTAGTTATGCGAAGATATTATATAATTCCAGTAGTTCTTTTAAAATATGTGATATAAATACAATAATGAAGATATATTAATAATTTATCTACATATAGATATATAATAGCAATGGTTGATATGGGGTATTGCGATGTGCTGAGGAAAGAATTGTTGAGAAATAGAAAAAATGTTTTAAAACATTTTGAAAATTTGGTATGCTTGGTATTAGAACATACTAGTTTAACTAGTAATATATGTCTCTTTAATATATAATTTAAAAAAAAAAATTGAATTTGAACAAGGAGGGTTCAAATCAAACGAATGCAAATAGGAAAGAATGGGCCCCATAAATATTTGGGGATGGGTATATGAGGTAAGTATGCGTGGTATCATGAAATAAAATTGTAAATTGTGGGATTGGGTGCTTAATAATGAATGTTTATTTGTAGATGTCTTTTTAAAAACTATGTCCTTGGTTCCAAATTTGGAAAAAAATCAAGTTCGAATTATGAATGGATTCTAATTTGTTCGGTGTTAATGGGGAACAAATTAAAGATTCGTGGTTTTTGAATTCAGGAGTTCTAAGAGCATCAAGTCTTTCATCAATGCTACAGGCATTTGTATTCATGTGTTCGCCCTCCATTGAATTTTTTATTGGTTTTAATAAAGATTTCTCATTATTTTTTGAATTTTTAGGTGGAGTTGAAGCTAACACATCAAAAGCTGGACCTAACCCAACGTTCATTTCATGATCGTCAGTATTTGGGGGAGTTGGAAGTGGGTTGCTGTTTTTAGTAAAATTTGGATCCTTTGATTCAGTTAGTGGCGACGCATTAACTTTGATTGATGGTAAAGGATAGAAATATTGCTCAAGACTCTTTGCTATGTCTTTCAATTCTTCAAAGGTAAGCTCTAAATCTTTGAAGAATTTAGATTCATGACCTCTTTGGAATCCCCAAAAATAACTTTTCTTATCTGGTGATTTAATTGTCTTTACAAAAGCAGAGTTTAGGGACAAGTTATGTCTCACAGAATTTTGCCATGTGGCTTGATCCATTGTAAAATATGGAAATCTTGTAGAGATCCAGTTGTAAATTTGAGACAATGTCAATCTATTAAGGTCATTTTGTAAAAGTGCTATAAGAATCAAAGTGGCATATGGGTAAGGTGGTTTGCTACCATGTTCGTTATTTTGATGCCTTTGTTTCATTGATTTAATCATTTCTGGGACAGAAATTTGTGCTAACACTCTTGGAATTCTGTGACGACGTACCTGGAAACTTTTAATCGATTTTTTATAGTTGTCTTTTGCATTTAGGTCTAGTGTAGAATTATTTGATTTATCAATTTTCAATTTCTTAGCGTTAGCAACTTTTCTTGAAGCATTTACTGCTGCAATGACTGCTTGTTGTGCAATGAGTTGTCTCTTATGAGCAGAAAATTGTGCCGATAAAGGGTGATTATGGTGAGTTTGTGTGTTCCAATGTATCTCTGGAGAAGGAGATGATTTGTTAGTCTCATTATCAAAAACAGTCGGTCTAGATATTATCTCATCTAGTGTAGAATATGAATCCCAGTGGTTGGAATTATTATACATTGTAATTATCGTGTTTAAGAGCCTTATATCTTGAACTTTTATCTTAATTAAAATTTATAGAAGAAGACCTGAATTATTCACTGTTAATGTATACTATAAATATTTCTAGAACATATACATATATATATATATATCTATGTATATATAGAACTATACTCCTTGCAAATGAAAAATGGTACGATTAGGATGTGACGCCAATTGTCAATGTATAATATTAGATCATAATCTAAAAGGCCTCAATAATAAACTATGATATAGAAGAACTACAAGAGATCAGATCAAAAAAAAAATTCATTAATTCGTGGTCTGGTACAGCCCACTCCGATGTCCATACACGCTCCTATCAGAATGCCATATACTTAACAACATCTTCTCATAGAAACGCCATTTGCAATATTCTTCTAAATTTCTAAAAGCTAGCCATTTTGATTAAATTAACTGCAGTAAAAGAGAAAGAACGAAAATTATCATTAAAGTGCATCACTTCTTCTGATTAGAAATAAAATATGCTGTGCTTTTTTTTTGGTTTTTTCGCTGCGTAGTGTTCTGCGCTTTAAACGCGAAATGTTGCGAAATATCCTAAAGGGGAGCTAACATTTCGTGTCTTCATTGAAAACCAAACCAAAAACTTCTCAAAACTTCATTGCAAGAAGAAGTCGTAACTTTTAATACCAGGCGTTTCAAGAAGAAACATGTAGTTCTAAGAATGCTATAATATAATATTATTTAATTAATTAATGTATATGCTTGTCTATGTAAAATACATATATTGAGAAAATGTATGGTATGCTCTATTTTTTTTTGTTACTATCGGAAGTTTTACGACGTTTGATGCTCTCCTTAAACACACGATCTAATTCATAATCGTCAGTATCTTCTGTACTATCGTTTTCGACCTTACGTTTCTTTGATATTTCATTGAATTTCCGTCTTCCTATATTACCAGTACTATTTTGGATTTTATCATTTGTTGTTCGTACATTATTACCTTTTTGCATTTGTAAATGGGTTAAGCTGACATTATCTGCGATTACAGCCCTGACTGGACCCTTTTTAGCCCTAACGAAGACTTTTCTCTTATTTTTTTTATTTTTATCAAGATTCTGTTTGTTGGCACTAGTAGCGAACCACTCACTACTATCATGAAACCCGCTTCCACTTGAATTATTATTATTAGAGCTCCTAGACGTTCCAACACTATCTTCCTTTATCGATGGAGAACTTTCCCTTGTTCCTGTCTCAGATTCACTATCATCTTTAGCAAATCGCATGAACTTCATGTTCATCACACGACCTGACAATTTCCCTTGAACACCACTCATTGTAATTGTTACTTTATTATAAACTCGTCAAATTGTTGTGTCTTCTTGCTAGTATGAATGTATACAGAGCCCTCTATCGTAACCTCACTGTTATAATAAACCAATCTAATCTGCTTGGCTTCCTAGCTTATTATCCTCATTGATTTTGTTAATTTAATCTTAAATTTCCAATTTTTTTGAAATTTTTCAGTTAAGCGGTCATGTGAGGGCATCACTTTCTACGAGCGGCACTTTCTAAATTCCGAGAGAAACAAATCTTAGTATAACTCAAAATATAAAGAAAAAGAAAATAGCAATATAAGTACAGGGAGATGGTGTACAACAAAATTGGAAGCACAATTTGATTATAAAAAAGGAAGTAGTATAATTCGAAATAGTATTTGCAACTCCTCGACACTACTCGTAATTAAAAGATCCTCACCTTTTTATTTGATTGAGTCATGTTTAAACCTACATCAGTATGTTATAGTGCTTTGACAAAACGTACAAAGAAAGTAAGGGTACAAGTACTCAGAGATTTTCCAAGATTTCAACTATACAAAGGACAAGTGACACATGTCAAACCTTCCTTAATGAGAAATTATTTACATAATTTCAATGGTGCCAAATATATAATGGAAGATGGTGATATCAATACAATATTATTTGAGAGATATTCAGTTCAAGAACAAGAAAGAGAAAAGGAGGCAGCAGCATTGGTTGCTGCTCATCAGGCTGCATTGATGAATGCTGCTACGAGTGGTAGTGGAGCTTCTGGTAATAAACCAAAACTGTCACAGGAAATGAAGAAACAAGAGAAGAAGAAGACGACACATAATAAAGATATCACGATAAAGGATGTGTACATTCCAGGGCTGGACATATAGATAATAACAATCCAAATAAACGGGTTAAAGGTTTCTTTTGGTAGAATCCTCTCTCGAAACACAACAAAAGAAATGCATATAATTGATAGTATTCATACGTTTGTCTATATATCATGTAAATAAATCAAATTACCAAATATTTTACCTTAATTTTTTTTTTTTTTTTTGACTTTGTTCTTTCGAGAGTTTAGTAAAATATATACGTATAAAAAATTAAAATGTAAAGACAAATTTAAGCTTTTTTAGTCATAACTCGTAACGTGTTAACTCAAGTTCACAAAAGAACAACCCCATATTCTAACGTTAACTCAACTTAATGACGAAAGAAGAACCTACAAAGAATCCCTCTACGGTACCCCAGGATCAGCCGGTTACGGCATCCGGTTTTGAATGGTATAGAAGGACTTTCCAATATAAGACAGGTTTGGGCCTTACACCCGAGTTAAAGGAATCATACGAAACAGATTTCAAAGATATTTTACAGGAAAAACAATGTACTTCATGTTATCATAACAGAGATTGGCTGTTAACATATTCCCCCACTATAAGATTCATGATTCAACAAATTAAGAAACTTGAACGAGTAAGGAATTTCAATGATCCAATCAATAAATCGTTGATTAAATTCGATGAAAGTAAAATCATTTGTGATTTTTGTCCCGATTGGAAAAGTGGTGGCTTCCATCCAGAGATTGGTATTTTATTATGTCAAAACAGATTCAAAAATAAATGGCATTTGGAAGATACTTTAAGTCATGAATTAGTCCATTGGTATGATAATTTGAAATGGAAAGTAGATTGGACAAATTTGAGACAACATGCTTGTTCTGAGATTAGAGCTTCTTCATTAAGTGGGGAATGTAGATTTTGGCAAGAATTTTCAAGACGTGGTCTTGGATTTGAAGTTGGTAGAGGTCATCAAAATTGTGTTAAGAGAAGAGCTGTATTGAGTGTAATGGGAAATCCAAATTGTAAAGATGAAGAGCACGCTGTTAGAATTGTTGATGAAGTCTGGGAAAGTTGTTTCAGTGACACAAGACCATTTGATGAAATATACAGATAAGAACTAAAAACAAACAAGCAAATATTAATCATGTAGATAGGTACTCAAGCCATAAAAAAGAAGACATCAACATACACATAGACTTCAGTAGATATTCTTAAAAAAAAATTTAGTAATGACAAATATATCTATATGCATTTATATATATATATATATTAAACTTTTGTTATGATTTTAACTTTTTTTTTAGGTAGTCTATATGGTTAGGTATAATGTACATAGAACACTTGGACCTGCACATATACCAATCCAAAAGATGACATTACCTAAGATTGTCTTCTTTTTCATTTGTGGAGTGTTTCCAATTGCAACCAATGGTAATTGCAACATTTGGAAGAAGAAAATGTATAATCTTAATCTTTTAAAGATGACATACATTGATAATTCATGAATCACCGAACTTAAGAAAAAGGTGAATAAAGTAGCTTGTGCTTTATTAAAATTGAATGCACTAATAGAACTATGATAGACATGTCTTAATAAGAATTTATGAACAGGAATATTCCAAATTCTAGAGAATTCATCCCAAGTGACACAATTCCACCAATCACCATAGAAATAACGATCTCCGAATCTTGATAATTCTGCAATACAATTTAAGATAGCATCCCAAATTAAATAAAATACCAATAGATACATGACGATAAAGCTTGGAATAATATCAATTAATAATCTTGCCCAATGACTTAATCTATCAATAATTCCTGTCCATTCAGAATCTCTAATCATCAATGCACGTTCAGCAATTGGATACATAAATAATTGAGCATTTAATATCATAATAAAGATGGTACCAAAAATTGCACAAACTTTTTCAAGGACGTATAACCATCTAATTCTTTCAGTTCTTGGATATTCTATTTGATACACAATGATTGGGAACATAGTAAATTCGAAAAAATTCCAAGTATTAATATTCTTCGGAAATTTTTGGGATTCATCATGAGTTTGAGAATTTAATTCAAATGTACAAAAATCGTAACTCTTTTGAAAAATTTCTTTAACTTCATTGCTTTTATGATCATCCTTTTCAATTGGTGGTTCTTTTTCAAGTTTAGCTAAAGCATTAGTAGAATAATCTAATTCTTCTTTAATTGACCATAAATAACCGTTATAAAATGCAAAAGAATGCATTTTCATTAAGATTACTAAAGAATGTAAAAATAAGAAAATTTTTGCAATCCAATGGAAATTTAATACATGTTCAGGTAAATAAATAAAACCAATAAGGAAACAAAATTCATAAACAGAAACAATTTTCCAACCAATACTATTCCATCTTAAAATATTATTTTTAGCTAACCAATGAATGAAAAATGGTACATACATGCATAAATACATGCATAAATCAACAAAACCAACTTTAAATAAATCCTTACGTAAAAATTTCATAATTTCACCATTCATTAAACTTCCATCATCATCAATATAGTTATCTACTAGAACTCTTAGGACACCTAAACCAATTGCCATCCATAAAGCAACATATAACCCTGAAAAATTAGAGACTAATTGTTCGTGCATGTAACCTTTTTCATTCATTTCAGTTTCCAATTCAATTAAATTATCACTACTACTACTATTACTTGAATTTTTATCTAAATCTTCTTTAGAGGCGACTTGTGGAAATTTTTCACGTCTTAATTGTGAACGTTTTGCCTTTTCTTGAATTTTAATAACTTTTTCTAAAGTTGGACCTTCAAAACTCATTCTAAATGGTTCATTAATAGAGCCATCCAAAATACTTGGTCTATATTCAAAATCTACATCGTCGAAATATGAAATGACTCTATCATTTCTATATCTAACTTTATAACGAGATTTAACAAGTTGTGCATGATCTTCTAATAATTTTTCATTAACTTTATCATTCAATAAAACAGCATCTTTATCTTCTTCTTCTTTATCATTTAAACTTTGTCTTTTAGTATTAACGTTACTACCTGAATTTGATTGTGCTCTTGATGATGAAGATGATCTGATATTTGAAGGTGAATGGTTAGCTAATTGAGATGTTAATTTATCGATATCAATATCTGTTTGAGTTAAAGATTTTCTCTTTTCAGCATTTCTTGGAGAATTCAATCTTTGAATCTTAATAAAATCTTTATCCTTCAAATAACTTTCTGTCATTTTTTGTAAAAATATATTTATATCTAAATTTCTTAAATGTTTGTTGAATTAATGGAAACTATTGTTTTTTTTTGTTCGTATAGATCACCAATGCAGATACTAATACAATTATGTGATAAGAAAAGAAAAAAAAATAATAATGTACTCAACACAATGAAACGTATTGTTTAACAGCAATAAATCAAAGCAAAGCAAAGCAAAACAAAACAAAACAAAAAAAGAGAAATATTATTCGTATAAATACAAGTGTGTTTCACACAATTACTTTTTCAATTGTTCTGTAATTAATAATACAATTGTAATTTGTTTCAATTCATAAATTATTCACAAAAGTAATTTAATCTAAATCAGTAGAACAAAAGAAAAATTAAAACTTCTTGGCAATAATATGTTTTCACTTTATATATATGAATTAATGAACAAAAAATCTTTGCAAAAGGGGGTGAGTTATACAGCTCAAGAAGTGGAAAATATGTGAAAAAAAAATATCTGGAGTTTAGCTAAAACCCTTTTTCTGTTTTCCTTTCGTTAAAGTTAAAAATTTAATTTCAGATTCAACCTTTTCCTTTTGTTTCTTTGCTTACCTATTCACTTTTTGTTTCGTCTATTTTTTTTTCTTTCTTGCCTGAGACGTTTAAGGGGGGGGGGCAAAGGTGATAAACGTTATTAAATTAAATTGAATGGAACGATGCGAAGAGAAAAATGGAAACCACAAAATTTGGGAGAAAAATGGCTGTGAAAAATATTTATGTATACGTTCTGCCGAGATGGTATCGGAAGTAAATTGGTTAGGTTGAACAAATTCGGATTCCGGATATAATAACTAATCTATTGGATTCCATAGAGAAGCAATATAATATAGATTGATTAATTAATTAATATACGTAACGATATATTTATTGATATTTATTAGAAAAAAAGAATTATTTATATTTTTATCATTAAGAAAGAGAGAGTTTAGATAAGTAGAATGTTTGTAATAATAATAGTAGTTAAGAGTTGGGTTGGTCATGAATTTGGATTAAAAAGAAAAAGAAAGATACTAAATTGATGGATATTCTTTATTTATATTTAAAGATTTTAGCATCTCTTCTCTCTTCATTTGAGAAAGTTGTTTGAGCTGCTGCTAATTTTTCTTGTTCAGCTGCTGCTCTTAAAGCATTTGCCCAACGTTGTTTTTCAATTTGTTTTTCTTTATCTGGATTTAATTTCTTTTCATATGAACTCAATGCAACTGAACCTAATAATAATATAACAGTGATAAATTGAGCATACATTCTTGCCTGAACAGCTTTTTGTGTGGCATTCATAATTTTGTCTCTATTAATGATTTCCCATGCTGTATATAATGAAGCTGCCCAAATACCTGTAATAATTTTGTATTTATTATTATTTAAGGATTCAATAGTCTTCTCAGTCCGAGTCAATTTATCCCAAGCTGCTTGTTTTTCTGCAGCTTCTTCACTCTGATAATTACCTGAGTATTTTAAAGCATCGAATCTATTTGATGCTTCTTCGGCACAAATTGCTGTAAACAAAGTTGGTGGTGTAATGAAAAGTGCTGTCTTGACAGACCAAGTCATTTGACTTGGTTTAAATGATGGAAATCTTTTTGGTAAAAATCTAAATAATGCAGCAGAACCAGCTAAACCTACTACGGCACCTAAAGCACCACCTTTTAAAGTATAAGCACTATGGGCATTAATTTCCTCTGACGTTAGAATCTTCATTATCACTAATCTCTTTTTGAATAAATATTTATCCTTGAAAATATTTATATTTTTATGTATATATATAGATATATATGTTACAGGTTGGTCCTAAAGATAAATAGTACTTGATGAAAAGAAAATATCTAACTACGATTGTCTCTTATATATATATACTACAAAGAAATGGAAAAGGAATAAAATTAATTGTTTTTTTTTTGCTTTTTGTTTTTCAAATCTAATTGTAATGACTTTTAATTCAGTTTCAGTTTTAAGTTATTACCATTAAACGGTGTACTTCCAAGAGAAAGTGGATGCTTAGTTGAGATTATTATCATATATATCCTTCTTTTCCTTGATTTCTTCTACGTATGTTTGTTTGCTTTGCATTGTAATTGTCGTTAAACAATTGTTGAGTATATTATGCGGAGAAACGAGTATGAAGATAAACCGCATCATGTTATGCGCATAAATAAATTAGAAAGACAGCAACAGCAACAGCAGTAGCGGCAGCAGTAGCAGCAGCAACTATTTATTTTTTAGCGGGTGCTGCGGATGTGTCGGTATGCATAGTCTCATTTAATTGGTTAAAATGGGCGAATAGTGCGTATTCGATTGAAGACTAGCATTAAGAGATGTTTTGGAAGGGTTCAATTCCTTTAAAGTTGAGCTAATTTAGAGCTAATTTAATTATCCATTTTGATCGTCAACATCATCATTATTGTCCTTACATGGATAATGGCAGAGTGGAGGGGAAGAGGACGGGAGGTTCGGCTGATATGTTTATTTACATTTATGTATATATATATAACGATGTGTAATTAGATGTCTGAGTTGATCCCTTTGTAGCAAATACTTCTGTGTTATTAGGTTTACATGGACGGTATCTCCGGGGTAGTGAATCGGAGTCCTCGAGAAATATGGCAGTACGTAAATATATATTCTTGATATTCTTGCAATGAATGGGTTAAATATTAGTATTGCATAGTAAGGACGTGGATTATATATTATTTAAGTAGTTTCTTATTGTGCTCAAGAGATCCATTTGTTAAACTTTACATGTTCTAGTCCTATAGTATCGAAGTTTTCTATTATTAAGAGTTGTTGTTTCTTTGTGCCAATGGAAACGTCTTGATGAGTTTTTATTTTATGGGTTTAGGATGTAAGAGAACAAAACTAAAAAAAATATATGTGTGTGTGTGTATTACATTATCATTATGTACAAGTGATATATACGATTCTATTTTCTCTATGTAGTATCTCTTTCTCTTCTTTTTTTTTGTATATCTATGTAATGCTGTGATTTTGATATTAAACCAAAAAAAATGAGGAAAAAATGAGATAATATTGATGATGATGCTATAGAATAAAAATTATGACATGGATGATGAAAGTGGTAGTTATAGTCATTCATTAAAATAAGTAAGAAATTATTCTTGATTTAAATCACTTATTCTAAGATCTTATCTTTCATTCCACTCCATAGACCTGCTACACCTGCTACTATACCAGATGCATAAGCCATTTGTTTTGGACCTCTTGAAGATCTGAATAATGCACCTGTAAGACCTCCTGCAATAACAGATCCTGCAACATCATGTTTACCTCTAAAGCCATCAATACTTGAATTAATAATATTATAACCTAATGCTAATATACCAGCACTATTCCCCATAAATGGACCACGTTTAGTGACACTATTCAATATAGTATTTAATTGTAATCTACCACTTGCATTCGGTGGAATAGCTTTAACACCTTGTATAAATCCACTAAAACCACCAATACCTAAACCTAATAAATATACTGCACCTGTACCATAACATAAATCATCAGACCAACCACGAGAAGGAATTAGTCCTTGAGAACCTTCCATAGTAGATAGTTGTTCATCCTCAAGGTCCATATATTCAACACCTTTCTCCAGACCAGCTAATGGATGTAATCTTGATGAATCAAAACCTGGTGTGGTTAATATACTAGCAATATTTGTTAATTTAGAAGTATCGATCTCATTATGATTAGAGACACGATCAAAGGTCTCTGATCCGTTATCACTCAACATAGATGCCATTTTTTGGTCGTTATTTTTTTGTTTGTCTATTTAGGTATCTTATCCAAAACGATATGTTCAGTCTATATCTTATTCTTTATGACTCGTTTCATTTTAATTATATAGCGCCTGTCCTTTTCTTCGTCAACTTTCAAATTTCTGCAGAATTCCATGACTGTTATTTTTTTTCCCTCATTTTGCGTTGGTGATACAATAATACACAATTTTAATATATACATATTGTAAAAAACACACCCTGCCAGCTCGTTTAAAGTGACAGACATATATATATATAGTAACCATTCATAATAAATAACCATTTTTTATTATTTTTGCTTCTTGTTACTATTAGAATCTGTATCCGATTCTAATGATCTTTTTTTATCTGTTTGTTGTTGCTGTTTTTGATCCAATCTCATTGATTCAATATTTTTTAAAGGATCGTTACTTTTACATTCACCTGTAATATTATCCATTTGTAATAATAAATAATTTAATTCATCATAATTTTTACAACGTGTCACATATTGATACATTTTTTGTTTACCTGGAATAATTCTACTCAACATATACTTTGTATTACCAAAATGATTTTCCATCTTAATTGCAATTTGATAATATTCATTAACTACAAGTGGCCAACTTAATGGTGAATCATTAAATACAGATGGATTTGATTCTGCATTATCTGCAATCATTCCACCAACAGTTTCAGGTAGTCCAAGTGCTTTTCTCGTATTAATAAAATGTGCCTTATCTTTAAGTTTCCCATTCATTATTAATGAAACACCTGCCTTTTGACAAATAATTTCAATATCTTTTAAATATTCCCATCTTGGAGCATCCCTATTTCTCATTTCTCTTGTACGACAATGTACAGTTAAATTAGTTATACCAGTTGAACAAATTTTTTCCACTAAAGTTAATGTATTTTGTAAATTATCAAGGATTCTAATCTTGCAACTAATTGGTTTATTATTTGGTTTACCAACCTCATTAACTAAACTCTTTAAAATACTACATAATAAATCAGGTGTTGATAATAATGCAGCACCCATACCTGAATGAATGGAGAAATGTTTTGGACAACCACAATTTAAATCAATACCATCGACATCATTAACAACTTTTAAAGCTGCTTGCACTGCACGATCTGGATTATTTGAACCAATTTGAAATATTAATTTACCAGATTCTTTACTTGGTAAAGTACGAAATACAACTGTATTAGTTGAATCTCTATTATTATTATTATTATTTGATGTAGTAATAAAATCTATTGTATTTAATTTTTCATTAATTAATCTTTTTGTTTGAATTAATTTAACGTCAACAATTTCAGGTGACCAAACTAAATCAGCACCATGTTGTAACGCTAATAATCTTGTTGGTAATTCACCTGCCCTAACCATAGGTGCAAGCACCAATTTTCCAGCATAAGACATATTGTTGATACACGTATGTCTCTTTTCTGTATTGTTTTGTTCTCGAGCTAGCAAATATATAAATATATCTACACATATATCAACGAAGCATTACTTTAAGATCAAGGGCATCGCAAAAATTACTAAGAAAAAAACTTCGTATGTAATATAATTAAAAAAGGCGAATAATTCATGGGAAATTCGCTCTATGGAAAAAAAAAAAATAGAATAAAGATAATATCAATTAAAATTATTTTAAATATGCAGAAATTTAAATATATATTCTGTTTTCAAACAGAACCAGCTGAAGTTTCAGTATATAAAGGCTTAGAGAACCTAATTGCGATAGATCTAGTTCTATGATGTGTTTTATTATGTCTATGTATCACACCATCAATATCTAACGTAGTTTTCACGATATCTATCTTATTGTCAAAGACAAAAGGCTTCTGTTGATGATCCACATCATCAATTTTATATTGAATAATTAAAGTTGCTGGAACAGCATGTTTCGTTGTATTTAGTGCTTGTGTCATTATTAAAAGATAGATGGGAAGGGAATGCCGTAATAGACTCTTTTCAGTAAAATGCGTTTCTTAGTGATATATTTATTCTTTTAAACATTAAATATATAAGACCAAGAGAGTATAACATTTTTTTGGATCAACAAATATCATAAATAAAATAAGTAATCGAATGACATAAGTATTTATACTTAGTATGCCATATTCCCCTTTTTGCCTTTTACCACAGGGGTAGAGAAAAAAAAGTGATTACTTCTTTACAATTATAGCCCTATGTGACATCATACATGCCCATCGATCACCATCAACGTTCATTATCTTCTCTTCAACTACTTAATTTAATCTAAGATGGTAAGTGATTCTCTTTTTTACTGCCACCCTTTAATGACATCGTTGAATATATCGATGCGGCTGTTTCAACAACGAGCAAAAATAAAATAAAATTTATATATTTTCTCTCTGTCTCTGTCTGTGCAGCGCTGTAGAGAGGAGAGAGCTGAAGGGAAGGCAGCGGTGTGGGGATGTTTCTCAGGCAGAGACTGAGAAAGACAGACAGAGAGGAGAGAACTGACTACCTGCCTGCCTGCCTGGCCTGCTATGCGAGAGGAGAGAGCGAGAGGAGTTTGATAGAGAGAGGGAGAGAGACCCTTGAGATTAACTTGATTGCAATTTTTGTTTAATTAGAAATGGAACTGTCAAAGAATTATCACTTATGACAGCTGTTTCTGGTTGTTGCAAATGATGGAGTGCAACCTAACGTTAACTTGTCCGTATATATTATATTTAGATATTAGAAACAAGATTATTAACGGTTGTGTGATATATTTACTGTGTGTAGTTATTAGCTGTATATTCTACTTTATTCTTTCTTGATGAAGAAGGTAATAATAACACATAGCTCTTCTCTGTTAGAAAGTCAGCTGATATATCGAATATAGAGTTTGTGTTTTTCAATGCTAATCCCAAATGTTCACATAATGTATGTATGTATCTTTACAATACAAATTATAATATGATCTTCCAATTTTCTGAGTAAATTTCTATTTACGGCAAAGTTACCGAGAAATAATAAGAAAGGAAGAAAAATGAAAAATAATAGATAATTTTATCGATTTTGAATAGATTGGGATGTAAATTACATATTTTAAGGAAATTGAGAATTCGTGTTTTTCTTTGCTATAGTAGTCCATTAAATTATTTATATTGAAATAAATAAATAAATATTGTTATCTCCATAGATATATATATATATATAATACTGTGAATTGTTGATATTTCCCTTTTAATATATGTGTATTTTTACAACCCTTATCATATAACCCTTAAAGTCCTAAAACAAAAAAGAGAGAGAGAGAGAGAAGCAGAACATAATTAAATAAAAATGAAGTTTTCTCATTCTTTACAATTTAATGCTGTCCCTGAATGGTCATCAAAATATATTGCTTATTCACATTTGAAAAAATTAATTTATTCTTTACAAAAAGAAAAATTATATTCAAAAGGTAATAATAATCTAATAATTGATACGGAACAAACTCCATTATTAGAAGATAATTTGGATCCTTATATTATTAGATTTATTCAACAATTAAATATTGAATTGAAAAAAATTGATAAATTTTATATTTCACAAGAAACTGGTGTATTAGCAAATTATAATGAATTAAATGATGATGTTAATGAATTTAAATTAAATCTGTTAAATAATAGATTACCAAGTTTAAGTGATGCTGTACCACAACAATCAAAAGATAATAACACTAATAACCTTATTATGAAAAATATTAATAATAAAAATAAAAATAAAAATAGAAAATTAAATAGAAGGAAAAGAAAATCTACTGGTAGAAAAAATAGTATGCCAGATTTGCCTCATATTACAAGAATTGCTACAACAACTAGTGAATTACAAGGAATCGCAACTACCGGGAATGGACCATTCACGGATATTGATGCTAATGTTGCAGATGAAGATGATTATGACGACGATGATGACGATGACGATGAATCGATGAATTCTGGATTGGCTATGTCGATTGAATCTGCTCCAGCTATTGGAATAAATAATGATTTAGATATGGTTGATGACGTAGATATTAATAGTAATAATATTATTGCTACTCAAAAGTCAAGAAATTCATTAAATACTTGGGGATCATTGTCTCAATCAAGGGATCATAATGGTCCAAATTATTTAATTACACCTTTCTTACAACATAAAGTTACTTTAAAGAAAAGATTAGTAGCAATGTTTACGCAATTATCTGAATTAAAAGAATTTATTGAATTAAATCAAACTGGATTTTCAAAAATTTGTAAAAAATTCGATAAATCTTTAAATACAAAGATTAAGAATGATTATTTAAATACAATCATTACAAAATCGCATGTTTTTAAACCTGAAACTATTGCAAATATTAAATCTTTATTAAAAGATACTATTATCACATATGCTAATTTATCGAAAGAAACTTATCCAACAATTCCAACTTGGACAGAATTAAGTAATAATAATAGTGATCTTTACTTGAATGTTGATGAAATTGATAATGATCAAGATACTCATATGAGTAGAGATGAATTAATTGATTATGAAGCTGCCGAAAAAGAATTGTCATCACATTTAAGAGACCATGTTGTTTGGGAAAGAAACACAGTTTGGAAAGATTTAATGAATTTGGAACGTAAATCTCAAAATGTGAAGACTACCCATGTAAATAATATTCGCACAAGGAATAACTCTTTAGTTGGAGCAACGGGACCACAATCAGCTGTGATAGAATTTGATTCCACTGGTAATTATTTGAATGTTGAGACAATTGCGGATTTTTCAAAATTATCAATAAAACAGATACTATTCTTAATTTTAAATGCTACGGTATTATGGAAATTTCTTTTTATTACAGGTATTTTCCTTGTATTTGTTTGCCTTTATAGTCCTTTTGAAGATATTTTACAAAGAAATTGTTTCGCAATCTTAATATATGCATCATTACTTTGGGCCACTGAAACTTTACCATTATTTGTAACTTCTTTGTTGATTCCATTATTGATTGTAGTCTTCCCTGTTCTTAAGGATCCTTCCTCGATGAAACCATTGTCTTCAGTACAAGCATCTCAATTTATCCTCTCTACGATGTGGTCAAGTGTTATAATGTTACTATTAGGTGGGTTTACTTTAGCTGCTGCGTTATCTAAATATAACATTGCAAAAGTTTTGTCCACTTATATTTTATCTTCAGCAGGTACTAACCCTCAAGTAATTTTAATTACAAATATGTTTGTTGCTGCATTTGTCTCTATGTGGGTATCTAATGTTGCAGCACCCGTTCTTTGTTATTCTATTATTCAACCATTATTACGTACTTTACCAAGGAATTGTGAATATTCTAAATCATTAATTCTTGGGATTGCTCTAGCTTCAAACATCGGTGGTATGTCATCACCTATATCTTCACCACAAAACATTTTCTCATTTGGATTAATGTCACCGCCTCCATCTTGGATAGAATGGTTTATCATTTCAATTCCTATTTGTATTATTAGTATATTATTGATTTGGGTATTGCTTTTATTAACTTTTAAGACTGACTCAAAGGATATCAAGATTTTACAATTCCACCCTCTGAGGGATCCTTTCACGATTACTCAATGGTTCGTCTCAATTACAAGCATAGGTACAATTTTATTATGGTGTCTATCAAATAAACTCTCGGATAGATTTGGTGATATGGGTATTATTTCTATTATTCCAATAGCACTATTATTTGGTACTGGTCTATTAAGCTCAGACGATTTCAATAACTTCATGTGGACAATTGTTATCCTAGCTATGGGTGGTACAACTTTAGGTAAAGCTGTCTCTAACTGTGGTTTGTTATCCACAATTGCTCATATTATTAAAGAAAGCGTAGAGGGACAACCATTGTTTTTAATTGTTCTATTATTTGGTCTCGGGGTGTTGATAATGGCTACTTTCGTTTCGCATACTGTTGCTGCTATGATATTGGTGCCGCTGATGGGTGAAATTGGTGCAAACTTACCTGGTGATGATCACTCCAGACTACTAATTATGATTACTACTCTATTATGTTCATGTGCAATGGGTTTGCCTACAAGTGGGTTACCTAACGTGACGGCAATTTCTATGATTGATGAAGTCGGGGATAGATATTTAACGGTTGGAAACTTTATTACCAGAGGTGTGCCGGCAAGTTTAATAGCATATTTCTTAGTCGTTACCGTAGGCTATGGTGTATTGAGACTACTAGATTTTTGATATGCACAACTTCATATCATTATTTTATTTATATATACGATTATTCAGGATAAAGAAAGAAATTACTATTTGTAAATATAAAAATTATTGTATATTGTTACTTTTTTTTGTTTCTGTTTTCAAATTTTATATAGGAATAAATGTCAATTATTTACAACCAAAATATTTGGTATCTATAAATCTCGAGGAAGCCCATTTCATGTGACTCTCCTTCATGTCCTGATTCATAATAATTTTACCAACAATTATAGCTATCTTGTTTCCAAAAGCATTGATGATTCTTTTCAATCCAATTTCTGTTGCAAGAAATACGACTAATGTCATGTGTTCAAGTTTGACACCGTAGTCAAGTAATACTTGTATTGCCATCAGTGTAGAAGTTCCTGTAATGACTTGCCCTTGCAAAACTAAAAGGTTTTGAAATTTTGCTATGTCCTTTGGTAAAAATTCTCCATGTAATTGTGGTTCACCAGTAAGAGAATCTGATTGGATTAAAAGTTTACCAATAGTAATGTTCGGGATAGTCTTCCTTACTGATTTCATAAAACAATCACCAGAACGTATCAAACTTACGGATGTTATTCGATCAAAATTACACCTCAAAGCGTTTTGAATGTGATAATTGGAGGCCGTAGTTAAACTTTCTTGTTTGTGTACAGGTACATTATCGAGTGCTTTCGATAACAGAATCATAGCAAATCGATCAACAAAGAAAACAAAACTATCTCGGTCGCAATCTTTGTCTACTATCATTGTCAAAATTGCTTTAACTTGATGCGTTTGTTCCAGTTCTATAACCTTAGGATTACTAGCAAACGTGATGTATTTATGGCCAGATGATATTTCACATAACCTGTTCAATTCCATGATATGTTTCTCAGATTTTAGGTCTAACCTTGATTTAATATGATCTACTAGTAGTGTTACTGCAATGGTGTTTTCACCCATAGAGGGAATGATAGCATCTGCATTTTTCATGGTTGGCTTGACATACTTAACAGCATTAGGTTTAACAAATCTTTCCCATTGGTCGATACATCCATGTAGATCACGTCCTCGAGAAACAATATCACGACTCAATCTTCTTGCCAGACATACGTCTAAATCTGCATCTACATAAATCTTGATATCCATTAAATTCAACAATTTTTCATCATATAACCCATATATTCCCTCTAAGATGACTACACTTGCCCCATATATGGGAATTGTCTTACCAGGAACTCTGTTATGGTTTACAAAACTATATATCGGAATATCGGTTTTTTTGCCTTCTTTCAGACTTGAAATACATTTGTAAGCTAAATCCAAGTCAATTGCAGCGGGTTCATCAAAATCATACTCACTTTTGAAGGCTCTCTCCGATTCTTCAGCAGTCAAGGGTTTATAGAAATTGTCCAACGATATTAGAACGGTCCAAGGAACGTTGATCATTGATACAATTTTTGAAGCCACACTTGTTTTTCCGGAACCTGATGGACCACCAACACCAATTATGTAAGGAGTGGTCCATGGTGGTACATATTTAGGATTCCTTCGATCATAGGACATCATAGAATTCCCACTGCTTCTTCTTGTTTTCCTCTTTTTTTGATGGTTTGTCCTATTAGGGGACGATGGAGGACTCAAGTATTCCTCTACAGCAGTTGACGACATTATTCTTTGATATAGAAACTTTTAGGGTTACAGTATTATTTGTAGTAATAGGAAACCTCGATGAATAAAATGAGTGAAAGCTCTTTTGAGATTTCTAATCGTCTTTTATTATAGTACCTTGAAAAATGAATAATTTTACAAGGATTATCTAAACTTTACAAGTTCGCGATGATCTCCGTAAATGGCTGTAGCACCAATTTTAATTATAGGCAGAAAAATTTTATAAAATAATTGAACAGTGATTCACATATAAGTAAACATATAAGGGCATGTTAAGAAAAACATTCAAAGAAAAACAGAAGTTTCACAGTAAATATTTGGCTGAGTAACTTAAATCGGATGTATGCATTACTAGAAGATCTGGTATAACTTTAATTGTTAAAAGATGGAAAATTCAGATAAAATCAGTGGTATCGGTATGAGAAGAAGGAAGGTGCGTGAGGAGGAGTCACAGGAGGAACAAACTGAGATGAAACAGGTAAACGAAAGTAATAATGTACTATTAAATGAACAGAAAGATCATGCTATAATACAAGAAAATGCTGATGTAGAAGTCCCTCGAAAAAGTAGGTATGACCCTACTGATAGAAAAACTAGCAAAGATTATGATGACAACAGAGGTAAATCCAGATCAAGATATAATCCCAATCCACTAACCGAAGAGGAGAAATATAATATATGGATCAAACAACTAGTTGAATTAGAACGTAAATTAAAAAAATTCGGATGGGAGCATTTGAGTCGCAAAGATCAGGATGAACTTGGTTTAAAAAGAGAACTGATCGAACTGTACGAACAAAGGAAAAAGGATGGAATAGATGGTTTCAAACTTGAACAAGTTGAAATAAATGAAAGCAGCAAAGAAAAGGAAATAACAAGAAATAATGGAAATGACCAGAAGGATGACAAAAGAACGCGACAGCAGATGTGGGAGGAGCACCAATTAGGGAATGCTGTTAGTACACATAACATAGATGAGATATATCTACCTGAATCAGAGAAATATGATTACGTATTTGATAAAGAAGCGATGATAGGTTTCACAAGTGATTCGACGGATATCCTGGCTGATAGCGATGAGGAACATGAAGAAAGTTCAGAAGAAGAGGATGAAGAAAAAAAGACATTACTAACTCAACTTGAAATTGAAGCCACCAGAATTAAAAGTATCGGGGAATCAAGGAAATTACTTCCTGTGTATGCATATAGGACAGAGCTAATGGAGGCAATTAAAGAGAATCAAGCACTAATTATTGTTGGGGAAACAGGTTCTGGTAAAACCACCCAACTTCCGCAGTACTTGGTTGAAGACGGCTATACAGAAGGAGGTAAATATCAAGTTGCAGTTACACAGCCACGTAGAGTTGCAGCTATGTCTGTTGCAGCAAGAGTTTCTGACGAGATGAATGTTGTTCTTGGTAAGGAAGTTGGTTACTCAATCAGATTCGACGACAAGACTACTCCTGGTAAAACTATTCTGAAGTATATGACAGATGGTATGCTACTTAGAGAATTTCTTACAGATCCTGAACTTTCGAACTATTCATGTATTATGATTGATGAAGCTCATGAAAGGACTTTAGCAACTGATGTCCTATTAGGTCTCTTAAAGAATATTATGAAAAACAGGAAATCATTGAAGTTACTAATCTCCTCGGCTACGGTGAATGCAAAGAAGTTTTCAGCTTTTTTTGATGACTGTCCTATTTTTAATGTTCCTGGTAGGAGGTATCCAGTTGATATACATTATACTTTGCAACCAGAAGGGAACTATATCAATGCAGCGATCACTACCATATTCCAAATCCATACTACACAATCATTAAAAGGTGATATTCTTCTTTTCCTTACCGGTCAAGAGGAGATTGAACACACAAAAGAAAAGATAGAAGAAATTGCAGCAAAACTTGGAGCAAGAATCCCGCAACTACTAATCACACCAATATATGCGAATTTACCACAAGAACAGCAAGCAAATATATTTCAGAAGACACCAGAAAAATGCAGAAAAGTTGTCCTTGCAACGAATATAGCAGAAACATCATTGACAATTGATGGTATTAAATACGTCATAGATCCGGGTTTTGTAAAAGAAAATTCGTATGTTCCATCTACGGGTATGACACAATTGTTGACTATTCCTTGTTCAAAAGCATCTGTGGACCAGAGAGCTGGTAGAGCTGGTCGTGTGGGCCCAGGTAAATGTTTTAGACTATTTACCAAGTATTCTTATGAAAATGAATTGGAAGCCATGCCTAGGCCAGAAATCGTTAGAACGAATTTATCAAACACCGTTTTGCTGTTATTGTCCCTAGAAGTAAAGGATTTGCTACATTTTCCATTTTTGGACCCTCCTCAAATTTCGACGTTAACTAAATCTTTAGAGAACCTCTACATTCTAGGTGCCTTGAACAGCAAAGGTCAAATCACTGAACTTGGTAAAATGATGTGTGAGTTCCCTTGCGAACCAGAGTTCGCAAAAGTGCTACATACGGCAGCTACTCATCCAAAGGCAGGGGGTGTGCTAGAGCAAAGCCTAAGTATAGTTTCAATGTTACATGAAATTACTTCGATATTTATTGGTAATAAGAAAGAAGCTACAGCTCGTATTGTAAGTGATATTGGTAGTGATCATTTACTATATCTTAAAATCTACGAAGACTGGGAATCTTCTAACTATAGCCGTTCTTGGTGTCAAGATCATAAAATTCAACACAAGACTATGTTAAGAGTTCGCAATATTCGGAAGCAATTAAGCAGATGCTGTGTAAAATTGGGATTAACTGCGAAAAATTCAGCTCTTAAAGGAGATGAAGGTATGGTTGAGAACGTATTAATTGGGAGGTTGACAAAATCTTTCATTACCGGTTTTCCCTTAAACATTGTACAATTAAAAAGTGGAGGATACCAAACCATTGGTAAGTCTAAAGGTGGATTGAATGTCACAATTCATCCGTCAAGTGTAATATTTCAAAATCAAAAGGAAAAGGGTAAAAAATTAGATAAGTTTATCTTATATCAACAACTAATGCTAACTTCAAAAGAGTTTGTAAGGGATTGTCTACCTATACCAAATGATTTGTGGTTAACTGAGATGGTTCCACAAATTTTTGACAGTTTAATTGACGATAAGTAATCAATATAACAGCATTGTATTTTAAATGAATGATAGAATTAGATAGTTTGTATTTTCTAAATTTATTTAAGAGCCCAGTTTCTATTTTTAGTTTCTTTCAAATTTCAAAAATTATTTAATTTACTAAACGTTAAAAAATGACTTCTATTTATTTTACGAAGTTAAATAAACCATTTATTAATGAGTATATACGATATATATATTATGGCGAGACGAGTAGAATTAATACAATTTGGTATTTGTTCCTTAATATGGTAACGTTACATCTCCATCTCAATGTCATCCAGTATAGCATTGTCATCATCTGCAACCGAAGTAGATTGGATTTCATTATCATCGTTTGGAAGTTCAGCTGTCGCAGTTTCGGGATTACTATTATCATCATTATTGTTGTTTTTGTCACTTTTATTATCAGTTTCTACAACAGTCTCTTGATGTTCGTTAATTTGTTCAGGTGAATTTATTTTTTCAGTTTCGTTCTTTTTTAAATTAACAGATTTCTCTTCTTCGTTGTTGTCTTGTACATTTTCCTCTTTGACACTTTGTTCACCTTCCTCTTTGACACCTTGTTCACTTTCTTCTACTTTATTTTCCTGTTGTAATTCACCCTGTTGCTCTTCTTTTCCTTCTGTTACAGGGTCAGTTTCTTCAGAATCGGGTTCATAATTACAGTTTGTTAGAATTTCTGAGATTTTACTTCGAAGATCTAACAATACATTTTTCTTTATCTGCAGTTCGTTTTCCCTATTCGTTATAAATTGCTCCCATTCGTTTGTACTCTTACTCAATAATTCTAAAGAGGAATCGCTCTCTCTAATAAGAGTCTTACAATTCCTTAATCTATGTCTAATCAGACCTGTCTTGGTCTCTAATTGATTATTGGATCTATTTGGATCCTTTTGAATTTGATATAATGTGTAGAATATGTGCGGTATAAATTCTGTTGTAGCTACCGTACTTTGTGTTGAAGAGGATTTGGAGCTCGAAGACCCAGGAGGTATGGTAAACGTTTCATTTTCTGACTTAGGAGGTATTAAGATTTCTTGGATCCTACTAAGGTCTTCATTTTGTAAAACTTTGTAACTTCCACTCATTTTTATATTTGTGGTGTGAGTACAGAGGGTAATTGGTGATGAACTTTTTCTTTCGTATCTATAATAACCTCTCCAAAGAAGAACTTATTAGTCGGTTCTTTGCACAGTCTTTAATATCTTAATTATTTTCATTTTCACTGCAAAAATCCGCTTGATTAAAAATGTCGCGAGACACGACACAGATCTTTTGATACAGTTAGACAAAAATTGTGTCACCCATAAATACTCGTTCTATTCAAAACCAAAATAGATATATTATGATTAAGGTCTTTACCTCAGATTAATAATTTTAATCTTATCTGTTATGATTATGTTCAACTAAAAAGTTATGTTTTCTTTCTATATGAGTTTATATAAATATAAATGGTTGAGGTAATTTTACATGTAGATTATGAAAAGAATAGTAATTTTATTTTGTAGTTTTTGACTATTAAGAAAACAATTGAAACATGAATAAGATCGTATTATACATTTCCTTTCTCTCTGGGTTTGTTTGCGACTAAATTACATTTAATATCTTTATTGAAAATGATATCTTGTCGTGATGCTAATTTATAGTGGGTGAATGTGTATGTTTTGCAATGGTAAGATCGAAAGCAATAGAGTTCAAAATTGATTACTGCTTGTGAACAAATGCATTAAAGACTTTGCAGCCTTCACGCTCATGGGTGTCTCTTGTTTATTTAAGAAACTTAATTTCTGTTGATCACGTATTGGTGTCGTCATTGTATTCACTACAGTAGTATCATTATGATTCTTCATAGTGGTTAAGTTAATCTTACCACTATTGTTGATATTATTAATTTTGTTGTTGTTATGGATTGTGGTAGTAGAGACACTTGAATCGACACATGTATTATATGACCTTGAAAATGTTTCATCAGCAGCAGCAGTAGCAGTAGAACATAATAATGGTTGAGTAGTATGTTTCTTTGATGGAGTTCTATAATTACCTTGAGACACTACCAATTTTCTTCTCTTTGGGCCCTTACGTGATGTTCTTTTATTAACATTATTTGATTTTTGAAGAATATGTTGACGTTTTAAATCAGCAAAATTTAAATCACTTTGTTTAGTTTTATATTTATAATATGCAAATTGTAATCTAACTTTCAATTTTTTTGAAATTTCACCATAGTTTCTAAGTGGAGGAATAGGTAATGAATGTGAACGTACCAATAACGGTTCTGTCATAACGGATGGCAAAGTATGTAATTGATGGTGATGATAACGTGGTGTCAAATTCATTTGATTGTCATCCACTGAAGTATGATTAATAAGAGATTTAATGGAAGGCAATGTAGTCATTGAAGTGGTTTTGGTAGCGCCTGCTAGACGACTTCCACCAAACAATTCCAATCTGTTCATTCTAGCATTAGAATAGTCACTTAATGGGAAACGATAATTTTGTAGTGACATGATTTAATATAATAGAAGGAAGAAGAAAAATGCAAAAGAAAATGGAAAAAAAAAATAGTAATAATAAATGATATGTAAATGAGTTGTAGAAAAATGCAAAACTATGTATAAGTGAATATACACTTATTTTTATTCTATCAATTCGAAAAGGAAGTTTACCAAAAATATATAGATATCTATCACTGTATTGCGATTTAAGTATGTAGATAATTGTTTGTTTTTTACTTTCAAGTAACTACATATATATATATATAAATGAAGTTTTGTATACTTAAGAGCAGTACTAAATATTACATACACAATGAAGAAGAAAAATATCAACAAATAGAAGCCATATACGAACTCACCCACTAAACGTCTTGTTCTCACATCCTTCCATTGAGTAAGAATCGGTTATAAACAAAACAACAAAACAACACACAAAACAAGACAAAACAAAACAAACAAGAACCTTACAGAAATTTAAAATAGTCTATTGCATTGGAATCTCTGCATGAGAACCTCATCACGATCACAGTCACTAATCAGAATAACCATAAAAAAAAAAATCCCATCATCAACGGGTTCTACAGCTTATAACGATTTCTTCTGCACGTCACAAAAGAAAGAAAGAGAATATCGCCAAAAACATCAAAAATCAAAACAAATACAACGCCAAAATGCGCGCATACGATTTTTGAAAACTTCGCGGCGCGTCTTCATTGTTGACAAATTGACCGTTTTCGGATTTTATGCTTGCAGCGGTTTCTTGAGTTTTGCAATAAGTAAATTAGGTCATATAAACATTCAATACATAGAAGAAGATACATTCAGATATCGAGGTACCAGGGAGTTGATCTTTTGAACAAAATAAGATATAGATGTTGAGAGAAGGTGCATACTGGAATTCGTGGTGTGTATGTACGTTTGTATGTAAGATGTCTTATCCCTTTTTTTCTGCTTGGGTATCTCTGTTTCTTTCTCTCTTTTGGGAGTAGCGCCTTACATTGGGAAGTCGATGTTAGCCACCCAGCTTGTGAGATTTGAATGTAACTTGTTGCTGATTGTTGAACCGTAGCCACCTGCTATTTTCAAGATGTATTCATTCAGTTCTGCACTACCTAGAATATCGACATGATCAGCAGTCTTGGAACCACCACGAATATCAAATCTATCTGGTTCATGTTTGATCTCAACAATAGTAACATTCATTCCAGATGGATTATATGGTGATTTGCCTTGAGCCCATTTGTGACACATTGCATGTGACATTATCGGAACTGTACCATCACCATTAGTTAAAAATACTGGTGTATCACTATCATAATCAATTGTTAAATTTAATGATGATGTATCATTAGCGTGATTTTCACGATATACATATGCACGTTCAGTTGGATTATCTACACCATAGATACAATATATCTTCATATTTGGTGCATTAGGTAAAGGCACATCCATTGGATTTGTCCAATGTGAATGATCTTTTACATTGTCATTCATTTCGTCTTCTGTTGTTGCATAACCATAACTATATTGTTCATGCATTCTCTTAACTAACCATGGTGGTGATACTGTTTCAATTAAATCTATCGCTGAAGCCATTGTGAGATTCTGTTCATAAGCATCACCTAAAATTTTCTCAAATCTAATAAAATTACCATAAGTATCTGTATTGTTATGTAATTCATCTTCTGATGAATAACTTAAATTACCCCAAATTAAATCACCACCTTTTGGTAACATTGATGGTATACCACCCCAAGTTTGTAACATTTCAACTCTTTCTTTACGACTAAAAAATTTTTCTAAGCCATACATTGCTAATGCATTCAATTGAATTGTATCCTTCATTTCACCACTAATTAAAGCAGGTACAGCTTTGGGGGCTCCTAATAATGTACCTGCAACATTAACAAATGATTCGATATATTTATCTACCCATCCAGGTCCCGCATTACCATACAATGGTCCCTCAGCTTCTACCCATTTAAGGAAATAAAATACAATTTGTGAACCCATTGAATGTCCAACCAATATTGTCTTTTCACCCGTAAGTTTATAAAATAATTCAATCTGTTGTTTTAATTTACTGAAATATTGATCACGCCTTTCAAGATCTAAATAGGCTAATCTCCAATCATATGATGCTGTAACCATTGTATCAGGTTCATAACCAATAGCACCTAAATTTTGTAATACTTTATTCCAAATCCAATAACCTGTAATGAAAAAATCACTACTTTCAAACCCTTGAGCAGCTCTCAGTTTAAAATGCTTCGGATCAAGTCCAGTGACAGGATCTAAACTAACATGTTTCAGCCAACATACTTTATCCATTACCATAGTTTTTAACATATAGAATGAACCCCATAATCTTTTTCTAAAATGAGGTGATGAATCACATTCCCCATCACCTTGAACACCCCAACTTTCAATACCTGTAGAAATAACACCTGGAACCATAACGACTGGATATTTTGCTTCTAATTCCATATCCTTAATTAATTGTCTACCGACAGCAAAATTCTCACCGAGGTCTTGTAATTGGTTAGCTGCATAACCAGTTTGTATATCCGAAATAAATGATGTAAATCCACGAGGTAATATATCTTTCCAATCATCAAGATAGTCCTTAACGTTTTCAAAATTGACCATATTATCAAATAATTCAATGTTGTTACTATGAACATGATAAGAACCAAAATATGCTGCCATTGCTACACCTAAGAAAGCACCCAGAAAAAAAATAAATCTACGAGAGTCTCTTAGTCTTTTATTTGCAACTTTACCCTCTGTAAAAGAATTACGTCTCTTAATTGATCTTCTGCTTGACACCGATTCATTATCACTCAAATTCATTAGCCTTTCCTCCCTGACATCCATATCTTCAACTCCGGAGTTAGAAACTATATTGCTCAATGACCCATTTCTCACACGACCACCAGTATTATACTCCAGGCTATAATCAGGAACTACATTTTCATCATCATCCGAGTCGTCCCCCATATCAGGTCTTTCCCTATCCAACCATTTCTTTCTTTTTACCATCATGTCTTCTATCTTTCTTTATATATGTATATGTATATGTATTCACTTGTTCGTATTGCTTTTATTAACTTATCAATACTAAACAATTCAAACTAAATTACAAAACAAGAATCTGTAGTAGAGAATCCCCCTCTTTTATAAACTCTCCCAACAAAAAATTTCTTGCAGTCGTTTATTCTATCCAAGTTGAGAAAATTGTATTATATTGCAATTTTTCTTTTAAATCCGAAATCGATAGGCTTTTTTCCTTTTGTCCCTTGAAATTCGCTTAGTGGTTCAAACAATACACGCGTGGTGGTTACCTTTAACAATATTTAAATTGTGTTTGACTATTAAGACAGATAATAAGATAAGTCAGATTACTAATAGGAAAGGTTGAATGTTAGCAACCAACTACAAATAATATATTACTTATAATTTGCAAGTTAGTATCAATAATTTTAGAAGCGGTTATACTATTATTAAGAAAAGCAAACAATTCCAAATATTTCATAATCAATATACTATTTTTATATATATACATATTTTTTTTGGAAATAGAAGAAACCTCATAGACTCACGTACGTCATAAATGTTAAGATCAACTTTAAGCAGTTGGAGAGAATACCTAACTCCTATATCTAACAAATCTACTTTTTTATCCACAGGGCAAATAACACCAGATGAATTTGTTCAGGCAGGAGACTATTTGGTGCATATGTTTCCTACGTGGTCTTGGAATGGTTCAATGGCGATTAATGACTTATCGATAAGAGACTTTCTCCCCGAAGACAAACAATTTTTAGTTAGTAGGAAAGTTCCTTCAACAGTTAGGGCTCAAGATTTATTTAATATAGATTATAATGATGAACTAGATGATGGTGATGAGCATGAGGTAGAAATTAAACAAATGGAGACGGATATCACTAAATCCAAGGACGAAGAAATGGTGTCTTCTTCTGTAGATTCAACTATTAAACAAGTTGATGATATTGATGACATGTTAAAGAATATGGAACTTGATGAAGCTGAAGATGGAGATGATGAAATTATTATAAAAACTGAAGATAACTCCGAAGATCAAAAAAGATACTATGATCTTTACATTACTTATTCGACATCATATAGGGTTCCTAAAATGTACATAGTAGGGTTTAACGCTCAAGGCACACCATTGACTCCCGATGAAATGTTTGAAGATATCGCATTAGACTATAGACATAAAACTGCTACAATTGAAAAATTACCTTTCTTTAAAGATACAGTCTTATCTGTATCAATTCACCCTTGTAAACATGCAAACGTTATGAAGATACTATTAGAGAAGATAAGGAAAGTCAATGAGAGAAAGAGATTAGAAAATAAAAACGATAATATAGAGACCAAGCCAAATCAAGATGAGGATGACTGGGAAGATCTACAAGATGATATTAATGATACTCTAAGAGTGGATCAATATCTAATTGTATTTCTGAAATTCATTACCAGCGTTACACCAAGTATACAACATGATTATACTATGGACGGTTGGTAGTTTTTTTTTTCTTAATTTAAAAGAGTTTTATTTTAAGATTCCATTGGAATCTTCTTCGATAAAGCAAAATTAGAAAGAGAAAAAGAATATTTCTAATAGGGGTTCCTATTAGTATTATTATTATTATTATTGCATGCATTCGTTTATAAATTAGTATATGTACGTGTGACTATATATAATTTAAACTAAAGTTCATAAATTATTATGATATTACAATTCAAGTAACAATTCCTCTTCTTGTGGTTGCTCTACCTTATTTTGAATAGTCACTGAATCGTTGGTAACACCATTAGGCATTATAGTAGTCGGTAGTTTGGTAGCTGGAACAGCAGGAAAATCGTACTTTACAATATTGGTAGGTTCATTAACTTCATTAGATATTCCAGTATGTTCATTAGCTTCCATTGGATAAGGCAATTTCCCACCATTCGAATGTTCTTCTGGTTCTATTTGTTTGACCTCGTCATTTTTTGAAGAAAACTCGTTCTCTTCTGGATACGGAGGTTCAGATGGTAATGTTGACGGTGGATTGTTTTCAACCGCTACTTGAGCATATGATTGTGTTTGTAGATTGGCAACAGGTTGAGCAGGAACCTGGGAATCAGGTACGGTGGTGTTTAGGACTGGTTGAACTTGAGGTGCAACGTGTTGCACTGGATGCTGTACTTGTTGTGGCTGACTAGGAAGCTGTTGTGTCACAGCATAAGGATCTGAAGGCTGCTGAGCTAGACTATATTGCTGAGAAATATTGATACTTCTTAGTTGTTGTTCTAATAATGAATCATATATATTCATAATATCTGAAATCTTCGCATTCATGTCTATCAATGTATTATATTTATTAACCTTATCGTTTAGTGAGTGGTTCAGCTTTGGTTTAGAGGCAATGACTTTTTGGTATAAGTTCTGTAATTGTGAATCATCTAATATATCAGTAACCGTTTGCGTCTTCATCTTTTCAACTAAGGAAGCAAACAAGTATATGTCTTCTTCTTCTGCATTAGTTAAATCGTTATTTAATTGCTGCTGGAATTGAGGATAGGCGGTCTGTTGAGATTGTTGCATGTTAGTGTTCCTGGCCTTTGTAGCTTCTGCTTCTCTTAAACTCTCCGCTATGGCAGCTTTCAAATCTGGATCATCCTCAGTGATATCGTTAGTGTCATGGACAGGTTCTACTACCGGGACAATAGGTTCAATACTATTACTATTACTCTCTTGTAACGATAATTCTATGGCTCGTTTCAATTGTTCATCCTCATCATCTTCAATATTCTTATTCTTTTTACCATGCTTCCTATGATGTTTTTTTTTATTGCTACTACTCCCGCCTCCACTGCCACGTTTCTTCATGTCATAATCTTCGAAACAATTATCGCAAACTCTAACCTCTTCAGTGATTCCTAAGTCTGGTAATGGAATATTATGTGAAGAATGATCTTGACAAAAGATACCACCACATGAACGACAATGATGTCTTCTATTTATCATTGAAAACTTTTTAGAACAAATCATACATGCATCCGAATCAACCCAATCTGCTGGTGTCTTTGAATCAAACATTATCATTGGAGAATTTGTATCTACTAGATACTCCGGGAATTTAATACCACGTGAAGTTAACTTGGTATACACGGTGGATACATAATGTAATTGGGAGTCATTCTTAAAAGCAAGATATAACTCATAAAATATCTTTGCAACAAGTTCATATAGTTCATCATCTCCCGAGGCATTTCTGTTGTCATACATTCTAATTATTGTATGTTCAATAGTATCCATAAACTCTCTCGAACAAATGGTAACAATGAATGGGGTACCACCATTTTTAATGCAAACCTCAAGTAATTTCCATGAAGATAGCTGTGTGTTCGGGTTACCTAATGTGGATCCTATTCTTTTCTTCAAACATCGCATACATTCCAACGGTTTTAATTTACGAGACCTGATAATATCAGATATCTCTAATGCTACAGGAAGATCCAATTCCCCATTAGGGATACTCTCACTAGTAGCCTTCTGGATCAGTAAATCGAATTCACCAGTTGTATATTGGGACATCTATAAATTATTCTTCTTATATTTGGTTTTCCAATAGTTAAAAATGAAAAAAGAATCTTTATCAATCTTTATCTCTTGCACTCTCTGTATATGACGTTTTATATGTGTTAAGTAAACTGAATATAAAAGATAAAATCTTCGTTTCTTTAAGTTTCCTATGATTACAGATTAGCCTTCTTACCGCTGGTATATTGCCTAAATGTGGTGTTGAAACCCCAATAGACGAATCATGATTTTTTTGAAACACTTAAATGGGAAAAAGTGAAACAGGTTTCTAATATTTTCAGTATTAGGAGTTACGCCTTCAATTCTCCTAATTCTTTTGATTTTGACTGTATAAAGCGGCGCGGGGCAACTAAATTTATTAGTGGCTGAAAAGTTACCCGAAATTTAGCGCTAAATCGAATATTTCGGTTCTTTCTTTATAAATAACGACACTAATGATTAGTAAGTTGACTGATAATAGGCGTACGTTATTAGATATAACGTCGAGGATGTGGGAGGTCATGTACATGCATCTGTTGGTTGGTTGGTTTTTGACAAAGAGGAGAGAATTTGGTAAGTATATGTGAGTTTATCAGATTTGGTCTATACATATATTTATTTTGTATTTATGATTATATAAATGTTTTATACTTTTTTATTTTTATCTTGATGTGAATATAATTACGTTAAATTTGTAATAAAATGCAGGATGATTATTGTTGAGGGTTTATCGTTGTTCTGTTTTTCATTAGTTTGAATTGAAATGATATCATATTTAGGTAGCCATGCTGTTTGTAGTGTTTGCCAGAGCTAATGATATCATTGATGACCTATTACTCGAGGTGTTACTGTTGATAGTCCCACTTGGAGATTGGAATATCCCTGTACTGACAAATTTAGCCCTTGGGGGTATGTGATTTGGGTACTGGTTTTCTTTATTACTTTCATTATAATATTGATCATCCATATGATGTTGGTTGGTCATCAGGTTGTTATTGTTGTTGTATACATTCAATTTTCCATTCGGTATGCTTGCAACACTCATAGAACTTGCACAAGCACTTTCATTCTTAAGATGTTGAAATGTATGTAATGTTGGAGTAATTGGTGAACCTTGGCCAACTGCAGCGCTAAAAACGCTGTTTTCTGATTGGGCACTACCATTTCTCATTGGTGTATAACTTTGGTTAGAGTAAATTGGTGATGAAATGTTGGAGTTGGATTGTGGGTAACCTGTATTGACAGTGATTCTTCTTGATAAATCAATTGATGAAGCCATTTGCATTTTCTTTTGTAAATCGGCATGATAACTCTTTACATTCTTAATGAAAGAGATAATACCTTTTTGTTCTTTGTAAATTTCAATTAAAGATGCAGGGGTATTGACTACAGCGTTGATAAAGATGTTAAACAATTGAGTTTGTTTGTTGATTGATGGTGTTGGTGTAACTAAGAATGGACCTTGATCTTGATTGGTAAATCTATTAATGATAGAAAAGATACCATAAGCTAATTCAAAGATTTCGAAGTTTAATAACTCGTATTGCCAAGTAGATAAATCAATTAAGAATTTTTTTAAATTAATCAATTGAATCTTTAATTTAAGATCTTCATCCTCGTCATCATTTAAAGTGGTATCCATATTAGATGGATCAATAGCCATGGAGATGTCTTGGTTGGCTCCTCCAGTAGTAGCATTATTTGAACCATCATCATTAAAGTCAACAGTAGCATCACTATCTTGCGATGTTTGAGATTCACGCTTTCTAATGAATTGATTCTTTTGTTCGATTTGTCTTTCATATAATTCATATTGGATTAAACAGTTTTCATCAACGTTTAATACAAAATCGTTGATCATTGGTTCATATATTTCCCAGTTTAAAGTATCAAGAATATGCCTCTCCATTTGCAAAAACATAGATTCGTCAAAGATATCGGATCCACCACAATAGTGAACCAATTCGGATAATCTTGGAATTCTAGCTCTTGGATTTGGACCATAGAATCTACCACCAGTTGGAACAACGATGTTATTAATGATATGATTGCAACCACCCCAGGTCTTGGCAGATAGCCATAGACAAGTAGCAACAACCAATTTAGCTTGATCCTTCAGAACGACACGTTTTGAACAATAACGATCGTATAATCTACAAGCTTGGAAGAAAATACCATTAGTGACTCTTGTCATGACAGATAATTCATAAAGAAAAGTAATGGTTGGGGTTCTAGTTTCAGTTGGATTCATTTCAGGTTGTTGATCGATCAACTTAGTGTTTGGTTTGAATTTATTTGATTGAGCTAACATATCAGAAAGAATATCTTGTTGATATTCTTGAATAGTTTCGTAATGTGCTAATAATTCTGAGTTAGAGAGTTCAATAGGATAGTATGTTTGTTTGGCTGTAACCACCAGACCAGCTGGAATTGAATTAGAAACCATTATGTTTTGGAAGATATAGTTATTAAAAATTTAATTATAACTTTTTATTCGATTGGATAAATGTTTTGAAGTACTCGAAATAATATTAAAAAAAAGGAGCACAATTTAAACAAAAGTAAATTGATAGTGATTGGTATATATGTATATCAACGTATTTTTGTTTTTACCAATAGATATCTTCTAATGAATGATTGATAATTTGGATGATAAGCAGTTTCTATTTTAGTAAAGATATAATGTTTGGAATCAATAACTTTTCTTAGATCATGAAATGTATATATATATATAACCCAATTTTTAATAGAACATAAAAAAGATAGATATACAAATAATTAGTTACAATTTATTTGGTGTATGCTTCAATGTTTTTTCGAGTATTTTTTTTTTTCTTTTGGTGAAAAATATAATACGATAAAGTAATCAACAGTAATCTATTTTAGTGAATCAGGCAGGATCAACGTTCTGGGACACTAAAGACGGGAAAAAATAAATATATTAGTATGTAAAATGTCCAATATCGATCCAATAACATGTATTCTTGTTGACGTTTGTTGTATATAGTAGAAGAAACTTAGTATTAGACCGTGTTAGGTTTAGAATTGCATTCCAGACTAGGATTGAGCCACTATACAAGAGCCCCACGGAATGAAAAATTGTTTCAATTTCGTGTACAATACAGTAAGAATAACAATTGACATCAAAAGTCAAAAAGTAACGAAATTAAAAAAAAAAGATAAAGTCAAGAGAGAATATCTTCCTACGATGGATAAACTGATAAAATGAAATTAAAATGGAGTACACGACCCAAATCTAGAATATACTCCCTTCCTAAATGATAATAGTCGTTGATGAATTTCCCTTGGGTAAGTTCAAAGAGGATGATTTGAAGAAAAGAAAAAAAAAAGGAATCAGTATGGAAATAATAGAATGTAGGCAATAGAGACAACTATGAGTACTAGAGGATAATTCGGTGAAAGTACAATACTAGAAAGAAGAAATGCCAGTATATTTGTTATGTTTTTCGAGTCTTGACATCCCAATGTAGGTAGGAGCAGATGAGGTGCATGAAAAAAACAATAAAAAATGTGAGAATTGCTTATTCATTTCAAGGCATATTTTACTGTATGCAATATGCGAAAAGTCCATGATGAAGACGATCCACAGTAGTTAAAGAGGGTATACCTTCTGTATTATTATTTGTGATTTGAAAATAGAAACGCGCCTCTAAATCAGAATTATTCATTTATTAGTTCCCTTAGAAAGTTAAAGAAGTACCAATAGTGGTTTTGATTTAATAAACGGTAAGAGGAAATATACACGAAATTTGGCTCTTACTACGGAATATTACTCGAAGAAGATTAAAAAAAATTGTTTCTTCGATTATTCACGTTATGCTTCAAGATGATTTTTCGTGTTTCTTGCAGTGAAAGTGCACTGCCATTTTTATTTTTAGTTGGACAATTTTTGCTGTTTCTGGTAAAAAAGAATGAATTAGTTAAGCGCGTATTGGCGTTTGGTCCCTGTTTTTCAAGAGTTGCATCACTGCGGTTCCTTTTGTGGGAACTAATGGTTCAAATTTTATCTATTTTTCGTGTTTCAAGTCGGAGTAGAACTGTGAAAATTTCCTAAACGGGACAAAAAATATTCATATCTCCTAGGGACTTTCTTTCTTTTTCTGGGATATTTGTTACATTTCGCGACGCGACAAGCTTTCATGAACCAATTTAATTTCTGACGAAGAAGAGCCCCTAACCAAACAAAGATAACTGTAAAAGATTTCTTTCTATGCTTTTTTATTTTAAGATCGACGCTTACTCCCCTAATACTACGATGATTTGCTCAGATCACATGACCGGTTTTGTTTTCGAGTTGCTAACTCCGTTCCGTTTTGATTGTTTTGCCTGTTTTGTGTCACGCCACTATCACGTGACTGCTTGCAGCTGAATGGCGTTTTGGTCACGTGAAAGTTAGGACCAAAAATCTTAATTTTCTATTCCTACTTTGGCATTTTCTTGCACAAAAAAGGAAAAAAGAACGAAAAAAATGGTATACTAGTGAATTGAATTTTAGTTCGATCGTAGTAAAAATAACGTAACCATCTTTCAATAAGGCTAAATCTTAAATCATTTTGGCACCTTTGAAGCTTTTTTTTTGGTTGAGTTGAACTTTTACAATTTATTTACAATTTAGAGCGTAAAGGCTAGATTTAGAGTATGAGTGAGAGTATTTAATTCCTTAATAGATATTGGTTTAAAAAGTGAGGTAAATAAAAAAGATAATTCTCTCAGAGTAATAGTAATAATATTATTGTATCCGTTTAAATGGATCTTTATGATAGATACAACGAAAAGTTGACAGATAATGAACAACAACAATCCAATACGGCTACAGATGAAAATATCTTCCATTGGATTAAAGACGCACTATTTAATAAAAAAATATCACCATCTAAAAAATATCAACAGATGTCAAACTTCGAAGAATCAAATATAAATATAGCATCTGAATTTAAAAATAATAATAATTATCATCATCGATCGAATTCTTTAGATGGTCTTACAGAATCTTTTTATCAAAAGTATGATTTAATACATGATAATACTGGTAGTCAATATGAACCATCTCCATGGAGGCGACAGCAACCGCAGCCACAACCTCAGAGTGCAAGAGCTACTAACGATGGCTACAGAAGGGACCAATTCCAAGAACCACGTCTTCGTAGTCCACCGAATCTTCATCCAAGGCTAAATCATTCATATAGAGAGATCAATGATACATTTTATAATCATGGAAATAATAGACAAGGTGATCAAAATAGTGAAATTATTTATAATTCTCCAAGACAGGGAGATCCTTTACTTAATAAATTGTTTACAAGTGAGAATAATAATAATAATAATAATAATAATAATAATATTAACCTTAAAAATCCAGTATTGGACGGTCGACGTTTGCCTGACAATTTTCCAGGTAAATTCCCATCGCCAATGAAATTGAGTCAAAGAGAACAACAAAGAAGGACACAATTGAAAACAGAACGTGTTTATGATGATCTTTTAAATCAATTATCTTCTAATACAAATCAATTACAAAAATTAGATGATACATTAGAAGAACAAAAAGAAGAATTAAAGACACAAGAGATTTATTATAAGAAAAATTATGAATTAATCAAAAATGATTATATAATATCATTAAAGGATTCACAAAAGATATTAGATAGATCGATTGAACTTAATAAAACTAATAGAAAATTGAGATCAGAAAACGATCAATTAATATATGATAGTAAAAATGAAAAAGAATTCTATTTACAACAAATAGATATATTAAAGACAGAATTAATGGACTCAAAATTATCATATAAATCAGAAATGGATTCATTGAATCATAAATTAGAAAGTTTACAAATAGAAAATAATCGTTTAATGATGGAGAATAATACTTTGAAATATTCAACGACAGATAGAAATAATCTTCCATACATATGATCATCAAACAAAAAAATATAGGACAATAAATCTGACGGTACATTCTCTTTAGTAATATTCTAATCACTCTTTCCTCTCCTGTCAGCTAGTAATTACTCACCACACCAATTACACACCAACACACATTTTAGCATGGCTAACATTGTAATATTAACAATTTAGAATTGTTTTACCTGTAACAATAAACTTCAATAGATATATGTATATCTATATATAAACTCGGCACGACGTGCTTGCGATTACAATTGCAACTAATGTATTTTGTTTCATCTCAACTCATCTCATCTCTCTCTATATATGGCTAACAATTAGATAATCTGCCAAACACTGAAAAATTGTGGAAAACCGAAAAGGATCTCGCTTTTTTGTCCCGTTTTGCTTGAGAGTGCAAAATTCGCCCAAAAAAATTAATAATAATAATAAATTTGAAACTAAAAAAAAATGTATGTGCTTATAAACAAGGCTCTCTCAAAAGAGGTGACTTCTGATAGCTGAAAAAGAGTAAAGATAGAGGAATAAGGGCTATATTTATATCTAAATATCCTGTTTATTATTGCAACTATCCATTTATTTGTCATTGACTACCATTAGAGATCATATTCTCTCTCGTTTCACTCTCTCTTTTTACTGCATATATTCAGCTTCTATCCTGTCACTTTATTATTTTTATTTTTATCTGTCTTTTTTGCTTCAACTGGGTTTATTTCTCTTTTTTAAGGTCAGAATAGTAAATATTAGCGAATTTTACTGTTGTTTTTATATGAATTAGTGCGGCAGTGTAACCGTCATCAGAATAATATCATTAATATACTTAAAATAAATTAAAAGAAAAAGAAAAAAAGCTGGTGACACATTTCTTTAAGGTATCTATTTTATAATTAGATCTGCATACACCCATAAACATATCCTTCCCCAACCATTTCCTTTTCGTTTTAGGAACAGGTTAATCGAATTACTTATAAATATTAAAACAAACCAATATTATTTTCTTAAAGAATGTCCGCAATACAACAACAACAACATAAATCTGTTGCAACTAGTTATACCGCAAATATGACTCCTGGTGATACAACAGGTATCCCTAATCTTAAACCAGTAACTGTTAAGAATGAAGTTCCAAATACTCCGTCATCCTTAGACATATTGAATCTTAATGGCAAGAATCAAAGGCTTGATCTTGGTTCGATGATTGAAGAATTTATTGAATTATTAGGGAAAGATAATTGGATTAAATATTCTCAACTTATTAGCCGATTTATTCTAGGAAAGTTATCAAGAAAAGAATTGAGCCGTGAATTTGATTCATTATTTGGACCTCCACCAAGCATTCAAAGAAATCAATCAACTAATTTGTCATTCTCATTGGCAAAACCTTTAGATGATTCGCAATCTGATATTAATAATACAAATGAAAATACACAGCTTACAAACAGCCTGCTGCGACCTAAATTAATTAGATTACATAATCAATTGTTGCTAGGTATTTTCACTAATACTTTAAGAGACTCTCCACTAGGTGCATCGGATAAATCATGGGGATTCGGCTCAAGTATGGGTAATAAAGGCCTCAAACGTGTTAATAAACATAATTCACAAATCGAAACATACAAGAAAATTGTCATGTCTTTACCTTTATCTGATAGAGCAAGATTAAAGACAATTACTAAAGAAGCAGGGAAGCGTGGGTTTATTTATTGTTCAGTATTACAAGATAGATTGACTAATATACCGAAGATACCTATTGTAACAAATCAAGAAACATTAAAACGGGTTAAAGCAAATAATCTGAAGACTCCTTTAGAATGGTCCCAAGATATCATGAATGGTTTCAATGCACCTTTAGCAACTGACAATTATTCTCTACCTGATACGGATAGTCTATATTTAAAGATGACTGGTATTGCCAGAGAACATGGTTTAGTAGGAAGTGTAGATACAAGATGTGTGGATATGATGTCACTTGCCCTCGATCACTATTTAAAGAAAGTTGTGGAACTCGGTATTGATTCGTTAAGATATAGAACGAAAAAATATTCAGATTATTATGATTTAAATGAGGATGGTATTTTTTCTTCAGTTACCGACAAAAATAATGATGATAATTTCCTAACGAACAATATTCCAGGATTACCTACAGTAATACCCAACGACATTAATAGTAGTAAAAATAATAACACCGAGAGCAAAGATGAGGAAGATTATGACAAGATGGATATAGATACAGAGGCTGAAATTAAGGCAGAAACATCTACTGATGACACAAATCAAGATGATATAAAGCCGAAGATGTCTTTGACCAATGAGGACATTTATAATGCACTTTCTGTGTTCCCAAATATAATGAAATCATCAACAAGTGCTTTTTACAATATTTCTAATAACGGTTTGAGAAATGATGATGATTTGGTTATAATGAAGAGTGCGATTGATGACATGCCAGAGTTTACTAGTGAGAAACCAATGTTTACTCCGATAGATGAGAGGAATGTTGGTACTAGAGAAGAATTGAATTGGTTAATCAAGGATATTTTAACTGAAAAATAATAAATAATTCGGTTCAGTAAAAATGGTTTAAATAACAGTATATAAATTTTATTTATATGTTTATCAACCAAACATTTGTAATAATAATAATATATGCATATGACGAATTACTTTTTTACACACAAATAAAATAAATATTTACGTAAGAATGTTTAAAGGCATCATTTTGGGGCTCTAAAAATGGCATAAGTGTAATGTTTATTATCTAATGCGAAAGATGCTCGGTATTCGTGAAGAAATTTAAGTGTGTACTATTTTATTTTCTAGATGGGTTCTTTATCTTACTGATACATTTAGAGATTGGTAACATAAACGTTTTCACATTTTCAGCACTGTTAGCTTCCAGATCAAAAACAAAACATGATTTAGTGTAGTTCAATATTTTTAAGATAAATAACCCAATCTGTGTTGTATTCCAAGGTTCTTCTTTATTCAAGAACCGTTGTAACAACTCCATTGATTGCATGTTATTTATTTGTAAAAAATAAAAATCCATAGATCTTTCAGTATGGTCTTTTTCAGATAGCTGTATTTTTAATACTTTTAATTGAATCAATCCATCATCATTCATATCTTCCCCTAAAGTAGATGGTGTGTCTATTAGTTGAACTGGTGTTCTATCGAGCAAAATCGTATTGTTTTCACGAATTGAGAAAGGACTATCATTGGTAAATTTTTCATTATATAAAGATAGATTTTGGAACATGACATTATATTTTTCCAAATAATTCTCAGCAATAAACTTCAGTACCGTAAGCTGAAGATCAGTATTTGCATTTGGAGATACGTGAAATAGATTATAATCCTCCTGATTTTGCAGGCACATATTGCTGTAAATTTTAATATCTGAACTTAAAAGTTTATCAAAATCATAATTTGGTTTCTGATAGAGTCTATTAAAATTAAATTTCTTATTATCTTTTTCATTCAATTCGCAGATTGAATTATGTTCTAAATCGTAATTTAGTTGTGATTCATTTTCTTCTATTAATCCAAATATTCGGATGTGTCCATTTAATTCATCTATTCTATTTTGTAGCATTTTCCTTTTTTGAATATCTTTATTAAGAATATCATAATGAACATCCAAATTTTCATTCTCTAATTTCTCCAACTCCAAAAGGACATTGTACTCCTGATTAATCTCATCTGCTTCTTTATTCAATAATTTTAGTTTTTGTTCAGGTAGGATGCTTGATTTTTCGATTGAGTTAATATCATCTTGTAGAATCCTATTCTCTTTATTCAATTTTTCGATATCTGTCTCTAATACAGAAGTATTAAAATTAGAATCCTGTATTTTAAATTTAATTTCATCTAATTTCCATTGTATCTCTTCAGTTTCTTTCTTAGATTCATCTAATTTTTTGTTCTTCGTGTCTCTTAATAATTGGAATTCCGTATCAAGTCTTTCATCTAACTCAGTTGAAAACATTTCATTTGATTTTTCTAGTGCATTTAATTTTTGTTCTAAGTTTTGTAGTTGAACTTCAAAATCATCAATATCTTTTAAAAGTTTTTCCTTTGGTGGTATCTTATTCAAATCATTAATTTCTTTTTCTTTTATTATCCTAAGAGATTCCATATCTTTAATATGTTGTTCATTTTTTTCAATCAATTGATCTTGAAATTTTTTATTTATTTGATCAATTTCAATTTCAATATCGGTTTGTAATTTTTTAATATCGAGTCCAGTTTGTTCAATTGTCATCGAATTATCATTAGCCTTATTTAGTATTTTATTTATCATTGACTGACGTTTTGATATATTATATTGTATTTCAGGTATTAGTCTATTTTGATATTTTTCAATATTTCTATCAATTTTAATTATATTTGCATTCAATTCTTTAGTATCTTTCAAATCTTGAAATTGCTTCCTTTGTCTATTTGCAATTCTTGCTACATCTACATTATTCAATAGTCTTCTCTTCTTACCAGATCGTGAGATTTGTATATTATTAGTAATATCATGAAGTTGTTTCGTGTAACTCATTCTTGATGTAGGTCTCTCGGAATCTACAGAAAGTGGTTCATAATGATGAATCATAGTGAATTATTTGTGGTTCTGTTACAGAAAAAAAAAAACACTGATATCGATCTGTATAATGTGTTTGTCTTTTTTCACTAATATATATAGAAAATATTGTTTTTGTTTTTGTTTTTGTTTTGTATATTTATTAAAAAAAACAGTTTTTATTTACATTTTGAATAATTGATGATTTTTCCGAAACGGGCAATTTGGTCAAAACCCAAGAAGCTAAAAAAAAATAAGGAATAGCAGCAATGGAAAAAAAATGTGAGCCAATAATGATAGAAAGATCAAACATGAAAGCATTTTTCATACCATTTATATATATGTGTACATGAACATAAGGAATCGATTAAAATTGAATTTCTATTTATTGTTGTTGTTTTATTTTTCTATTTTTCAGTATTTACAAAATAAATTATTAGTTTCTCTTATATATCCACCCATAGCTTCTTTCTTTTTTGAAAAACCAAATAAAAAGTGCCTATATATATGTGTGTGTATATGTCTATTTCAAATCATTAGAACTTACATTTCTTGTCATTTGTGGTAAAGCTACTCTAATTCCATCGATATCTTTCTTCATTTTAACTTGGCAGCCTAATCTACTTGTTTCTGTTAAACCGTAAGCTAAATCTAACATATCATTTTCATCATCTTCCGGCTCAGGAATAGCGTCATAATAATCAGGATCCACTATTACGTGACATGTAGAACAAGCACATGAACCGCCACAAGCACCTTCCATATCAAGATTATGACCTTGTGCAATATCTAATAACGTTTCACCTTCAGCTACATCGAATGTCTTTTGATTACCATCTTTTTCAATAAATGTAACTTTTAATTCTTCACCTGGCTTGGGAGTCTTTAAATGACCATGCCATACAGGTTGATATATTGAGAATGATCTATATATGAAAGAAATTTGGTTGGTTGATATTATCCTTGAATGATTAGTTCTTAATATCTGCTTGGATAATGAATTTGTTAAAATATTTTTAAACATAATGTGTAGTATCGATATATGTTTGAAACGAAAGGACACAAAGAGACTAAGAAGAATACAGTTTCAAATAATACTCTCAAATAATATGTTGCTCGATGACTATTGTTGTTATTGCTTTATGTATATATATATATATAACGATTATAAGGCTTACAAATACAAATATTTTTTGAATACAAAAATTCTTAATTTTGAAAAATTACTGTATATACAGTGCCAAACAAAAAAGGGTGCGATGCATGGGTGTTTCATACAAGAAATTCAACTAGCGTGACATATATAGCATATAAAGATAAGATGAATCATATTAAGATGATTTCTAAAGAAAACAATTTAAATTTAATAAATTAATTAAAACATGTGTATTGATATTTATAAATTAATATGTATATATATATCTATTTTAAAAAAAAAAAGAAAAAAAAATTATGAATGATAGTGAAAGATTTATGAGTAATTCATAATGCTAATAATGATGATGTTGATGCAAAGGTGAATATGTATAGATGACGATAATATTATTGTTTTAAACAGAAGATGCCCATATTCTATAATTTTGTTGGGCAACATTAGCGAAAGCATCAATATTGCATGTATTATTATTGTTGTTAATTGATTGATTAATATCTATCATTTCATAATTTAAATTTTTCTTGTTATTAAATGAAATTTTTTCATTTAACAAATCGTTATCTTCTAATTGAAATATGTCTGTACTATTATTATTATTTGAATAATTTTCTTTAAAATAATTTGATTGATTTGATGTTGATAATAAAGCAGGTGTAAAATTGTTAGCGTTATTATCTAAAAATGAATCAGATGGTGATGTCGATAAATATGAACTGTTTGAACTTGTAGATAGTAATGGTATAGAATTCATAAATGAACCATTATTTGAGAATGATAATGAAAAGACTTCATCTTGATCAAATTCTTCTTGATTGAACAAATCAGTCATTGTATGTGTGTGTGTGTGTGTATGTGTGTGTGTATACGCGATTGTATGTAGTGATAGTATATTTTATATAAATTATAAAAATTAAATATAATAATTATAGAAAACATCGATAAAATAATTGATATAATTTAATTTACTTGTTTATATATCAAAAAACTAGGAGTTTATATTTTTAATACAACGTTTACAAAACACGTTGGGGGGTGCATGCATTAATAATAATAACTGAAATTTAAAAAAGACTAAATGACTAACTCTCTCTAATAATGCAAAAAGAAAGAAAGGTATGGCTCTTCTTCCTATAGTAACAAGACAATTTAGAGACATTTTTTTTTCTGTAAAAGTATTAGTCAACACTACAATTGTTATTACTTCAGTGCATGCATGATCTCTCTCTAACAATAGTAATAATCTTTCAACCGCGGTACAATGCGCTATAATTTTTGCACCTTTTTCGCTTTTCAATTTAAAAAAATTTGTGTGATCTCTCAACAAGCGAAACAGCAAAAAATGTGTCAGTCTCCAGAGAGAGAGAGAGAGAGAGAGTGTGTGTGTGTGTGTGTGGTTCTACGTACTTAATAATCACTCAAACAAATTTGCAGTTTTCTTAAACTCACTCACTGCACCCTCCCTCCCTCCCCGCCGCCCGCTCACCCCTCCGCTCCTCTGTTCCCGCTCTCCGCTCGCGCTTCTCTTTTTGTTTCTAACTCCCTCGGAAAGAAACGTGCACGCGGAAACAGAAGGAGAAGGAATTTGTAATTAATAATGATTCATAATTCTTGTTCTGTTTGTTATTACTAAGAAAAACAAAGTTGAAAAGATTCCACAGTTTTTGTCTGGTCCCCTCCCCCTCCATCTAGAATGTTCTCGTAACAGTGTTTATATCCTCGGACAGCGGAAATAGCATGGTTTCAAGTTGGAGTACAAAGATACAAGTTATCTTGGGTGATCACGTTTTATTTTTCAGTCGCTTCTTTGACTCGGAATATTGCGGTTGTGTATTATGGGGGGTGTCAATATATAGCTTGATTTGGCGGTCCCGCTGTCTCTCCAACTAATTTGATATATACATACACATATGGGTGTTTTTTGTATGGGGTGTGGTTCGCTGTTTAATTACCGATGGTTGTCTTTTGTGTTTCTTCTAGCAATAAACACGAATGAATCATAAATATATTTAATACTGAAAGATGCTTAAAGCTTAACAGTTATAATAGCAACAGCTATTTATTGTATGTGAGTCACTGTGTCTGTTTTCTTTCGTCCTGAGAGTTTGACCTTTTTTTTATTGTCATAAGTTCGGCGGCTAAATTTATCGATATATAAACAAATATGGTCCCTCTCTCTCTCTTTCTGATGGTATATAAGGTCAATTTAAAACAATTTGTGTAATGCTCGAAAACTTAAAATGTTCCTATTTATTTATTTATTACTGGTATATGTATATATGTATGTACTTAATGACGACGAGAAGCAGCAATGATATTGTTCATTTCTTCAACTTTAGCTTTAGCTCTCTTTAAAGTACCTAATCTCTTCTTAGCAACTTTCTTGGCTTTCTTTTCACCAGTATTTCTTAAAACATCAATTAATCTTCTTTCATATGGTGCTAATCCAGCAATTTCTCTAACTAAAGAACGAACAAATTTTGTTCTATTAGATGATGTACCTTTCTTATATGAAATTTTGGAAGTTGGGGTCATTGAAGTAACTTGTTTACCTTTGTTTAAACCAACAGCAATACCTATTCATATATGTATAATTTTAATATTAAAATGTGGTTTGGATGCATTTTATTATTATTAATTTGTTTTGTTAGTATTTTTTTATACTTTTATCATATATACGATTTAAATGATAACACTAAATGTTCACTTGGTTCATAATTCTTCCTGTAATATACTCTTATAACCACAATTATTTCATCACGTTTATCATTTCTCTTTTTCTTTCTTTTTATCAATTTACATACCAGTCTTGACAGCCATTTTGTTCTTTTATATTATGTGATTGTTTGTTTTTTTTGGTTTCTTGTTATTAAAATAATAAATTCAAGAAATTTATAGATATATTTATATACAAGTTAAATACTATTAGTATCGCTTTACAGTAATTTCTACATTAGTATTATTACATTAGATCATCAAAACATTACACTACGTAGTATATAATCTTACACACTACGTACAATCATTCACTATACTGTAGAGATTAAGATTTCTTACTCTAATGGTACCCTGATTCTCATCGCTACTCATTGAATCCTTTTTTTTTCCTTTCGTTAAGATCTGGAAAATTATTAATTTTTCAAAAAAACTTTTTTTTTTTTGAAAAAAATATCAAAATTAGTTTATTTAGCTGATTTTGTATATAATAATATACTTTGTTGTTGTTTCTACGATATATTTACTGAACATACTCGATTAGTTTATTTTTCTTTGAAAAATTACTTTGTTTTGTTATTTTTTTGGATCATTTTGGAAGATTTTAACATCCGTGCATCGGGATGTTTGGGTGTTTATACAGTCTAATCATCTGTCATTTTGTTTTATATTTATATAAATATATATATATATAATAGACTATTCCTTTTTGAAAACATTTTTAAAACCTTTCCATCCACCACTTAATGATGGTGTGGAACGTTCTGTAGTTGATGAATCTGGTAATATTGTATGATTTTCATCCGTATTATTATCTGTATCCTGATTTTGTCGCGTATTGGTAATATCTTGTCTAACACTATTTTTATTCTCTAATTTTAATTCTTTGACATGTAATTCTAATTGTTTAATCTTTTCTTGTAACATTTCATTCTCATTCATTACCTCTGTATTACGTTCCATTGTTCTGGCCATATCATTCTTTAAATTAACAGGCAAAGTTGAATCTGGATTAGGAATCTTACCATTTTCTTTCTCTTCTTGAATTTGTAAATATAGTTTCTCCATCGTACTCTGTAAATCTTGATTTTCATCTAATAATATTTCTGTCTTTAAACGGTTTTCAATTAACTCATTAGCGATTGAAATATGTTCTTTATTCAATAAAGAATATTCATGATTTAATTTTTTGGATTCTTTCTCCAATTGTTTATTCCTAATTCGAAATAAATCATATTGAATTTCTTTCTCTTGTTGAATTTGATGAATTTCTTGATATTCGGCAGCATATCGATTTAAGGATATAGGTGTAATATGAATGCCATTCATTGCATCTTTAACAAAGGAGTCAACATCATATTTATAACCAATTGAAACATTTCGTTCAACGTTATTATTATTATTATTATTATTACTACTACTACTATTTCCAATTGGTTGATTATCCTTTACGTCAGTCGTCTCAAGGGATGCATTGGAATAATATTCAAATAATCCATTCTTTAAAAAATTTAATAGATTTTCAAATTTTAATCCCATTATAATTTCTTGATTTTTCACTAATAAATTAATCGCAAATTTTAAAATTGATTCAAACCCTTCAAATAATATAATATCAAAAATTCGAAGAACAAATTCTAATGGAAATTTATATGCAAAAAATGTCAAAAACCATTGTGTTGCATACATTGAAGATTTAATACCTTCTCTATTCAAATGATTAAATAATATTGGAGAGGTTTCTTCTAGGATTCTATCAAATTGATATAATAATAACATTAATCCTGGCATTTCAGGTAAAAAAAATTCACGAATACCATAATTTTTCATTAATACAATTAATAATCCAAATGCATCTGCATCTGTATTACAATTTAATAATAATGGTGTTGTAATAAATCCCATCCCTTGAGTATATCCAACATCAGGATCATATACAGAATAAACTTTTAAAAGATTGAATAATGTATCAACTTTTTCCTGGGGGACAAAATTTGTTCTCTTTAAATCTCTCTTAATGCTTGATTCGTGAGGTGATTCCGTACCTTGTAAAGTTAAGAAAATGTCTTCAAATTCTTTGGATTTAGAATTGGCAATTAATTGCCAAATAATACCTCTAATTTGTCTTGGAACACCCTTTGTAATCTCAGCTTCTAATTTAAACGATTCCTTATTAGCTACGGTTGAAAAATCGTTAACAACACTAGTCCAAAAATCCCAATCTATCTTTGATAATTCTTTATCTTCTATATCATCACTCTCGGTATATGATCCAGTAGATTCTTTTTCATTTTCTAGAATTGTTGTATAAGTCGACTTCAAGATAATTTGACCCTCTTCGATATTTTCTCTCTTCGATTCAGGTTCATCATATAATTGATGGCTTGTAACTCTATATCTATTGGCAATTAAATTAATATCCGCAGCAGAATCAATAGGACTCATAACTCTGGAATTACTTCTAGATTTACTTGCAATATCTGCTGCATTCTTTCGAAATTCTGCAGATTTCATTTCTTCTGATAAAGGTGGTGGAACTGAATACATTGGTGCCTCATGTCTCTTTGGTAAGTTTGGAGGTTCAGATACAGCGGTTAATTCAGGAGATCTTGGGGGTAAGTTTGGAGCAACCCCGGTTGCTATCGGAGATCTAGGAGGTAACATCGGAGATTCCCCTGATGGTGATCTGGGGGGTAATGCTGGTGATTGCAAATTTGTTCCGTCAGTTTTAATTGGAGTATTTAATGTTGGTTCTGTATGAGATTCTTTTTCTTCATCTTGGTTATCCTCAGTGTGGACTTCGGTCGAAGTTGTTTCTGGTTTGTCAACATTAGACGTTATATTATCTGAATTGCTTACAATTACATTAGGTATATCAAATGTGACATCTTTTTCTGGGTTATCAACAGGTTCAGGTGTCATAACTTTTAAATTTAAATCATCAGCCACCTCATTTAATTCAGTAGGGATGGAGTGATCAGTTGTCAAACTAGCTTCATTCGTATTTGTTTTTTCCTCCTGAATATTACCATTTGTTGTATTTGCAGCCTCAGGATCTGACTGACTCGAACTCTCGACCGTAGGAAAGTTTTTTAAAATAGGGAAATCAGTGCCATTTTCGACAGTATCAGCTGCATGGGATTCAATGTCATTAGCTTCCTCGTTTAAATATGTATCTGACATATTCAATATATTTCTAATAGAGTTTAGCTATTAGGTAGTAACAGATTTTATAATAAACCTATTTTATCAGTCAATTAATCCTTATTTTCTTGAAAAGCAAAAAAACTCTTTGAAGCTCTTGTCTCATCAAGGGGATAAAAAGAACCTTCCTAAAAATAAAATGTTTCAACCTTTGTTTTTTTAACTTTGTTTCGGGTCGAGTTACTACGGAACGTAAAGAAGCAGGCACTTCGATACTTGTAATAATAAAAATAAAAATCGTAAAAGTCATTAAAGATTATTTAAGTATATAGAATTATGCAGATATATGTTCATTACCTTTGGTTCATTACTTTTTGGCAAATGGTGCCTGGGTTTGGTCATTGTTACCAGCAGTTGTGGCGCCTTCATTTACAGTATTGGACCCAGTAATATCGTCGTCGAATAAATAATTGTAGACATCATCCATAGTAGTAGTATTGAATAAACCAGATGTTACACCAAGTGCATTGAATGCAGTAGTATCATTCCATAAGTTCTCTTGAAATCCACTTGGTGTTTGTGGGATGCTCATGCTGTTAGAGTTGTTATTCGCAACCATGGCATTATTGTTATTGGTTGGAATGGTCGTGGAGTTGAGTAATGAAGCACTGCTCGTTGTACCCGAAAGATCGGGTATAAATGAAGTGTTATTATTGTTATTGTTCTTGCTTGGACTTTGTAATCCTGGAATTGTACCACTGTTCCCATTCATAATCGATTGGTAGCTTGAAGTGTTGGGATATCCTGCACTGGTACTACCTTCATATATTGTCGATGGGAAAACAGAGGCCATTGTATTTGATCCTGGCTGGGGGATGTTAAAAATGCGATTTGTATTACTGGTTGGCTTAGGATTGTTCATTGACGGAGGAATATATGGCACCGACATTTGTTGAATTTTTGGAGACATTGCTCCGAATTTCGACATATTAAATGGTGAAGTTGGGAATTGAACCGGGTGGTTGTTAAAACTACCATTATTTGATTGTTGCTTTCCTACAGAGAGCAGATTAACTAAATCATTATAACTCTTGCTATCCATGACCTCAGATAATCCAGGAGATCCCACTTGTGTAGCCACGGTTGAATTCTGGTTATTTACTTGGTTATACTGTGCAGACCTTGTCTGTAGTGTCTTCTCATTTGAAACGAGTGGTGTCAGGCTCTTGTTGTCACCAACTGTACGGGGTGCGCTTACAAATGTCGTGGAAGGTGCGTTAGTCAATTCAATTTTGAGATCTTCATCCTGAGTACTTGAAAGTTTTTTGAAGTCTTGAAGTGTTTCCTCAAAAATACTTAGATACTTGTTCAACGACGAAGACTTCAAGTTTTTAAAATTATTGAAAAATTTTAAGAATTCGATAAATTTGTCTATTTGTTCAACAAAGACTTGTTTGTTTTCGTCTCCCGGTTCATATAATTGTAAAATAACCAGAACCGCAGAATGGAAAGTTTCTTCAACACATGTAGTTATTACTAAAGGAGTTAATGCATTTGTGATTGTTTCATTATTATGGATAAATGAATCTAATAATGCTATAAATCCGTTTATTGTCTCCATTATTAAATCACTGCACTGAATCAAATTATTCACTGATTCTTCTTGGGAGTATGAATTGGAGATAAATTTCTTGATTAGATAGAACTTCAATGAGAATTTTCTACTACTGAATAAAAATTTAAATACTCTTTCGTTGATGTTTGAAATATTTTCTTCATCTTTCAGTTCACAGAATTCCCTATCGTTTAATATTTTCAGTAATTCATCGTAGTCAAATTGTTTGTGGTTCAGTCCTACTACAAATACATTAAAGATGTCTAAAAGATGTAGATTAAGCTTCAAATTGTTAAAATATAACAGATTATTGTTAGTCACTGAAGATAAATCAATATCGTTTGTCATGCAATTAAATAGATTGGAATTTGAGTTTAAAGCCGTAGATGTTCTATCAAAGATAAGAAGGTTTAATTTCAATTCCAAATTAATGATAGACCACCATATTAATTTTCTTTGGATAAGTTTATAATTATTAACTTCACTTAATTGTCTTTCTTGTGGTTGAGCCTGTGTAGGTAATTGAATATGAATATTATAATTAAGCCCCAGTGATAAAGCCATTCTCACTGCTGCTCCATTAAATTGATAACTAGCATTGAATTTTTTCCTTAGAAACAGATAATTTGCAATAAGGTTCAGTACAATCACAAGATCAATTGTACCGTTCTCTAAAAAAAGTAAATCATTTAAAGAACTATCCTTTCCAGAGGATAAATAAGATTTACAATTTGCAAAATAATGTGAGTCAATATCTGTAGAATCTCCATTGATACACCATGATCCAATGGCCAGGACCATGTTGTATAATGGTTGCCATTTATCACTGAAGGATGTGGTTGTAGTATCATTATATATTTTCATAAATTCATCCTCAACTAAAATTGGATGGAATGGATGAAAATTGTCAAAATAAGACTGTACAAATCTTGATGTTGTTTCACGTTTTGTCAATTGAACTTTATCTATTATGACTGAGTTTTGATTATAATGGGCCATAGTTCCACCACCTGGTGTATTATCTTCGTCTACTCTATTTGGATCAAATACAATAGCGTGTAATTTTAATAATGATACAGATGATGCAGGACCATAAAATCCACTACCATACATTGGACCAATATTTTTATTATCATTCCAATCAAATCCATGCAATAAATCATTTGGGAGACTTTCATTTAACATTACCGGAACTCTTGGAGTAACAAAAGGCGATCGTAATGAATATTTTGTATTTAATGATATAGTAGACGTTGTAGGGGGTTCTAATTTTATTTGTGTAGGTGCAGGAAATGGACTAGATTCATTGCCAGATTCTTGATCACTGTCTTCTTCATTTTCATTATTATTTTTATTATTTCTAAAAGCTGTACTAGAATCCACAATACGAAATGTTTCAATATTTTGACCTGGGAAATTTCGTTGAAATAGTTGTTGTAATAAGTTAAGTTTATTTTCGACTTCTGTTAAATGAGCTCTTGTTAGTGGTGAACGTTTAATTTTAGGTGAATACGTACAAGTCCAATTATTCTTTCGACATTTTGTACATCTTGGTTTTTCCTTCGAGCATTTAAGCTTTTTGATTCTACATAAATCGCATGCTTGTTCCATTATTAATTATATTTCGTTAGCTCTTTATATGATATTGTTACAATGTGAAAGATCTTAATCGATCTTAATTTAACTCTCTTTATGTCCTCTCTCTTTTTTTTTCTTCTTCTTCTTTTTCTTCTTCTTCTTCTTCTTCTTCTTTTTTTTATTAATATATTAAAAAAAAAGCTATTCAATCAATTTTAGAATTCTTAACTTTAATGTATGAAAGATTTTTTTTTATTTTGTTTGTTTCTTTTTTAAATATATTTTTGTTAAAGTTGTTGATATCAGTCACTTATAGCATCAACTTTTAACCTTTTTTAATTTTATAAGTTAACTTAAGGGGACACTCACCTTGAAAAAAAAAAATTAAAAAACAAAACTGAAAAAAAAAGTAGAAGAGACAAAAAAAAATATTATCAATTATAGTAACAATAGTTGATTAGCAAGAGTTTGGCGTGAACCGTATATATATATATATATATATATATATATATATATGTATATTATATAATATAATACACAATATGTAGTAATTTAAGATCCGGAGAAATGCAAATATATGGAGATTCAAATAACTGTTACAAATTCCATTTATGGTAAAACAAAAAAAGAGAAAAATACATAAGTTCTCCAATGAGGAATATATGTTGTGTCGATAGAGAGGTATTTGTTGTATTGATTGATTATATTAGCTTAAGAGAGACATCCTTTCCTTTTCAAAGAAAAAAAAAGAAAAAGGTATTAATAGTGAAATAATGAATCGTCTAAGTATTTTTTTTTCCTGAACATGTACGTAAAATACACAATATTAATAATAATCATAATAATAATGGTAAACCTTTTCTCAATTTTTCTCGAAATATGTTGTTATTTACTTTAGAATTAAAAGACTGTCAATGCATCTTGGTCTTCCTTAGAAACAACTTGAGGAAACGCATAATTTCCAACTACGTAAAGGCTTCCAACATATGTTGAAAGAAGGAACAATTTGAGAATAAGTGTAGTCTTTCGAAGGTCTTGTTCCCAATATACTTTTTTTTTTCTTGTTTCGTGTTGAAGAAGGAAATAGTTTACATTAAGATGTTGTTTCTGCATTATTGTTAATAGATACTCTCATGTTCCTATAGTTATTGAATGATTTAACTCTTTCCTCTCTCAATTCTTATTTACTACGCAGTCTTCTTTTTTAAATATTGCGGAGATTAGTGGGGGTGGACTGTGGGTTGTTGTTGTCTCAAACAGACAATAAATGCGCAGAAGGAGCTCAAATAATAATAAAAATGTCCTGCATGTACAGTGCTCGGGGTACAGTGTTCCGGATCCTGTATACGTTTAGCTCTTCACGTAGAATTTCCTGTGTCTTAGCGTAATGTGCAGGTGTTGTGTGGTTTTTCTGTTCTGTCTCTTCCCGTTTTGCTTGGCTTCGTTCTTCCGTTTATTTTATCCTTTTTGTGCTTGGAAAGAGAGAGGTTAGTTTCTTGGTTCAGAAGAGAGAGGGTAACCAGTTTTGAGAAAAATACGGTAAGATTCGCGTTAATTTTGTTCTTAATACTTTTCACCAAAAAATCCTATATTCATATGACGTTTTGCTTGTTTTGCCCTCCCACAATTTTTATCTAAATTTTTTCAAAGAGGTGGGGGGGTGGTAAAAGGAATCAACTGAACAGATTAGCCGCTGAGGCCAAATAAGCATATATACATGCTAGGATTCTTAAAGGAACATTTGATTTTATTATTATCCTTAATTGTAAGAAGGGTTCGTTTTTATATTTCTTGGAAGTGGTCTAGATCATAAACGGTCAATGGTATAAATATAACAGAAGGAAAAAGCAAAGAAGAAAAAAGAAAGAAAAAGAGGCATAGTGTTGTTGAAATATGCAAGAAGAATGGTTCAATGGATCTGTTATTGATATACAAAATAATATAATTGAACGATTAAAAGATCTTAATAGATTATTGTCTAAAAAATCTGGTATTATTCAATCTACAGAACTTTCCAAGAATGATAAAATTGAAAGATTAGAAAATGAAATTAATCCACAATTAGAAAAATTGAATATCTCTGTTTCAAAATTAGATTCAAAATTAGATAATATTCATAATAATAAGAATGATAATGATGATGATGATGATGATGATGATGATACTGATACTGATACTGAACTGCAAAAAGATAAGGAACCTACTCCATGGATGTTTAATGAGGATGATGATCAATATGATGAATCACAGTTCTATGATATTTCTCTTGAAGGATTAAGTGACGATGAAGGATATCAAGATGAAATGGAGAATGTAGCAAGAAATGAGCCTAATATTATTGAAAGTGATCCTGATAATGTATTTTCTGATAATGAATCAATATCAATGTCTGAGAATCGTGTATTATCTTCTACTCCATCTTTATCACCTACTAGATCATTGTCTAATGAACATATTATTATTAGTAGTGATGATGATGAGAATACTCTGGATATAATGGAAGTAGATGATCCAATAGATCAAGAAGAAATTGTTGATTTGGAACCAATACTTTCGGATGAGGATTTATTACCATCTGTTCTTTCATCTCAAATACAATCCTCGACAAAAAAAGTTATTGGTATTGAAGAAGAAGAAAAAGAAATTCATTATAAATGGACAGATGAATTATACTTAAAATTGAATAAAATCTTTAGGTTATTAAATTTTAGAAACAACCAATTAAAAGCAATTAATTCTACTTTATCTGGGAAAGATGTATTTGTATTAATGCCTACTGGAGGTGGGAAATCATTATGTTATCAATTACCAGCAATTATTAAAAATGGGAAGACACATGGAACTTCAATAGTAGTTTCACCTTTGGTATCATTAATGCAAGATCAAGTTGATCATTTACTTGCATTAGGGATTAAAGCAACAAATTTAAATTCAAGACTTAATGCACAACAGAAAAGTTTTGTATTTCAATTATTAGTTAATGGTGATTTAGATTTATTATATATATCACCTGAAATGATAAATGCATCAACAAAATTTCAAACAGTTTTACAAAGTTTATTTCGAACTCATAATTTATCAAGAATAATTATAGATGAAGCTCATTGTGTTTCAAGTTGGGGTCATGACTTTAGACCTGATTATAAACAATTAAATTATTTTAAAGATAATTTCCCAAATATACCAATTATGGCATTAACTGCTACAGCAAATAGTTTTGTTATAAACGATATTATTAAAAATTTAAAATTTAATCAAACAAATATGACATTATTAAGACAAAGTTTTAATAGAGATAATTTATTTTATCAAATTTTACCCAAGAATTCAAATACTAAGATTATGGTAGATACAATAAAAAATTTTATATTAGAAAATTTTAAAAATCAAACAGGTATAATTTATTGTCATTCTAAAAAATCATGTGAAGAAGTATCAGAAATGTTAACAAATTTAAAAATTAAATCAGCAGCATATCATGCAGGCATGAGTGCAAATGAAAGAATCCGAGTACAAAAATCATGGCAAGATAATATTATTCAAGTGATATGTGCTACAGTAGCCTTTGGGATGGGTATCGATAAACCTGATGTTAGATTTGTAATGCATTTCACAATACCAAGATCTCTTGAGAGTTATTATCAAGAAACTGGTAGAGCAGGTAGAGACGGGAGATATTCATATTGTATTACTTTTTATTCGTTTAAAGATGTTAGGAAATTACAAAAGATGATACAGATAGATAAATCTCTTAATAAAGAAAATAAAACTGTTCATCTCAATAAATTACAACAAGTTATGACATTTTGTGAAAATCAATTTGAATGTAGAAGAAATTTAATTTTGAATTATTTTGATGAGAAATTTGATTCCAATTTTTGTTTCCAAAATTGTGATAATTGTGCAAAGAAAGATTTGGATTTAACCAATACAGATGCTAGTCAAATTAAAGAACAAGATATTACTGAAACAGCTTTACAAATTATTGATTTGGTAGATTCCTTAGGTTCGGATAGAGTCACTGTTATTAATTGCCAAGAAATATTCAAAGGATCAAAATCTGCTAAAATTGTACAAGCAGGATATGCACAATTAAGAGGGCACGGTCTTGGGAAAGAATGGTCCAAGCAAGATCTGGAAAGGATTTTTTTCTATTTAATTACTTTGAAAGTGCTACAAGAGTATTCAGTTATGAATAAATGTGGTTATGGATCAAGTTATGTAAAGTTAGGCCCTGAGGCTACAAAACTTAGAAATAAGAAACTAAACATAACAATGAAGTTCAACATAGCTGAAAAAAGGAGTAAACCATCTAAAACTGATACCACTGTGGAAGAAAAACCTCACTTCATTAAAATACTGCGCAATAGGAAAGCTAATAGAATCGAGGCTCCTGTACGACCTCATCAAGCTAGACCGAGAAGAGTACATAATGCGACATATGTCACTACATATAAGGATACTGAAGTTGTAGCTTATGAGCATGATTTAGAAATTGTTCGCCAATTGAAGGAGCAGCAATGTGCCACAGAAAAGTCGACTAGATCATCCGGAACTAAAAGTTCCACTAAAGGTCATAGAAGAAAAACCAGACGTTATAGAAGAGGAGGACGTTCCAGCCGGAAAACATATAGAGCTAGAAATTAAACTTTATAGATTGTACAATGTTCATAAATTTGGTATATTTGTAAGATTTTTTTTTTAATTTGCCTTTATTTTTAACGTTATGTCACTTTTTCCTTTTTGTTTACGTTTAGTAATAAGACTTAATAATTCAAAGCGGGTTCAAACATAATGAAAAAATTTGCTAAATAAAAAAAAGAGTTCATCTTTATAAGACACATTTCCTTCTATAAATGAAGTTTCAATTATCGAAGAATAACTTTTTCTTTTTATAATATATACAACATGTATATAAGTATACATACCTATAGATTTATTTATTTAATAAACTCTAATATTCTTAAATGTCTTACCGCTCACAGTCCCTAGCCAATTACCATTATCAGGTCTCCATGCTATATTATTAATTTCTTCTGTGCCACTAGAATAATGAAAACTTGGCATATCCACTTTTTTATTATCGCCGGACATATCAATATCCTGGTCTTGTGAAGTCTTGTTCAAAGTCGATGTCGTTCCATTAGAGTCAGACACCGTCGCTGTAGGCGAACCTGTACCCAAGTATTTATTTAGATCCCAACATAACACCTGACAATCATCACCGCAGGACATCAGGATATTTCTCTTCGTTGGATGCCATTTTATTTGATTAATTGAACCACTATGCCCGTCTAAAGTCAATACTGGAGATTCCGGGTTTCTCATATCTAGAATCATAATTGAATTTGAATCACAAACAAATGTTGCAAGTATATTTGGGTCAGATGGGGAAGGCTCTAATCTTAGCAATGCATGATTTTGTAATGTTGGATCATCTAGATTAGGATGTTCAGCATTTGCTGTTGGTTCATAAATAATTGTAGAATGTGCCAAAGATCTTAAATCAAATATACGTACACTACCATCTCCCCCACAACTTGCAAATATTTGTGTAGATTTTGTAAGGAAACGTACATCATAAACTTCACTATCATGTGCAATAAGTTGGGTCTTAACAAAGTTGGAGCTATTTAAATCCCATACAATACATGTCGTGTCAATAGAACATGATATTATTAAATTTGTTTCAATTGGATTCCAATCAAAGGAAGTAATTGGAGGTAATCCACCCAGTATTTTATTTGTTGAATCCGTCGACGATGTGTCAAGAGAGTTGCCATGTTGTTTATTGTACTTGCAAAGGGATAAATTGATTTGCTCTTGTAAACTACCATCAGAGTCATTCAGAGACCATATCCTTAAGGAATCTGAACACGTTGCCAATTGTCTTGGTCTTAAATTATTTGGTAACCATTGTACTTTACTTACTGGGTATGTTGTTGCACATTCTGAAACTTTATCCCAATTCAATTGATCTGCAGATCTAATTATTTGTAATTTATTTCTTGAGTCCTCCTTATATGAACCTAGACATATTAAATCATCCATACTCCAATCCATGGCATACAATGGAGCTGGAGATTCCCATTCACATACTATGTTTCTATTACTAACCATGGAAGTGTTATTATTGTTACTATTATTATATATAAGGTTGTAAGCTCTAGTTTGATGTTGCTGTAATGCAGAAAAACTTGGGGGTGCCATATAACTGTTATTATTACTATTATTATTTGAATTTCCAGGTGAAGTCACATTTTTTGAATAATCTAAAGGAGAATACATTGGTGATCGATTGGAGTATAGAGCCGAGTGGTTATTAGTCGTAGGGTCATAAGTATCATAAGTACCATTAACATCGTCATTATTGTCATTTCCAGGAGTGTCATATTGAAGATTGTCCATCGAATTATATTCATATGTATTTGGGAAAGTAGATGTTCTAGCAGTTGTGCCAGCGAACGATACCGAACTTCTCTTTGAAGTGTGGAATGGGTCCATTTAAACAAACAAAAAATACGTTCTTAAATATAAAAAGAAGAGTTATTGTTACCGTTTATAAGAGTAGGATAAATATCCTTTATGAATATGGGCAACTATGCAAAAAAAAATGCTTATATGAATCTAAGTCCAAAAAGAAACAGATTCACTAAATGAAGTTTATAATCAATAACAAAAAAAAGAGTGAATTATTTGAACAATGTATCTATAGGTTCTGTATCCTAATAAATAGTAAACTTTTCATATATATATATATGTATACCACGCAGCTTACTCTCTTATTCATACAGTTTACCGAGTGTTATTTACTAACAGATAAATATGTCAAGGAAGTTTTGTATCTTGATCCCTTAATGAATATTTTTTTTCCAGTTTTCAAATCTTTAACTTCCCAGGAGAATTTCAAGTTCGTCAGATTCCTTTCAAATGAAAAAAAAAATAATAACAAACTTAACTAGAACAGAATCGGAGGATTAATCTATCGTTGACTCTTTCAATGTCCTACCCATCCCTTACGCCTTCTCTGTTTAAAAACGAGCGAAACAATACTTCCTATTACCTTTACTAGCAACCTCCAGGTTACTTGCGTAAACTTTATTGTTCCCCCCTTCGCTACCTCCTTGTTTGGGAGAGAAGAAGCCTGTGAAGCCCCACCCAAATCCCTTTCAGGCTGTTTTTCCCCTCTTAACTTCTCCGTGCTGTGTTCTCTTAAAACTTACATCTCGCGCGTTATTGTTATTATTGGGAGGGAATTGTTCGCTGCTTGACAGTTTGTGAGAAACAAGAAAACCTCTGGCGGATTTTGGACGAAAAAAAACAAAAATTGTCCGTTCGGTTTTTATCATTTTTTGGCGTTTTGCTGAGAAAGTGCGGAGAGGTAGCTTTTTTTTTTGGAAACTGACGGCGGTACGTGGCTGGGCGGTTAAATTTCTTCTTTCGGAGAAAACCATAGTGAAGGAGAATGTTCGGCAATCTCCTTTAAAGTTTGCCATCTTTACCTTCTTTTTTAATATTACTTGAAATAGACAATATATATATATATATATTCTATTCACAGATAGATACAACTTTTGTCTTTGGCAGTTTATTTGGTGTTTGTTGTTTTATGTCCTTTCTCCTGTGAGTATGTACCATTATTCATCGCTATTTTTTTAATATCTTCATATTAATTAATTATTTTGGCAGTTTTCTGATTAGCGAGTAAGGAATCTTTAGGGATTAAGTTTGTTAGTGAAACACAGCCAGAAGAAGAGAAAATGCATTCGATTTAATATATAGAGTGTTATAACGTTATACGGTGCGTACATCTTTTTTTATTTATTACGCATTTTAGCATTTGAAGAGATATACGTAATTTATGTTTTTCTCTCTATTTTGACTGCATTTATAGTGAGACCCGGCAAAAATTAAGATGATTGCAATCAAAGACACGAAACGCTAAATTAATAAAAGTCCTTAATATAAAAGATTGTTACTTCTTTCTCTCACCTCGCTCTCAATTAGTTGATTTTACAAATGATCCATACAAAACGATTGAAATAAACTAAGAATTCAAAAGAACAATGACATCAGATACGACCAACACAACTAGCGATGGAGAACCAAATCACAAAAAACTTAAAAGGGATAATGCTCAAGAACTTGAATCAGCCTCATTGAACAAATTGTCTAATGTAAAATTATCGCATGAACAAACAAAACTAAGAGATAGAATATTAAGATTTACTCGTAGACATTTAATTAGTTATAATGCAAAAAAATCAACTAAACATTCACCTGCAATTTTCACTATTCAGGGTGATGCAGGTACAGGGAAATCAGTTGTTTTAAATTCTTTATTTAACACATTTCAAAAACTTTCAATTGAGAATGATGATCCTGAAGATGTTTTATGTGGTACAAAAAATTACTTAGTGGTTAATCATCCCGAAATGTTAAAACTTTACTTAAGGATTAGTAAACAATTTAAATATATCAAAAGAGGATCATTAGAGAGACCTACATCTCTAATAAATAGATTAATTAAAAATAATGAATTGGCAGATATAATTGTAGTAGATGAGGCGCATCTATTGGCAACTTCAAAGGACGCTTTTAAGAAATTTTATGGGAATAATCAACTGGAAGAACTTTTATCATTAGCAAAAGTTCTTATTGTGGTATACGATCACAGACAATCCTTACGAATGGGGTGTTATTGGGATGATTATTCTAAGAACGGTGCAAGTTTGTCAAGACTTACTCAAAAAATTCCTGAGACAAAGAGACATTGGCATGAATTGGAAAAACAGTTCAGAGTTGCTGCACCACCGGATGTCTTGGAATGGATAAAGATATTTACTACTACAGGAAAAATACCAGAATTCCCAAGGAGTGTGTTTGAGAATAGCGAAACAAAGAAGAACAAAAATTCTGAAAAATATGATTTTAAAATATGGGATGACTGTGGTAAAATGTATGAAGACTTAAAATTGAAGAATAATAAATATGGTCAATGTAGAGTATTATCTACTTATGATTTCCCGTATAGACTAGATGGTAAAGATTATTATGTTGAATGCGGAAAAAATTTTAAAGTAAGATGGGATCGTTATCAACCACGAGCTACTTTACCATGGAGTGAACGTGCCGACTCAATAAATGAAGTAGGAAGTGTTTACACAATGCAAGGTTTCGACCTAAATTATGCAGCTGTGATACTCGGTAGATCAATCGGATATGACGAAAATAATGATTGTCTTGAACTAAAACCAGAATTATATGACGATCGTGCTGGCTTTACCAGAAAGGAGAACATCATATCTCCAGATACTGTAAAAGCAAAAATTATCATGAATAGTTTGAACGTTTTATTAACGAGGGGTGTGAAAGGTTTGTATATTTATGCCTATGATTCCAAATTGAGAAAACGGTTACAAAAATCTATGGTCAAAGAAAAGGATGATAGGTTTAAACACTATAATGATAGATATTTTTACGACTAATATTTTTTTATTAGATGAATGCAAGTAATTCTATAAATCTATATATCCATGGGTTTGTTATGAATAACTTATTATTATTGTGCGGACTAAATGGTCAGCCCACTAAAACCTGCTCATGTAAATGAAGTACATTCCCGGCAGTATTAATCAATGATCATTATTAACAACTATTATTGTGATTTTTTAGTATCCACCTTCTGTTTTCCTTGAGGTGAGGATGCAGTTCTTTTATTCGTGGCTTCCCAGGTAATACCCGCAAATACGATAAATATACCAAACCACTGTGTATAATTAACAGTCTTACCGAATATAACAATACTTAATAACATTGATATCATCTTTCTTGTCACAGTAATCATAATCAATTGCAAAGAACCAAAACTTTCCAATGTATAGAAGATAAAACATTGCCCAATAGCACCGCACACAGCATATACTACTAAATAAGATAAAACTTCTGGATCTGACTTTAAAAGGGTTAGTGCTTTGTGAATCTGTTCTCTATCAATAAGTGTCAAGTAAAAAATATTCCATAAGATAATAAACAAGTTTAATGAGAACATTAGATGTGGTCCAGTAATTTTTTTATTTGTCTTTTGCTCTTCCTTCGAACCCTTCTTGGATCCCGCAGTTTTCAACATTTTATCCTGTGTTGCATTGGTTAAACCATCCATAAACAAACTAGCAGCTAATAGTATAAACCCATAATATGAACCACTGTTGGCTTGGATAGATTTTTTCTTGTTTTGTGAACCACCGATTGTAAATATTGTGACGCCAAGACTAACCAGAATGGCAACAATTTTCTTTTGATACTCTATTGGAGTACGGTAAAGTAATAAGTGAACCAATAAAACAGGGATCATTTTACATGATTTGGCCAACATATAGGTCAGATAATCAACTTGTTTTAAAGAATATGTGGCTAGTGGTGTGGATGTGCTTTGGGTGAATGAAACCATTAGAAGTTGTTTATAATGGTCCTTAATCAGATCAGATACTTGATAATCTACTTTTCTAAAATTTAAGTAGATATATCCTACAATCATTGCTATAGATGCTTGAGATATGGCAATGATATTTGGAAACTGGAATTGTTCATTGGAAATTGGCCAAACTTTTGTTGTCAATGGTTCCTGTACTAAGGCCCAGGTAAGGAAACTTGCATATATCCCTACTGCACATATTAGCAATTTATAAAAATGTGAAGAACCCATTTATAAGAAGATCTTATCAATGTTCAATAAACTTTAAATTTCGTGTTCTATTCTACCAAAAGCAGTTGAACTGTTGGTTTTCTCAGATTTTCTCTAGATATCTTTCACAGTATAAAATTAAGCTCGGTAAACCTTTAATATCACAGAAATTTAAAACTTATTTTAAACTAACCTTCAATTGTAGCCTCATAATCTCTTTCTGTTTGGCTTCATACTTGTTGGTTAACTCGAAACTGTTACGTTATTATCTGTCCTGTTCGTTGAAGATGATGTCAGTAGTTCTCTCTTTTTGGTACGGTCGTTTTACTGGATTTTAAGCCAAAAATTTTTCAGTTCTGAAATTTATTTTGCTTCGTTGTCGCTGACTGTGGAATTTTCAAAGGTTCCAAAAACTTAGAAAGAGAGAGAGCAAGCCAACGCAGATTAATGCAAGAAACGGCAATGTCATTTGAAGATTGGAATGACGATGATAGTATTTTTTTTAGGATAGAATTGTATTTAAGTCTAGTACATCTGATATTTGATTGATATTTGAGAATACATACAGCAAATATAGTCAAAGATTCCCCAAAGCCCGAGTCAAATATGGTTGTTTATTCCCCAATTGCGGCTACCTATGGTTCTCGTATTGAACAATTTGTCGAGACAGAATCTGATTTCTGCAAATACCATGATAAACTTAATGTTAAATTGAGACACCTAAGACATCGTTGTAAAATTATCACCAAGGATACTAGGAAATATAGTACCAAAGAGAAGTATTCCAAGATCACTTCCGATGACTACGATAAGAAGAACAAATTGTTTGGTGCTTTAGTATTAATGCATTCTGAAAGAGACCTGTCCTTTGCAGAAGCTATTAAACTCAGAATTCGTCAAAGAGGGAAAGCAAAAGGTAGTGAACAGAAACTGTTAGGTACTAGATTGAAGAAGGCCTACAAGACATCCCAAAACCTCCTTGAGATAACAAAAAATGAGGGCCAATGGATCACTCGTGCTCAATATCTAGCCTACGCCAAAATTGTTCATGCTGAGTATTTAATATTTGGTAAAAAAGTGAAGACTAAGAATAATACATTGATAACAAAGGAGTTAGCTTTGGCTTTAGCTGCATGTACATTTTTAAAAGATAAGGAAATATTACCAACTGAAATCATTGATTATTTAAATACCAAATATGAATACACTTTAACCCAATATGGTGATAGAATTACATCTTCTATTGACTTAAATAATTTCGTTAGCAAAACAGTAGAAGCAGGGAAAGATAATAACGACGAATTAGCCGAACTATTGTTCAAGAATGGTTACATAACAAAGGTTGAGGATGTCGAAATGGAAAAGAGTCCAATTAATAATAAAATTGAATGGAGAGCGTTCAACTGTAAAATTAAAGATAACCAGATCGCTCAACTAATTAACGATGTTTCAGCTGTTCAAGTCAAGGATATTGCTGATTATAGTTCAAAGCTATCTAAATGGGAGAACATTTTAAGCAAACAACATGAAAATATGGCACGTCAAGTTAATGAAGAACTAGATGCAGATGAAGATGAAAATATGGACAATGAGGAAAACGAGGAAATCTTACTAGCATACATTAAGTTCCAAACAATTTTTACTTCCATTTCTCGTGATGCTTCATTATTCAATAAATTATGGAAACAATGGGAAAAATTAGGTTCATCCATGTCTTCTAAGTTAACAAAGTATAAAGAAATTGAACGTATTGTCAAAAATTTGAAAAGTTACTTAAAGGAAGTGACTGAGCTACCAGGTATCTACTCTGATGACGAACTGATCTTCCAATTAGAACTATCGATGGATTATTTCCAATTGTACTTAAATGCAGGGTGTTTGGCATCTTTATACCAATCCAAGGGCAAATATAGAGAATCACTAGCTCTTTATGTTCACTCACACCAAACTTTACAAGAAAAATTACAAGTTCAACAGAATACTGAATTGATAAAATTACCAGAAGACTTACTTACTGAACAGGCATTGACCAAATTAAATAATCTGATTAAGACTGGATGGAATAGTGTTGTTGCTTTGGCCGAATATGAAAAAGAACTGAATACTTCTTACATCGTTAAAAAATATCAACCTACTGTGGTGGAGAAAATTGATTCGTTATCTGTAAGACCAAGCGATGTTCATCTAAATAATTTATTCCCTCTTAGACCTATTGTTAAACCAGTTGGAGCTAAACCAACCCTATTTGATTTAGCATTCAACTATATCGAATATGAAGAAGATATCCAAACAAAGGCGAACAATAATGAAACTGCAGAAAAGAAGAGTATCAGTGTTGACCAAAGTACTCCAGAAGACCAACCTGCAAAGAAGCGTGGTTTCTTAGGTCTGTTTGGTCGTTAAACAACTCCTCTTTTAATCATATTTATGACACAAAATGTGATATGTAACCTAAATTATGTAGTTCAATAAAGGAAGATCAAGATTTTACTAAATTAAATAATATCTAAAGATTCTTATTCATGCCACAATACCGAAATTTAAACAAAGCTATTGCCAAGAGACTTTTATAAATAATTTGACATCAGAAATGTAATTATAACATAATCATATTTGTAATAAAAATTGTCTGTGTTGTTGATACTATATATTAATTTATATCTATGTAGAGAGACTCATCATATTTGTGATGTACTTCAGGAAAGAAACGTGTCAACAACCAACTTCAACAATTTAGAGGTGTCAACAGTAACTTTAGAGTTTAATATATTCCATTTCTTCACTTTTTCGCCGGCCTGACTTTTAATTAAAGCAACAAATGTGAATGAGTCCACAACCTCGTTATGCTTATTTTCAGTTGATTTTCTCTTGTCAATCAATTGGATTCCATATCTGGCGCCATCCGAAGTTGACATCTTGAACATAATGTCTGGAAACTTTGGACCACTTGAGCCAAATACCTTGATAGTTTGTTCACCTAATTTCTCTCCGTCGATATACGTGACTACCCCTCTCTCGTACAATTGTCTTGTGGTCCACTTAAATTTCAAACCATTTAATTCAGTGCCATTCTTGTGTTGCAGATTTTTATATGCACTCTTTAAATTTCCCAATGTGCCCTTATTGACTGGGAGATAATTATGTGACTTCTGAGAGTTTCGAATAACACTCTGAACTGTTTGCCTTAAATTATTTAGTATTTGATCATTGTTTTGATTCATTTGATAAAGTTGCTTTAATGTATTACGCGTCGTATCTAACTCTTGTGTGACATAATCAATTGCATAGTTTGGATTTTTAATTGTATTTGCAATATCGTTTAATAAGTTCTGAAGTTTATTATCTGTACTACTCATGACACCTGCACTTTCTAAATCATGAATTTTCTTTAGTGTAACATTTTTTAATTTGAAATATGTGCATGGATCCAAATTCTTAATCAGTGGATCCCTTTGAATAATTTTATTTTCTTCTAGAAATTTCTTGAATAAAGGTTCATCTTTTGAGAGAATATTGCTCACAACAAGATCATACAGATTAGTGTCAACCTCTTCAATTTGAGTCATATAAATTATTGCCCGTTTTACTTGATCGTAAAGTTTTCTCATTTGGTCATCAGAAACCAAGAATCTATACACAGAAGCATTTAATTGGAGATAAATACGTCCTGACTTTGGGAAGGATTTCCAATTCGAGCCCATCTTTAAGATATCTTGGATTATATCTTTATCTGGAAATGAGTTACTGCATTCGATAAACCTCTCATATATTTCCTTCGCCTTTTCAGCCAAGATTTCGAGACGAGGGGGGTTTGAAACCATATCTTTATAGATCAACCTATCTCCTTCTTGTTCATAGTCAGGTTCAATCATCACATTATACATGATGTTCCTAATATGTGGCTTTATTTCCTCTGCATATTGGTTCAGTGGATCAAGATAACCGTCAAACTTTCTCATTTCAAAAACTGTCCGAACAGCATCTAGAACTATTTCAACCTTTCTTTTTGTTTGTGTTGGGACATGTTGAGTAAATCCATAATGGTGTAAGTTTTCAAGGTATTCACCTATGAAACAATCGATCAAAACCTTTGATACAGACCTTATAGAGTCTATCTCATCAGCATTTTTGTCAGCTGCAAACCCAAAAATCTTTGTACAAATAAATCTAACCTCAACAGGAATTTTTGCAAACTGTTTAGTATAAATGTCAGCGACCAATTCGACACAATGCCAAATATTTTTCAAATTACTAATAAAAGCATTTTTCACATCAAGATCATCTATTGGAGATAGCCCGCTTGGAACCTGACAATGATGCAATCTTTCATAAATATGGTATGGATTACTTTCAAAATCTGTTCTAGGATTATCCACGAAGTCAATTAAAGGTACAATCAAAGAGACCGTTTCACTATATTCCCTTTGCAAGAATAATCTTAACTGAGTTTCCCAACCTTGATCATAACTGACTAGGAAATCAGAGATAGTTTTAAAACTCGACATGGAATATTGAAGTACCTCAGAAAGTAATCTGATATAGTATGTCTTTTCTCTCTTACCCATCTTCTTATTAAGCGTAGTAAAAGTCAGATAAACATTATTTTCAACAAAATCTGGATTCTGTTTATACATTATTTTCCAATACGATGGGTTCACCTGTAACAAATAGAATAATTCCTCAAAGTTGGAATATTTGGAGCTGGCAGCATTTAAATCACTTAGGAAATCGGTGTTAGACATCGATCCATTCAGGCCATATCCATCAAGAATTTCGAGCATCTCAAGCTGTTCCCTTAACAATCTTTGGGTATTGTGTTTCCTAAGATTTTCAGCGTCCAGGGAAGCTTGACATGTCTCGAGGGAGTTTTGAACTCCTTCAATGGTACCACAATCATTTAATAAATGGGTAAACTTCTTAACCGCCCATAGTGATGGGTTTGGGAAATCCATCAATTCTTGATATGCCATACTTTGTAAGTGTTTTCTAACCTTACTTTGAATTTTGACGATTGATTTCTCATTTTCAATAAAACAATTTTCTCTGTTGTGTAGCTTTAAGCGAACTTGTGAACCTTTTATAAAACCCTGGAGTTCAGTGATATTGTTGACCTCAATAATACTATCCACCAAGTCTAACGTATATCTGACAAGGATACCACGTACTATACCTTGAATTTTAGGAATTTCTGAACTTTTATTTATCTTCTCAGAGCAAATTAAATGTAAAGATTTACGAACATGATTTCCCCTCATAACAGCTGAAAATTGCGTAATAGTCTTTTCATACAAAGAAAGAGTTTTAAAAAGATTATCTACCTGTTGACGTTTGACGGAGGCATTTAAGATACTTTGAATTTTGTGGACATCAGAAGTGTTCAATCTTGCGATTATCATATTTATATTTTGCCTAGTCAAGTTACCCTTTATAAAGGATTGGAGTTTAACCAAATTTTCGTTTTTATTATCATCATGGAATTTTGATCCAAAAAGTTCATTTCTTATGTAGATTCCTCTGAGATAAGATTGTAGCAGTGTCAATGGTTTCTTTATGAGCGAGACGTTATGCAGTTCCCTGTTTGTCTTAATTCTAATCTGGACACCTGCAGCAATGACTTGGAATTTGGAGATAATATGCTCATTCCTCATACATTGGATCCTCAGTTTGTCATATTTATATCTCATCTTATTTCCTTTAATAATTGATTGCAGAGTCGAAATACTGCCTTCAATCTCAGGCTTTAGGTTTTTCCTACATGAAATATTTAATGAGCGCCTTAGAATTGCACCTCTTCCATGAGCTTGGAAGGAAACAATATCTCTTTCAAATAATTTCAATAATCTCTCTTGCATAAATAAATCAAATCTTATGTTCACAGATCTACAACGGTTTTGAATTTGTATGACTTGGTCTAAAAATTCATGCTCTGTCATTTTTTGTTTTCTCTTGGGAGAATATTGAGGAGAATTATAGCCGTGATTATCATAATATTGTAAATCAGTTGCCCTGTTTTGACTCCTTCTAAGATAAAAGTCTGAATCATAGGTCAAATAATTAGATATAGTAGGTGAATAGTATGAGAGGCTTGTATTTTTTAAAGGACTATATTGCAATCGAGGCGTATCCAAATCAGCAGATTTAAAAGTAGGCGAAAAATATTTGTTCGAGTTGTTTTCTAATGTAGATATTTTTGAACTTGTAAGTTGTTGTTCAGTTTCCTTTTGATTCACTTCTTTAGCATTTTCACTTATACCATTCGTTGGTATTTGTTGTTGTTGCGATATTCTATTTTTTGTAGGTGTAACTGGTGGTGTTAATGAATTCTTTTTTTGCAAATGGTCGAATTTAGAAAAATCTTGTATTAGACCTGGACTGGACAATTTGCTATGACCATCCTTTGATGATGAAAGTTGAGCTGCTGCCAAAGATTTAAAATCTCTGATTCTTGGCCACTCTCTATGACATTTTCTTAATTCTTCCTTTGAAAAACTTACTTTACCTGACAAATTTTCGATATTCGTTGTTTTACCGGGCCATTTTCTATTTATCATTGTTATTAAAATATGTATTGTCTCAATAACTCGAGGCATGTCCTTTTTGTTGTATAAATCCTGCAATTCAAATCTAAAGGAATCAGGTACCCCTACATGATCAACTAATGACAGAAAAGTATTAATATTCTGTGTATGTTTGAATTGCAATTTTCTACCAGCTGGGAAAATGGATGGAGCTAATTGAGGGCTAATTACCTGTGTAACTTGAGCTAAATAAACACCATTTCTCAATGAATCACCAGTACATAGTTCAATTTCCGATGGAAGACTTTGACCAATTAAATTTTCAATCCATCTCTTCTCTTCAGCTACTCTACAAAGGAATTCATAGTACTTAAGTTCAGTATTTGAAAATTTTACTAAATCAACAGCTTCCAGAGTAGATACTGTTTTCCTTGTAGCCTCATCTGGTGAATGGATTAAAGTGGATTCATGAAGATTCTTCAGAACTGGACTTCTGCTTAAGGATTTTGAATTTTCCTTATCCTCGTAAGAATGAAATTTTAAAGGAGAGGACAAATTCGATGATTTAATCTTTGTTGGCGTCACTGGTGGACTATATGCTAAATTCATTTTGGAAGGGGATAATGGTATTAGTGTTTTTTTGTTAGGAGTGTAAGATTCATGATTGGTACTTTGAATATATCGGTCAATAAAGGGACTCAATTTCGTCGAGACCGGAGATGTACGTAGTGTATCCATATTTATTCAAACTTTTATATGGTCACTCACTTATATAAGTTGTTAGTAAAACCAAATATTCAGGACCTAGATACCTCTTTTAGTTCAATTGTGTTTTATATAAGTACTATCCTCCGAATTTCAAGGGATTATATATGTCCTTAAATAAATAAATAAATAAATAAATAAATAAATAAATAAATAAATAAATAAATAAACAGCTTATAAAGTTAAATGAAAGAAGATACACAATAATAACTTCTCTCACAGAAGTGCTAACCATTGTGATTAATCTTTCCGAAGAACTTCCCCAAGAATATATATCCTCTTTGTCTCATGTTCAGCGTTGGAGGGGTTCGGTTTGTCTCATCTTCCCTGAAATATTTGCTGTTGATATATTTCCTAATACGGAAAGATGGCAACAAACCGAAAGAAATTGTTCGAGGACAAAATCATTAATTACGACATGCAAATAAATGTTTTAGCAGGCAATCAAGGAATAACATAATAATATCGGACACATCTATTGAATTAAACATTCATAGAAATCAATAATGTTTAAATTATATTTTTACACGGGAATATATATCTGTATAGGCCCCTAATCAACGTACATAATGTTGCTTTAAACTTTGTATATTACCCAAGTAAGTATCGAATTCATCAAACTTATAGTCATTTGGATCTTTGAACGGTTCACTGTTCTCTAAGTTCTTTGATTTGGTTACGTTATTGAAGTTTTCGATGGTTAAATGTGTTTCTGAAGATTGGTGGAATGTACACTCTTTACAATTTTCGACCACCACCGTTTGTTTCGAAGATAGATAATCATCACAAAGTATTAACATTTTACATTTGTAAAGATTATGCAATCTTACTTGAACCTTATCATCCTTTGGCATATGTAAAATCAAGATACAATTGGATGCATCGGATACAAATATGCTACCGTTCTTAAATGGTAACGATTGTAATGATACTACAGATTTTTCAATGCATTGAATTGTTAGGGAGCCTGCCTTTGATTTGTCATTATAATCAGTACTCGATAAAGTACATCTTTCAAGACTCTTATAAGTCTTGTTTGAATCTAATAATACAAAGTCTAGATCCATAAAAGTAGCTCTACCATCAATAATTGGATTTTCTAAACCGGTACCCTTTCTAGAGGAACCTCTTGGGCCTAACTTTGAGATAGGTGTCTTCGCAAATTCAAATACTTTATCTTTTGTACCAGATAATTTCAATTTTTCATCGACGTCCTTCACTAATTTATCAATGTGCTTATTATGAAGCTCAACTTCATATGGCGATAAGTCTGGTGCATGTTTTTGTAGGTCTTCCCTTAAACTTGTTACTTTTGTTTTTATTCCAGCAATATTGGTACCACTCTGGAGATCTTGTTGTAATTTCTTTCTGCGTTCAGTAAGGTCATCACCAAATTTAGAGAAATGTTCCCCAATCGTAGTGTTTTCACCATCAGTCGAATGGTTACTACGAATGGAACTTATCTTTGTCAAAGGTTGTTTAGCGACATTAGCAGCCTTAACACCAACCTCTTTCAATTTTAACTTAGAGTCAATATCCTGTAAGATACTATCGATGTGACTATTATGCAATTTCCAATCATGCTCAGTAAAGTTTGTAGATACTTTGTGCATGTCATCCTTTAACCCTTTTACCTTATCCTTTAATTTCAAAAGATCTATTTCATCTAATCCTTTTGATAATTCTATATAAAAAACAAAACAAAACAACAGCAAATGAATATTGAAAGGTAAATTGTTAGTTAACTATTCAACAAAAAACAACAACAAATTACGGCAAAATTTCCCCATTCGAATACATACTTTCTTTGTCGGCGTCGAAATGTTCTGATATATGTGCTTTCATGTTACTCATTATGTCTTGGTAGTTTTATTATTATCGTGAATACTCGTTTGTAATACCTTTAATAGAAACCAGAACAACAAAACAGAGATTAGAAATATAGAAATACAATAAAATATCTTTGTCCTCCTCCCTTATATATATTTAGTAATAGCTGAGATTATATAATTAAGACGTATATCGCTTTATGCCAAGTAATAACACCTACATTTCTCTCCCTCCTTACCTACATCATTGTAATTTTGAGATCCCCTTAAAATTCTTGAGGGTTTTTTCCCTACGGAACTTCATTTGAATTCTCGCGGCTGTCTTCTCGAGGAGTTAGTATGAGGGAAGATCACTTCAGGCTTCTTGCTGAATGAGAATGAAACCACACGATATATATTAATACATGTTTCTACATTTCATTGTGGTAACTTCATTTAACAATCCAAATATCACAAAAGAGTACATGTTAAATAAATTTTAAGGAAGGACTTATGCTAATTAAAAGTAGAGGATTTAGTTTGATAGAGGCATTAATTTTCTAAATAGCCGTCCCAAATGACATCATTTTGAACGGTACGCATCGAATTTTTGGCCGGTAAAAAAATATTATTGTAAAATTTCGCTTTCACTTTCAATTAAACCAGGGAAATAAGAGGGCATCGCAAAAGTTAATTGCAAAATTACCCCAGTGAGAGAATTGTTGTTAAAATTCAAAATTAATTAATTGAAGACACTTACACATATATTTATATATATATATTTAACTCTATTTGTTTAAAATAAACGCTATTTCTTTAAATACAGCTATCCCCCTACAAAATGACATTGCACAAGGAACCATTAGACCAAGAAGATCAGGATGCTATCATTCAAGATGCTAGAGCTGGTGATGAAGAATCTCTAAAGGAGATTTTTACAACATTGATTGACCCATCTATGCTAGTAACCTGTAGAGATTCGATCTCCCAATCTTCTGCATTACATATGGCAGCAGCTAATGGTCATTTAGACACTGTAAAATATATCCTTTCATTAGTATCGGATTCTGAACAAAAAGAATTTATCAATTTACAAAATGAAACAGGAAATACTGCATTACATTGGGCCTCTTTAAATGGGAAACTAGATGTCGTTACTTATCTATGTGATGAATTCGATGCTGATCCATTCATTAGAAACAAATTTGGTCACGATGCTATCTTTGAAGCAGAAAACAATGGTAAAGAAGATATTGAAACATACTTCTTAAAGAAATATGACGTCGAACCAGAAAGTGACGACGAGAATGAGGCTGAAGGAGACGGTAATACTGAAAACGTTCCTGCTACAACTGATAATGTCGAAATTACACCTGGTACTGAGATTGAAAATGTTACTGAAGAAGCTACAAAGGTCTTAAATGAACAAACAGCTAAATTAAATATTGCAGAAAATTAAATTAAAACTTCTTGCAAGACTTCTCCCACATGCATATAACCACCATCTTCTCAAATCCATTCATAGAGTCTCTATATATACATACATATAGACTGTACAATACATATTAATCATCTCTACTTTTCTATCCATCCTAGATCAGTCATATCTAGTCAAGCTTACCCTCAAGATGACTGCACATCGCGATCTACGACATTGAAAATTTTTACCCTCTTTTTTTATGTGTAAGAAATACAGAGAGACAAGCAATCCATCAAAGAGAATAAGTTGCAGAACCAAGCGAACCAAGAAAAAAAAATTTCACACGAATTGTCTCTCTTTCTCTCTCATGGGAAAAGTGAAAAATTATACAGAGTAACGCCAATGATGCTTTGGAAATCACAATGATAGATTTTGCAAAAGGTAATAATAAGTTACACGCTTAGTTATTATATATCTCTATCTATCTACATATATTTTAAACAGCTATTATTTAATATATCATTTCGTTATATTGTGATAGATTAAAAGATCAAGTGCATATAAACCATCCATCAAAGATGTCAACCGATTTAGCAAATGACCTAGGTTTTGACCCAACTTTAAAGAAGAAGAAGAAGACCAAGAAGGTTGCCCCAGATTTTGATGCCGGCACTAGTACCGACACTACTGAGACCACAAGTAATGATGATTTGTTCTCTGGTATGAAAAAAAAGAAGAAGAAGTCCAAGTCTACATCAAAGGATGCTGAAACCACCGAAGGTGATGTCGACGAAGTCTCTGAAGCACTAGGAGAACTTTCCTTAAAGAAAAAGAAGAAGAAGAGCAAGGAACTAGCCACTGTTGATGATTTTGAAAAAGAATTAGCCAAAGCAGGTATTTCTGCCGAGGTTACTGAAGGTTCACCTGCTCCTGAGTCCAGTGCACAACAAGAGGCTGGTCTTCCATACGCTGATTTATTATCTAGATTTTTCAACATATTAAGAGCTAATAACCCAGAACTTGCTGGTGATAGATCAGGTCCAAAGTTTAGAATTCCACCACCTGTATGTTTACGTGATGGTAAGAAGACTATTTTCTCTAACATTCAAGACATTTCCGAAAAATTGCAAAGATCTCCTGATCATTTGATTCAATATCTATTTGCCGAATTAGGTACTTCAGGTTCTATTGATGGTCAAAAGAGATTAGTCATCAAAGGTAAATTTTTATCTAAGCAAATGGAAAACGTTCTAAGAAGATATATCTTAGAATACGTCACCTGTAAGACTTGTAAGAGTATTAACACAGAATTAAAGAAAGAACAATCCAACAGATTGTATTTCTTAGTCTGTAAGAGTTGTGGTTCTACCAGATCTGTTTCTTCCATCAAAACTGGTTTCCAAGCTACTGTCGGGAAAAGAAGGAGGATGTAATGAAACAAATAACAAAAATATCATTCAAAAAGGAATATCATCATTTTTTGCAATTCATATGTACATTGTAATGTTATGAAAAGTATACTGTAAGTAGAAAGCTAGTATCGTTTTAACATATTAAATACAAAATTTTTTAAAAAAAAAATCTATACATCAACTAATATTTATTAAGTTAAATGTATAACTGACTCAATATAAGTCATTATATAAAAATTTTATTAATATGGAGACAATTATTTACTCACTTGTAATATTGTTAACTGCTCTAGTAACTCCCTAGCAGAATATCTCGATGCAGGATCAACTGTAATACATCGATTAACAATCTCGAGTAAACCTTGCGTGTATCTGCTTTGTTGTGGGAAAGAGAATAGTCCCTTTTGAATCGCTGCCCGTTTAGGTGTACCGTTTATTTGTTCTTCTCTCTCGAATGGTGATATGCCAAACATCAAACTATATAAAGTACACCCTAGTGACCAAACGTCAACTTTTGTGCCGATTGTGGTGTTCATTTTAGGATTCAATAACTCAGGGGCAGCATATTCTATTTGGCAGTTTCTTGATACCCACTCCTTAAGTGTCTCTAATTGAGTTTCGGAATCAAAAGTGACTGTAGCCTTAGAACATGAACTCAGATCGCCAATAACTGGTGTATGATCATCTGCAATGAGAATATTAGATGGTTTAAGGTTCTTGTGCGAATATGAAATCGCATGATCACGATGCGAATATATAGTGGAAGCATCTAATGGTGTATCTGTCAAAAGGCCCTCAGTTTCTTCGGTTGTGTTTAACGCAGTGGATGAATTAAAGTTACTTTCAATATCCTCATATGGTCTTTTCTTGGGATCATGAAGACAAATTAACCCCGTACATATATCAATAGTTAACCGTATACATTCTTGTTCTGAAATATAAGTACCATCTAATAAGTTCCTATTAATCGTCTCTTGGATTGAACCATACTTAAAATAAGGTAATAAAATGTAAATCGTTTTGGAACCGTCTTTCCCCTGTATAATTTGTGAATCAACGCATGAAACGATATGGGGGTTTTGAAATATCTTATAACAATCAATTTCTTGGAGTGCATTAGATACACTCTCAATGTCACCAAAGGGACACGTAATTTTTTTTAGGGCAAAATAATTTCCATTCCTATAAAGTGTCTCCTCGACGGATTTCAATAGATATACGAATGTTAGATCACCTTCAGCCAACAACCTTATTATTTTAAATCTGTTACCATTAACTTTTATAAATAAATCATTTGTTCCACCGTAATCACAACAATATAAACTAAAATAGTATTTTAGAGAATCTGGGATATTCATAGTTCGATGAGATGAGATTGAATAAAATGTTTCTATGCTTAGTCCTCTATAATACCGTATAAACGAAACTTGGAAGTATTAATATATCTGCCCTATTTAAACAGAAGAAAAAATATAATATGTTCAATACAAACGATTTGCGGTATATACCAGCTTGCTAGTTAGATTAAATTAGTTTAATTGGGTGCATCTCATAACCCTTATACCTTGCACCTTAAATAATTTCCGGCACGTGATAATTGAAGTTTTTGCCCCTTCACTACGGAAACATCAAACTACAGAACGAAAAAAAAAAAAATTGGAATAGTAAATTCTAGAGGGAAGATTATCAAAACTTTTCAAATACAAAAATTGTTAAAGGACTAATAAGCATCATACATATTATTCTTGAAAAAGTAAAAGTTAATATTATTTCGAAAAAAGTTGTTAATATTTGAGGACAGATAATTGCGGCAAAGAAGAGATATTAATATACACAATCATAGTATCAATTAAGAAAAATGTCTATTCAAACAACCGATGCTTCAGAGACTTCTGATTCCTTAAAGTCATTGTCATTAATTGCTTCCCATTCCCATATTACGGGGCTGGGTCTCGATGATAACCTCCAACCACGTGAAACCTCCGAAGGTATGGTGGGTCAAATTAAAGCCCGTAGAGCAGCAGGTATTATATTAAAGATGGTTCAAAATGGTACCATTGCTGGTAGAGCTGTCTTAGTAGCAGGTCCTCCTTCTACTGGTAAGACTGCTCTAGCAATGGGGCTTTCTCAATCACTTGGTAAAGATGTTCCATTTACTGCCATTGCAGGTTCCGAAATATTTTCACTTGAATTAAGTAAGACAGAAGCGTTAACCCAAGCCTTTAGAAAATCTATTGGTATTAAGATTAAAGAAGAGACCGAATTAATTGAAGGTGAAGTTGTTGAAATCCAAATTGATAGATCCATTACAGGTGGTCACAAACAAGGTAAACTAACCATTAAGACCACTGATATGGAAACCATTTATGAATTAGGTAACAAGATGATTGATGGCCTAACGAAGGAAAAAGTCCTTGCAGGTGATGTTATTTCCATTGATAAAGCTAGTGGTAAGATTACAAAACTTGGTAGATCATTTGCTAGATCTAGAGATTATGATGCCATGGGTGCTGACACTAGATTTGTTCAATGCCCTGAAGGTGAATTACAAAAAAGGAAAACTGTTGTTCATACTGTATCATTGCATGAAATTGATGTTATTAACTCTAGAACTCAAGGTTTCTTAGCTTTATTCACTGGTGATACTGGTGAGATTAGACCAGAAGTTAGAGAACAAATAAATACTAAAGTAGCTGAATGGAAAGAAGAAGGTAAAGCAGAAATTGTTCCAGGTGTTTTATTCATTGATGAAGTGCACATGTTAGATATTGAATGTTTTTCTTTTATCAATAGAGCTTTAGAAGATGAATTTGCTCCTATTGTTATGATGGCTACAAACAGAGGTATCTCTAAAACTAGAGGTACTAATTATAAATCTCCACATGGTTTGCCATTAGATTTATTAGATAGATCTATTATTATTACTACTTCAAGTTATAATGAACAAGAAATTAAGACTATTTTATCCATAAGGGCACAAGAGGAAGAAGTTGAATTATCATCAGATGCTCTAGATTTATTAACTAAGACAGGTACTGAAACTAGTTTACGTTACAGTGCAAATTTAATATCTGTATCGCAACAAATTGCATTAAAGAGAAAGAGTAATATTGTTGATATTGCAGATGTAAAACGTGCATATTTATTATTCTTAGATAGTGCTAGATCTGTGAAATATGTTCAAAAAAATATGGATCAATATATCGATGATGAAGGTAAAGTAGAAATTACTTCAAAGCCTGTCGATGATAGTGCCATGGACACCACTGAATGAATAAGCTAAAACCAAAGAAACCTAAACAAACATAAAAATCAGTAACATATATACATATATCTATATATATATATAATTGTAAAATAATGAAAGATTAAATTAAAAAAAAGGGAATATCTCCATATAATTTAAAAATGTTGTTTATTATGAGACGTATATAATATAATGTATGTAATGTATGTATTTAAAAAAGAAGAATTATAACTTATTCTGAACCTCTAGTGTTCAAAATCAATGCAATAATCATACCGTATAACCCTAAAACTTCTGAAAAGATAAGAATTAAAACGATACCAACAAATAATCTTGGTTGATGCATAAATTTTCTAACACCAACATCACCGACTATACCAATGGCGTAACCACTTGATAAACAAGCAAATCCAACAGATAAACCACAACTTAAATGCATAAATCCATTAAATAAAGTATATTCTTCAGTTGGTGAAATATTACCTGCAATTAATACAGCTACTACTAAACCATAAATGGCAAGAATACCACTCATAACAACAGGAATCAATGATTTCATAATTAATTCAGGTTTAAAAGTACCAATACCTGAAATACCAATACCAGATTTGGCAGTACCGATGGCAGCTCCTACACATGATAAGATCATAGCAGCTGCACAACCGGCAAATCCAAAGAATGGAGAATAGAATGGAGCATATGGATTAGATATAAGTTCACTACTCATGATTTTGTATAAAAGATAATCTTATTTTCTCTCTCTCTCTCTGTCTCTATGAAAAAAAAAAGGAAGTAGTTATAAATATTTAATATTATAATTGGTAATTTAATCTTATTATTAAATATATTGTTTCACCTCAGAACATAAAAACCACTCCTTTGAAATACCTTTAACTAAATTATTTATTTCTGTTCAATAAGATAATTCATGTATAATATATAACCTTCCCTGTTATAATAATAAATGTTGCAAAATAATTGAATTGTATGATTACTATAATGTAGTTGTTGCAGAGATGGCTGCTAATTTAGCGATTTCTTTAAAAAAAAAAAAAAAACATAGAGGGAGAAGAGGCCAAATTTTTATTAGCAAAAAAAAATGAAATTAATATTTTAACAAAACAAAATATAAGAAAAAAGCCCGCACTGACTTAAAATGACTTAAAACAAAAACAAATAAATAAATGACATAATAAACCCAAAACATCGTAAAGGGAGGGCAATCAATTAAGAATAAAGGTATTAGATCAAGTGATATAATAAACCGGAGTAAAAATGTCAAATTATAGTAAGAAAGTTGATGTTAGTGTTGAACAAATTCGTGCAATATATGGTCAATTATTGGAATCGTTACAAGAACAAGTTTTAGAATCATTACCAAATAATAATAGCATAAATGATAATATATCATCTAATAAGTCTTTGAAAGAGATACAGATATATATACAAGAATATTTATTACGTGTAATGGAAATGTCATCTGGTTCTTTAAATATAGTCAACCTTGATGATAACAGTAACAACGACAATGATATGAGTGGAATGTTGACAGATACACAACAAAAATATGTTGAACCCTTTGATATTGAATTAAATGAACAAGTGCGACAAAAATATCAAGAATGGGAAGATCTAACAGTGAAAGTTGCGCATTTAAGACGAGATGGTCCTGAAACAATAAATAAAGTATATCAAACAGGAGCTACATCAATGTTAGATTCATTAGATGCACGTATACATGAGACGCTGAATAACAGTAATAATGAAGATAATAAAAAAAATATTGATGCCCCTTCACAAAATGATTTAAACCGAGCAATAAAACCACTTAATGATTACGGTGAAATATTAACTGACTTACACTCAACAAAAGAACAAATACCTAATACTCGTGCAGATTTAGCTAAGATCAAGACTTTATTAGCATTCCTACAACAAGATCAAACTTGATAGTGACCATAAAAACTACATATATATATATATATTCTAATAGAAAATAATACCATACAAATTATTCCAACTGATTTAAAAGTAAACGCCGTGCCCAGTGACAACCCTGGACCTTCGTAGAACACGACAAACAAACAGCTCTATCCAAATATTTTTTTGGGGAATTTCGTGTGGCTTTTTGTCGTTCCCGGAGGAGACGAAAACGAAGAAATGAGGCGCGTTCTCAGGTTTCTTGCAGGCGAAACAGCCTTAACTATTATAACGTTACCCTGACCATCTCAAATATTTTCCTTTTTTTCATTTATTTATTTTATTTTTTTGCTGTGCAATTTTTTCGTTTTTTCGTTTTTTGCGGTTTTTGTATGGTGATTATTGTGCTTTTCGTTTGTTTATATTTATTTACGATTGATTGTGCGTATGTAATAGAAAAATTACTATATTTACTTCGCGCGGTGTGGGCTAAAGAGAAGTTGGAAAAAAGATATTTTGTTTGAACTGCTAAATATTATATTTTGATATACAGCGAGAGAGAGAGAGAGAGAGAGAAAAAGGAAATTTTAATTATTTTCATATTTGTGCAATATTCTATATTTATTTTAAATATTATTTGAAGGAGCAAGAAATTAATTTATTTGAAACACTTTTTAGTTAATTTATTTTATTGTTTTTCCTCGAGATAGTTATTCTACTTTTTGAAAATAGTTTAGTCATATATACATATAGATATATATATTTCTATCTGAAAATCGACTGTTAAAGTGATAAATAAAACAAACAAATAGACAGAGAATATGAGTTATAATAATCCATACGAAGAAGAAAACCCATACGCTTCAGAAAGTTATGCAATGGATGGGAATCCAACTAATTCACAATTACAAAATAACTCTAGTATGCAAGGTGATTTTGTACAATTTATGAATAAAATTAATGAAATCAATGAAAATTTAGATAAATATGAAAGAATTATTAATAATATCGATTCATTACATAAGAATTTATTGACTCAAGTTAGTGAAGAACATGAAATGGAAATTAGACATCAATTAGATAATTTAATTTCACAAGCTTCAAATTTACAATATCAATTAAAGACAGATATTAAATTGGCTCAACAAGATGGTTTACATGATTCAAATAAACAAGCTCAAGCAGAAAATTCAAGACAGAGATTTTTAAAATTAATTCAAGATTATAGAATTATTGATTCAAATTATAAAGAAGAAAATAAAGAACAAGCAAAAAGACAATATAAAATCGTTCAACCTGAAGCAACTGATGATGAAGTTGAAGCTGCAATTAGTGATGTTGGTGGTCAACAAATTTTTTCACAAGCTTTATTAAATGCTAATAGACGTGGTGAAGCAAAGACTGCATTAGCTGAAGTCCAAGCAAGACATCAAGAATTATTAAAATTAGAAAAGACAATGGCTGAACTAACTCAATTATTTAATGATATGGAACAATTAGTTATTGAACAAGAAGAAAATATTGAAGTTATTGATAAAAATGTTGAAAATGCACAACAAGATGTCGAACAAGGTGTCGGTCATACTAATAAAGCTGTTAAAAGTGCTAAAAGAGCAAGAAGAAATAAAATTAGATGTTATGCTATTTTATTCTTGATTTTCGCTATTGTTGTTGTTGTTGTAGTTGTACCATCTGTTGTTGTCACTAGACGTAATTGATAATATTAATATACCTCTCTATTTTCTCTTTTTGTTTTCACAAAAACATGACATGACATTTCACACTAACACAAAGACCATATATATTTTCTAAAACTTTCTTTTCTCTCAAATAAGGACATATTCCCTTCATCTCAAAGGAAATTTGAAAAAAAAAATACAATAAAATAAACATTAACTGTAATGATTAACTTAACATCCTCACTCCTCTTCCTTTTTTTTTTCCTACTTTGTTCTTTGTTATTTAAATAAAAACCAAGGAAACGAAACCTCTCAGCCCTCTATTTTTGAATAGTAAGATTAAAAACAAATAAACAGACAAAAAAAAAAGACTCCAGGAAATAAAGAAACATCAACAGATAGTTATTATTTTCTATCATCTTATTAATATTACTTAAACTACATGTTTTTCTTTAATATGTTTCTTTCATTTCCCTATTTACTATTTTTAAATAGCTATGTATATTTACAAAAAAAAAAACACAATAAAATAAAATAATTCATAATTGTTTCAAGTATAATTACAACTACTAAAAAAAAAATTAATTAAGAGATTGAAAAAGATTTGTCACCCAGATATTTTAGTCCCAACATTGTAACTGCAAAACTCTAATAAATTAAAGTTAATATAATGAAATATATACAGGTTAGGGTGGAAAAAGGGTATAAAATAAATTATTCATCTTCCAATTTGGACAAGTTTTCCAATAACAGTAGGGTTGTGAACATAGTAGGTGTGGTCGCAACCACGGTAACTAGTCCTAAAGTTGACATTATTAAATGTCGCTATCATTGGAAAGGCTTTTAATGTCCTTGGATACTATGTGTTTTTTTCTTTATGACACTTTCATACATATAGATATGTGTGCGTAAGAAATGTACATATATAATGGACGATACTTCTGTATACGATTTCCAAAGAATATGCACACTCTATGAACTGACATATACATATTGATTATTGTTAGCTAACTTCTTTCAATGAGCAAACAAGAACATTGAAAAGTAATAATGAAAGAACGTAAATAAACGAACGTATAAAATATGTGTGTGTCTCTCTCTTTATATACCAAGTCCCAGGAGTGTGACAATGAAGGAAAAAATTGGCAAATTTGTTTTTCTTCGTTAATGCGAGAACACGAAATTTGTTCTTGGTTGCTAAGAGCTACCATATATTCTATGTTTGGTTCTCTTAATTTTTTCAGTTAGGGTTAACGAAATTATACACTCTTATAAGAGTACCACGAACCAATGGTAATTTTTCGTATTCTAATTTAACTGACAGGGGATCATTACAATTAAAACAATTTCTTGTTAATTTCACTTTAAAACGTTAAACAATTCCACAATCTCTTTGACATCGTACATATTGATATAAATCCATCACTTTCCACGACACCTCTCTCAATAATTTCGAAAAAAATAAATAATAAAATGTGCATGTGAAAATATATCTCATGAGCCATTACAGCATGTGAAAGTTGAAAAAATATTCCGAACAACGCGTTACGCATTTTATTAGCTGTCTCAACAGATAGGAACATAAGCTACTCGCTTTATTTTGAATTGACATCGTAAAATTCAACAAACTTTTCATAGTGAAGTTTTGACAGCAAAAGGGTACATGTGTGCCACAGGTAATACCGATCTTATCAATTCGAGACCAATTGTTTTGTCAATTTCTTGAAACGAATCAATTACATCGTTCGATTCTTATGTATATATATATATATATATTCTTATAAACCATATATATTTTTGTTTGCTTGATTTTTTTAACATTGTACATAACAAATACAACAAACAGTAATTATATCTAATCTGCAAACACAACATGGTAATGAAACCAGAAGTCGAGCAAGAATTAGCTCATACTTTGTTAACTGAATTACTAGCTTATCAATTCGCTTCTCCAGTCAGATGGATCGAAACCCAAGATGTATTCCTAAAGGATTTTAATACTGAAAGAGTTGTCGAAATTGGTCCTTCTCCTACTTTGGCTGGGATGGCTCAAAGAACTTTGAAAAATAAATACGAATCTTATGATGCTGCTTTGTCTTTGCAAAGACAAGTTCTATGTTACTCTAAGGACCCTAAGGAAATTTATTACACTGCTGATCCTGCCCCTGCAGAACCTGAAGCTGAAACAACCCCAGTTGAATCTGCTGCTGCCGCTCCAGTTGCTGCTGTCGCTGCTGCTCCAGTTCCGGTAGCTGCCGCCCCTGTTGCAGCTCCAGCTGGCCCAGCTGCCGATGTTCCAGATGCCCCAGTTACAGCTGGCTTAGTCTTACATACTTTAGTTGCCCATAAATTGAAGAAGACTCTAGATGCTATTCCATTATCTAAGACAATCAAGGACTTAGTCGGTGGTAAATCTACTGTTCAAAATGAAATTCTTGGTGATTTAGGTAAAGAATTCGGCAATACTCCAGAAAAACCAGAAGAAACTCCATTAGAAGAATTAGCTGAACTATTCCAAGATACTTTCTCAGGTTCTTTAGGTAAACAATCGTCCTCTTTGATCTCAAGATTAATGTCTTCAAAAATGCCAGGTGGGTTCACTATCACTATCGCTAGAAAATATCTACAGACTCGTTGGGGTCTTGGTGCCGGTAGACAAGATTCTGTCCTATTAGTCGCCTTATCAAATGAACCAGCTTCTCGTCTAGGTTCTGAAGCTGATGCTAAACAATTCCTTGATTCTAGTGCTCAAAAATACGCTTCCATTGCTGGTATTAATCTTGCTAGTGCTGCTGCAGGTGCTTCTGCTGGTGGTGCTGGTGGTGCTGGCGCCGGTGGTGCTACAATTGACGCCGCTGCCCTTGAAGAATTAACTAAGGATCATAAAGTTTTGGCTCGTCAACAATTGCAAGTCCTTGCTCGTTACTTAAAAATGGATCTAGATAACGGTGAAAGAAAGTTCCTCAAGGAGAAAGATACTGTCACTGAATTACAAAATCAATTAGATTTCATTACTCAAGAATTAGGTGAATTTTACGTTAATGGTTTAGCTACTGCTTTCTCTAGAAAGAAGGCTAGAACTTTCGATTCCTCTTGGAATTGGGCTAAACAATCATTACTTTCTTTATATTTCCAAATTATTCATGGTGTCCTAAAAAATGTTGATAGAGAAGTCGTCACCGAAGCCATCAATATTATGAACAGATCTAATGAAGCTCTAATTAAATTTATGGAATATCATGTCTCTAAGACTGATCCATCTAAGGGTGAAAACTACCAAATGTTAAAGACTTTAGGTGAACAATTGATTGATAATTGTAAGATGGTATTAGACATGGATCCAGTCTACAGAGATATCTCAAAACCAACTGGTCCAACTACTGAAATTGACAAGAATGGTAACATTCAATACAATGAAACTCCAAGAGAAAACATTAGAAAATTATCTCAATATATCCAAGAAATGGCCCTTGGTGGTACATTGACTAAAGAACATCAACCAACTATCGAAGATGATCTGGCCCGTGTTTACAAGGCTATCACCAAGCAGGCTTCCACTCATAAGGTCTCTGACTCTACCCAATTGGAATTCGAAAACCTTTACGGCAAATTGGTTAAATTCCTTGAAAACTCTCAAGAAATTGATGCTTCTCAAACTACTAAGTTGGCTGGTGTCATCGATGATGATTTAGATACAGACTCCACAAAGGAAGTTGCTTCTTTACCAAACCAATCTACTATCACTAAAACTGTATCTTCTACAATTCCAAGAGAAACTGTTCCTTTCTTACATCTGAAGAAAAAGCTATCTGACGGTTCATGGAAATATGATCGTCAATTGTCCGAATCCTTCTTGGATAGTTTGGAAAAGGCTGCCGTTAACGGTATTACGTTCAAGGATAAGTACATCTTGCTAACTGGTGCTGGTAAAGGTTCGATTGGTGGTGAAATTCTACAAGGTCTGTTACAAGGTGGTGCTAAGGTTGTTGTCACTACAAACACATTTATCAAACCAGTCTTAGATTTCTTCCAAGCTTTATACGCTAAATATGGTGCGAAAGGTTCAACTTTGATTGTGGTTCCTTTCAACCAAGCTTCAAAAACTGATTGTGAAAACCTGGTCGACTACATTTACGATGATCCAAAGAATGGTGGTTTAGGTTGGGATCTAGACGCTATCATTCCATTTGCTGCTATTCCAGAAAACGGTATTGAATTGGACAGTATCGACTCTAAATCCGAATTTGCACACAGAATCATGATGACTAATATCTTCAGAATTATGGGTTATGTCAAGAAACAAAAGGTTTCTAGAGGTATCGAAACTAGACCAGCCCAAGTCATTCTACCAATGTCTCCAAATCATGGTACTTTCGGTGGTGACGGTCTATACTCTGAATCCAAACTTTCCCTTGAAACTCTATTTAACAGATGGCATTCCGAATCATGGGCCGATCAATTAACCATTTGTGGTGCCATTATTGGTTGGACCAGAGGTACTGGTTTGATGAGTGGTAACAACATTATTGCCCAAGGTATTGAAAAAATGGGTGTCCGTACTTTCTCTCAAAAGGAGATGGCTTTCAATCTATTGGGTTTACTAAATCCTTCTGTTGTTCAACTATGTCAAAAGTCCCCAGTTATGGCCGATTTGAATGGTGGTTTACAATACGTTAAGAATTTGAAGGACTTCACTCGTAAATTGCGTAGTGAATTAACTGAAACCTCCGAAATTAGAAAGGCTGTCTCTATCGAAACTGCTCTAGAACACAAGGTGGTCAACGGTGAAAATGCCGATGCTGCTTATACTAAGGTGGAAGTTCAACCAAGAGCCAACATTAAACTTGACTTCCCAACTTTAAAACCGTACAAGGAAATCAAAGAATTCGCTTCCAAGGATCTAGAAGGTTTATTGGATCTTGAAAAGGTTATTGTTGTCACCGGTTTTGCTGAAGTTGGTCCATGGGGTTCATCCAGAACTAGATGGGAAATGGAAGCCAATGGTGAGTTCTCTCTAGAAGGTTGTATCGAAATGGCCTGGATGATGGGTTTGATTAAATACCATAATGGTAACTTGAAGGGTCGTCCATACACAGGTTGGGTAGACGGTAAGACCAACGAACCCGTTGATGACAAGGACGTCAAGGCTAAGTACGAATCTTACATTCTAGACCATGCTGGTATTAGATTAATTGAACCAGAATTATTCAACGGTTATAACCCAGAAAAGAAACATATGATCCAAGAAATCATTGTTGAAGAAGATATGGAACCTTTTGAAGCTTCCAAGGAAACCGCTGAACAATTCAAGCACGAACATGGTGAGAAGGTTGATATTTTCGAAATTCCAGAATCTGGTGAGTACTCCGTGAAATTGCTAAAGGGCGCAACTCTCTACATTCCAAAGGCTCTAAGATTTGATAGACTTGTTGCTGGTCAAATTCCAACCGGTTGGAACGCAAAGACATACGGTATCTCTGATGATACTATCGCTCAAGTTGATCCAATAACATTATTTGTTTTGGTTTCTGTTGTCGAAGCTTTCATTTCCTCAGGTATCAGTGATCCATATGAAATGTATAAATACGTTCATGTTTCTGAGGTTGGTAACTGTTCTGGTTCTGGTATGGGTGGTGTTTCAGCTCTACGTGGCATGTTTAAGGACCGTTACAAGGATGAACCAGTTCAAAATGATATTCTTCAAGAATCCTTTATCAACACTATGTCTGCATGGGTTAATATGTTACTAATCTCCTCATCTGGTCCAATTAAGACCGCTGTCGGTGCATGTGCCACCGCTGTCGAATCTGTGGATAATGGTGTTGAAGTTATATTATCCGGTAAGGCCAAGATTTGTATCGTTGGTGGTTATGATGATTTCCAAGAAGAAGGTTCATACGAATTCGGTAACATGAACGCTACTTCTAACACTTTTGAAGAATTCGAACATGGCCGTACTCCATCTGAAATGTCTAGACCTGCTACCTCCACACGTTCTGGTTTCATGGAAGCCCAAGGTTCTGGTATCCAAGTTATCATGAACGCAGACTTGGCCTTGAAAATGGGTGTTCCAATTTATGGTATTGTTGCCCTCTCTGCTACTGCCACTGATAAGATTGGTAGATCTGTTCCAGCTCCAGGTAAGGGTATCCTAACTACTGCTAGAGAATTCCACGGTAACTTCAAGTTCCCAACTCCAATGTTAGATATTAGTTACAGAAAGCGTCAACTTGTCAATCGTGAATCTCAAATTAAGCAATGGGTTGAAAATGAATTAGAATTATTGAAATATGAAGCCCAATCCATTCCTATCGCTGATCAAGAAGAATTCTTTGTCGAACGTACAAATGAAATTAACTTAGAAGCTAAGAAGCAACTTCAATCTGCCCAATCTCAATGGGGTAATGAATTCTGGAAAAATGATTCCCGTATTGCCCCATTAAGAGGTGCATTGGCTACATACGGTCTAACTATCGATGACCTAGACGTTGCCTCCTTCCACGGTACATCTACCATGGCCAACGATAAGAATGAATCATCCACGATCAACGATATGGTTAAGCATTTAGGTAGATCCGAAGGTAACCCAGTTATCGGTGTTTTCCAAAAGTTTTTAACTGGTCATCCAAAGGGTGCTGCTGGTGCCTGGATGCTGAATGGTGCATTGCAAATACTAAATACTGGTGTTATCCCAGGTAACCGTAATGCAGACAATGTTGATAAGGTCTTAGAAGACTTCGAATATGTTCTATATCCATCCAAATCTATGAAAACCGATGGTGTTAAGGCTGTTTCTGTTACATCTTTCGGTTTTGGTCAAAAGGGTGCTCAAGCTATCGTCATTCATCCAGATTATCTATATGCTATTATTGATGAAGCTAGATACGTTGACTATGCCAATAGAGTTTCCAGTAGAGAAAGAAGTGCCCGTAAATTTTTCCTAAATGGTATGATCAACAACAAATTGTTTGTCAGCAAGGAACATGCTCCATATAGTGATGAATTAGAGGCTCCAGTTTACTTAGATCCATTAGCTCGTGTTGCTCCTTGTAAGAAAGAAAATAACAATTTGATCTTTACCCAAAAGGCTATACAAAATGAGACATCTTACAACGGTAAGGGTTCCCATGAAACTGCCAAAGTTTTAAAAGAGCTAACTGCAGACGCTCTATCTGGTAAAAATTCAGGTACCTCTGTTGGTGTCGATTCTGAATTAATCAATAGCATCAACATTGAAAATGATACATTCATCGAACGTAACTTTACTGATAGTGAAATTGTCTATTGTAACCAACAACCAAACGTTAGAAGTTCTTTCGCTGGTACTTGGTCTGCAAAGGAAGCAGTTTTTAAATCTCTAGGTGTCGAATCTAAGGGTGCTGGTGCTTCTTTAAAGGATATCGAGATTACACGTGTCAACGGTAATGGTCCGGAGGTGTCTCTACATGGCGAAGCAAAGAAATCTGCCGATGCTGCTGGTATTACAGGGATTAAGGTTTCCATTTCCCATGATGATTTCCAATCTGTCGCAGTTGCAATCGCAAATAAGAAATAGTTTTATATATATGTATGTTGATATAAATTTTAATTGATTATGTTTTATTTTTTAAAAATTAGTTAGCAGTACATAAAATAATTAGTCTGTAAGCCATAGTACATTCCGATTGTTTTAATTCCTCCTCTCGTTTTTAATTTATTGATCATGTTGTCAAGAAATTGTGATTAATCAATAATGACCAGTAATTTTATAAAATTACGTATTTTATATATTACGTACAAAATGATATTCGTGGTCCATGACAAAATTTTGAGTTCGCATTTTTCAACTTTAGATGAAATATACTAACCTGAACGGTTTAGGACAGACATAAAATTATCTCAAAACGATCAATATGAATTTCAAACAGGGAAGAAGTGTATAAAAAAACAGCTAAAACAATTCTATTTTAGAATTTACGAAATATTCACTCCTGTTTGCATTTATTTGCTGCCTATCACAAGCATCCCAACCTAATTACTTGGAAAATGACGAAACGTGCACTATCGCTAGACGACCTTGTCAACCATGACGAAGCTGATAAAATTAAACTACAAAAGATGAGTGAAACCGTCAACACAACACCTAATAACTCAGTAGATACCTCTAATCCAGTACGGAAAACGTCAATTGGTATCGCAGATATTAACAATGCAGAAGATACAGATCCTATCACAGGTACCAGTGAGCCTACAAGACGAGATGAAAAATTCAACATGGGACAGAACCGTAACATATTAAATGATGAACCAGCTAATATAACAACACAACTAAATACTACCGAACCTGTACGAACAGATTCTGTGCCGTCAAATTCAAGTGCAGAAGTTTCAGAAGCTACAGAGAAACCTTCTATAACGCAGCATGACGATGAGACTGATACCGACGATGAAGTTGGAGGTACAGGGGAAATAAATTTTGATGCCGGAATGACATTTGATTATGATAAACAGGATAACAATTCTCCACAAAAGCCTCAACCTGTTCGTGCTCCTAAAATAAAGAAGCAGGATGACGTGGAAAAGAAGAAATCTGAAGATATTGAAAAGAAGCAACCAAAGTTAATTACAAATGAAGTAGTTAAAGAGGAAAAAGAGGAACCAAAAAAGAAAACCAAAAAACCTGTCAAAGAGAAAAAAGGGAAAGACCAACAAGATTCAGTATCAAATATATTCGAGGAGAAAAGTTCTAATGTGTCCAAAAGAAATAATATTAAAAAAGATTTGGAAGTATTGAATGAAATTTCTGCGGTGTCTAAACCTAACAAATATAAAAATGTTCCTACATGGGCTAAGAAGTGGAAGCCATCAATTAATGCATTACAAAGTATTGACGCGTCTGATTTTAAGATCGATTCATCTTTCTTAAATATTATTCCCGATGATGATTTGACAAAATCTGTTCAAGATTGGGTGTACGCTACCGTTTATTCTATCGAACCTGAACTGAGACAATTTATCGAGTTGGAAATGAAATTCGGTTTGATCGTGGAGGCTAAATCACCAGAGCGTGTTTCACCACCTATTGCATCTCAGGCTGTCTACACTGATTTGGATGCTCATTTAACACCAAACGTCGATGAAGTTCTATTCAAGGAATTGAACAAATATATTCGTGGTGTAAGTGAGATGAATGAAAATTCAGGAAAATTCAGTATTATTGAATCACAGACTAAAGATTCAGTATATAGAGTTGGCCTTTCAACGCAGAGACCAAGATTTCTGAGAATGAGTAGAGATATCCAAACAGGTCGTGTAGGTCAATTCATAGAAAAGAGACATGTTTCACAAATATTATTATTGTCACCGAAGGATAGTTACGATGTGAAAATATCTTTAAATCTCGAATTGCCTGTACCTGAGAATGAACCCCCAGAGAAATATCAAAATCAAACCCCAGTCAGTGAAAGAAGTAAAGATCGTGTAAGTTATATCCATAACGATTCCTGTACAAGAATTGATGTGACAACTGTTCAAAATCATAATCAAGGTGTGAAAGGTAGACATACCGAGACATCGCACGAAATTGAATTGGAAATAAATACACCTGCGCTTCTAAATGCGTTTGATAAAATCAATGATGATAGTAAAGAATATGCTTCCGTAATCAGGACATTCTTAAATAACGGTACAATCATCCGTAGAAAATTAACATCTCTATCTTACGATATTTTTGAGGGTAATAAAAAATAAGCTATGTTCGTAGAGGATATAGCCAATAATTGGTATCATACCAAAAAGAATAGTAGTGTACATGATGCTTAACTTTTTGTAATTATATAAGAAAAGAACATAATTTTGTTTGAAATTGATGTTTTATTATTTTATTTCATATTTTTAAGTTTTTGAGGGAAAATGTAAAATATGTAAAATTAAGTATTCTCAACCAGATTATGGTAATTAATGAAGCAATAAAAATAAATATGCTAAAATAAAGTCACATGCGCCTTCTAATTTTATGATAGGTACAATTAACTACATTTATAATCATTTTTATAGGAATATACAAATATTACAATATTTTATTAACATTCTTTGTTTGGGTTATAAATACCTAAAATATAAGCCATTCTAATTATAACTAGATCCTTTGCCATTTTTAAACTATCAATAGCCAAGTCCATCTTTGAACCACCTACCTCGTGCCATGAGACAGGAATTTCCTTAAATTTAATATTTTTAATTATACCCAATAACAATATTTCAATATCAAAAATCCAACCTTCAGTGTGTAAAAATGGGAAAATTTCATCAATGGCTTGTTTATTAAACATTTTGAAACCACATTGAGTATCATTGATAGAATGAATACCAAATACCCAAACTAGAGTATGGAAACCATACATTAGACAATTTCTAACAAATGATCTCTTAATGACAGCCTCTGTGTTAACCATATGTGCTCTAGAACCAATGGCCATAGCTGCGCACATTTCATCCCTGCTGGTAGTCTTCTCCAATTCTTTTATATTGTCTAGTAATAATTGTGCATCATTAAATTTACTAGCACCATCTGCATCAGCGAAGAGACCATATTTACCACGAATATGCAATAGACCCTGTCTCACTGCACCACCTTTACCTCTATTTTCAGTAAATTTAAGGACACGTAATTGATCTGCCTTTAAGTGGAATGTTTCATTAGATAATTTCAAACAATAATCTGAAGTTCCATCAGAAGAACCATCATCAACAATTAGTATTTCCCATTGGTCAGGTAAAGTCTTCTGCAGAAACTCAATTGCGTCTGTTAACATAGCCAGAATCCTTCCGGTTTCATTATAACTGGGGACAACCACCGAAAGTATAATATCATCTTCAGGAGATATAGGTAGATCACCTGTTATATGATTTCCATTTTCATCACATGTTGTATATTTTAATTCCTCAGGATACGCTTTTCTTGGTGAATGTGACAAAAGAATGACTATGATATAAACGGACAAAAACCCTGCTATGATCAGAGTTCCCAATATATACGACATATTTGAAGTATGAAGAAGAATGGCGGTTTCCTTGATTAGATGCAACATGGTTCTACCCTTTATTAGTAAAAAACCTCAAAATTTGTTAAAAGTTACAGTACTTTCTAATAGTAACTTAACTCAATTAATCAACTAATTGATAACCAAAGGATGTCAGACTCCTGTTAAATATATTATACAATGTACTGATCTAATAGTGGCACGTCTTCATAAGGGAATTAACTCAAATTCCGATTGTCTAATAGTTCTGTATATATATATATATATATATATATTTCCACGTAGCGTTAATATTATTATGGGGCCACCATGCTTTTTTTTTTCAATCATCACTTGACAGCTTTTCACGTTAATGACGCGTGGTACCACACCATTGTTATTGTTGTTGGCCAAAGGGAATAAGGAACAACAGTAGCATAATAAAATGTAGAGTTAATTCAATGGTGTTGTTCGTTTGCGTGGTCACAATTGAATGGTGAATGGGGAGTCATCATTTGTGGGGGTGTAACCATCATATAAGGGCGTACATGTAGAAAGTAAACTCAATGTTAAAACCATATTGTTCCAGGAAGAGGATACTAAATTGTATCATAAAAAAAAATAAACATTCTATTTATATGAAAATATCACTGATACATAATAATATATATGACTATTTGGCAACATTCTTTTCATTGGTATCAATATGCTTGTGCTGCTCTATAAACTCAAATTCTATTTTACCTACATTGCTGACATTCTTCTTAATAATTGTTCTTAAATAATCAGAGACGTTTTCCATCTCTTTGATTCCAAGTAAATTATCCCATTTTTGTATAGGTGCCTGTAAAATTGCATGAATACGAGTGTTTGGACCACTTGCAAGAACTGTTAATTCATTAATCTCATATGGCTTATCTGCATTATTATCAGAGACAAGTTTGTCTAATCCGTCTTTTATCACCGTTTCTATCTTAATATAACGTTCATCATCATGTGCAATGGATTGATCTATTAATTCTTTCAAAGATGATACCATACCTTCACCCCCTGCTTTTATGACTAAACCAGACACCACAAGACCACCAAGAGCATCTAACGAGCTAATACCGAAGAAATGACTTGATGTTATAGCAATCAATGCTACAAATGAAGTTAATGAGTCTACACGATGATGCCACGCATTTGCCATTAAAACATTAGAGTTTGTCCTTATGGCAATTTTTTTCGTGGCTTGGAAAATCCATTCCTTTAGGACAATTGAACCACCTGCAATCCAGGCAGCATTAATATTAGTGACACCTTCAGGTATGGCCGTATGCGAGTGTGAATGTGCTTGATGTGTACCTAAGAATGATGTTATTGTTTCAATGATAGTGTGTGGAACAATTGGGCCAACTACTGCACATAATGAAGTCCAACCAATGGAGACACCTGCCATTGTAAGGATAGTAGATACTGCTAAAGAACCTACAGTTTCAATTTTACCATATCCATATGGAAATTCATTTGTTGGTTTCTTTGCTGCCATATTGACTGATACTAATGTCAATATATCAGATATAAGATCACTTGCAGCATGTACGGAATCAGCTAGTAGTGCTTGTGAATGAAATACTATCCCACCGACAAACTTACCTAATGCAATACCAACATTAATCATAAGTCCTACCCATGTTATTCTCACTCCTGCATTTTTTCTGATCTCATGTAGACTTGCAACTAACAATTCATTAGGTTCTGAATGTGAATGTGTATGCTTATGAGTATGTTCAAGACCACCTGTAGAAATACCCGTATTATCAATTTTTCTATTTTTGGCACCTAAATGATAACTATCACTAGTCTCGGTTTCAGATTCTTGCAGATGTATATGCTCATGATTACTAGTATTAAAAATATCTGAAAACCCATTATCATGTAATTGTTGATTTGTTTTTGATGAAGTAGAAGTTGTTATATCAGATTTATTCTTTCCTTGATTCCAAATCGATGATCCATTATGAAATTTATTCACCAACGAAATTCGGATTACTCTACTAGTGGTAGTCAATCTAGATGACGTAACATGGAAAGATACATAATTTCTTGCTGTCACAGCTGGAATTCTTAGCATTGTTGTAATTCTTTTCTTTTTTCAAAAACCAATCTTAGAAACAAGGTAAATACTATGGGAGGGAGTGGATAACACTTATTTAACTTAATATTTGAAACTTAAACTCAATAATCGAATAGAGAGAACAAATGAATTAAAAAAATAGCCTCTCAAATTATTTTCTGTTATAGTATTGAAGAAGAATGCCTTTAAAGAACAGTATAACTATAGAACTCTCACCCGTTTTCAAATAAACCGAACAATCTTCTTTTATTTGTAAAATTTAACTTATTAAATAATATCCATCTATATATCTATTATGTATTGCATCGAGATGTCATATATTATCTTCGTTCGTTCATTGTAACGCTCTACTAAATTGATTGCACACTCTTTTACTCCCTTTCAATTTTCGCCGAGCAGTAACAATAACAACACCCTTTTTTGCAATGACACGAATTATTGAGTAATGAGCCGAATGACAAGGACAAGACTTAGAACTAAATAACAACAGCTTTTAATATATTTATGTCAAGTTTTGTGTGATCTCCCCCTTCAGGGATGTTAATTATAAAGATTTAACAAACGGTTATTAAATTAACGAATATAAAGAATATATCTGTATGTATGCATGTCTCCACTACATATGGTTCATGACTATGTAGTGCATACTCTGCTTGAAAAGTCAAAATACATAGATACAAATATTATAAGAGGAAGAATAAGGAAAAAACATGTAAATAATGTTGGATTCTAAAAAAAGAGTGACAATGGGTTTAAAAAAGTCCATTACCAATCGCCTTCATTGTCCATATTTCCCATGTTTTGTTGACGTCTACCGGAACTTCTTGTAGTTCTTTGTTGACGGTCACCACCATATTGATCATCATCTTCTTCATCGTTCATCGTGTTAGAGCCCATTCCCATTCCAGATGTTCTTTGACCACCACTGGTACCATAAGTACCACTCTCTAATTGGTTGGAACCAAACTGAGCTTCTTGGTTGGTGTTCCAATCTTGTTGTGACATATTATTCTTTCTACCTGTGTTTCCGTAACCTTCTTCTTGTTGAGAGGTGGTAAAGTCATTACCTCTCATACCACTTGGAACTTGAGAATCGTCAGCAGTGTTGAAACCTTGGTTTCTTTGTTGGTTACCTCTGTTTTGAGAAGATGGGTTGTTTTCCTCTTCCTCTTCCTTCTTGTGGTGACCTGGAAGTTTTTCTTGGACTTTGTTCAGTAGGTTTGACATTGTATTATTATGTATTTATTGATTTAATATATCGAATGTTTTTTTATTCAGTTATATGATATCTGTTAAATCGATAGTAGTCTTTTCAAAAGGGCATTAACTAACACAAATATATCAAATGAATTAGTATTAATGATTATTTTTAATTCAAATACACGGTACCTTTATATACAATTTCGAACAATAACAATTATTCTACTTTATCGACCCTTAACATTCTTCCCTTTAAACCTTTACTAAGATGTATATATCCCTTTTCATGTAATGAATTTACATTACTAGACGAAACAACAACCTGTGCTATCATGTACCCTTTAAGGGACCCAACCCGTAATTGTGGAAGTATCCATTATTATCCACATCAAGTTTATTTTTGGCACCTAGTTATATGAATTGTATTATTCTAGTTTTTTTATAATTGATAAATTATGCAATTATTCAAGATATTTAGCAAAAAGTTTCAAATGATTAATGCACTAGGAAGAACAGCCGCGCGATGGTTCTGCTAAATTAATGAGAAATAAAGGGAAGTAAACAAGAGGTGACGATTTTTATTAGTTTTTAATGACTTACCAAGTAAGGATATATGGGTGCGTACCCTTACTTCCACTACGTCATTTTATTCGTCATATGGAAATACTATAATAAAATATTTAATCTCAACTAGAGGGTTCAGTTGATGGTATAAAAGTGAAAGGTATTAAAATTGTTTATAATTATTGTGAATATCAATTGAGAGCAAAAGAAGGAGAAGAAGAAGCTATTTGAAGAAGAGATATTGCCAAGTGGTTATACACAAGATTAAAATAGTTATTTTCTTTTTGATTCTTTCTGGTTGAGAAAAAAAAAACAAGAATATATTAGGGGTACAAGTAAGAAAACAAAAAGAAAAAGCAATGCCTGAGCTTTCTTCTTTTAACATAATTAGCCGTATCAAAAGCTCTGGAAGGTCGCGATTCATCGAAAGATTAATTCCAGACGAATCCATAAAATCAATCTCCCAAGCACAAGAATTTTTATTGAAAAATTCTGCTCAGGATTCGCCACCACCAAAATTAGATGCCGTTCATACTGCTCGTATCACTTCTTTAGGGTCTCATTTTGCGTATAATGTTCCGGAAGAAAGACCTGAATACCAACCGTTATTAACCTCTACTACAGCTATTAGAGATCTGCAACTTTCTAAGGATAAAAATTTCTTTGATTTAGCATGTGGTAATAAAATATACTATGATGATAAAATTTTCCCGTATAGTATGTCGTATTCTGGATTTCAATTTGGACAATTTGCTGGCCAATTAGGTGATGGTAGAGTATTAAATTTATTTGATATTCCAGATAATAAGGGTCGATTCCAGACATTACAATTAAAAGGGAGTGGAAAAAGTCTCTTTTCTAGATTTGCAGATGGGAAAGCTGTCTTACGTTCAAGTATTAGAGAATTCATAGTAAGTGAATTCCTTCATAATATAGGGGTACCATCCACAAGAGTATTACAATTGACTTCATTACCTGGGACCAAAGCTCTAAGAAATGGATTAGAGCCTTGTGCCGTTTTATGTCGATTTGCACCAAGTTGGATACGTATTGGAAATTTTGATACATATAGATCAAAACCAGATACAGCAAGCCTTGTAAAATTGGCGAATTTTTGTATAGATGAAGTTTTCCAAAATGGTAAACCATTCGCAAAAAAGGAACACGATATCAATATTTTTAACATTGATCGATTCCCAGATGATGAAAAAAATGTTGAAAATCCAAAGAATGATGAATCATTAAATTTAGAGACTCCACTAAGTAAATATGATTTATTATTTAGACATATTGTTAATTTAAATGCAGTATGTGTTGCATATTGGCAAACCTATGGATTTGTAAACGGAGTATTAAATACTGATAATACTTCAATTATGGGAATCTCATTAGATTTTGGACCTTATGGATTTATGGATATTTTCGATCCAAGTTACACTTCCAATCATGATGATGTAAGTGGGATGTATTCACTAGGTAATCAACCAACGGCAATTTGGTGGAATTTAGCACAATTAGCCAAATCCATGGCATTATTAATTGGGTCAGGTAATAAAGAAATTATTGATATTAAACAATTAAATGAGGACCAAGAAAAATTATTAGTCAATAGAGCAAATAAATTAATTGGTTTATGTGCAAATGAATATAAATATCGATTTACTATTACATATGCAGATTTAATGGCGAAACGATTAGGAATTGAATTGAATATCAGAAATAGAAATATTTCTGATTCTACTGCAGTTTATGAAGATGATGAAACCGAAGGAAGCATACAAGAGAGAGCTGAACGTGCAAAACTATTTTGCGATACAATAGTGGAACCGTTATTAAATATACTTAAAACTACCAAAATTGATTATAATGCATTTTTTATCAATTTACAAAATTGTGAATTGAAAGGTATTCCAGATGAAATTAATATTGCTACGGATATACAAAAAGATGACAATAATTATATTAGTTGTTTTATTACTACTAAACAGAAGGATGAATATATTGAGAATCTTAAGAGGAATGGAGTAAATCATGGTGAGACCAGAAGAATGAACGAAATTTTTGAAGAAATTCAAGAATGGATAATTGAATATAAATTATGGTTAACTTCTGGTCCATTACCAATTGAAATTTCCAAAGATTACAATCCATTATTTATTCCTCATAATTGGGTACTAGAAGAAGTAATTAATGATATTACAGTCAAACAAAAAGATTTGCTAGAAAACAATGATAATGACAATAATATTAATAAATTGGATCTTTCATTATTAAAGAAATTATCTATAATGTGTACCAATCCATTCGATTCAAATCAATGGGAACCACAATTATGCACTGATGCTAGCAAGAGATGGCTTACATACACTGGCTATGAAAAGACTATTGGGCGACTCAACACTCAATCAACTTGTTCCAGTTAAGATATACCATATATATATATATTTATTAATAATATAAATATATGTTCTCTTAAAGTGAATTACCACAATAGGTAAAACATGTGCTTAATAAGATTTCCTTAAATATCTATGTTGCTCCATAGGGTCACCTTACCCAATACGGTAACACAAAATATTATGAAAAAAGATATAAAATTATTTTATTTTTCTACGCACTGAAAACAGTGAGAGAGAAGAATTACACTGTGCTTTGTCTTTGTTATGCGGGGCCGACTGTGCGTGGTTCCTGGACACTGCTATTACTCGTTTATTAAATAAGAAGCGTGACACATATAGACTATGGTAATTAATGATGAACAAAGATGAGGCAAGTTATATAGTAACAAAGCGATCAATATGTATACATATATATATATATTATGGCAAATGACAGTTTAATATTACTACTCAGCGTGTAATCCATAGAAAAAAGTGAAAAGACAGACTATTAGTAAGAACCAATAAATATAAGATGCGTTCACAATGTGGTAGTGACAGTACCCTTTCTCTCAATGAAACGAAACAAGAATTTTCTTAATACTTGGTAGAAGTCTTGCATACACAAGTTTAGTTATAGTATCATCATCATTTTCATTATCATCATCACCACTATTTACTTGGCAATATCTTACTTCACCCCCACATATAAACAATAACTCATAATCATGCATACAAAATATATTGATTTATAGGGTCAATTCTCTTATATAATTAGTTTAACAACAGTGGAAAAGATACGTACGTAGAACCGGGGACAATGGCTCCGTGCAGTTATCTCTTCGGCTTCGTGTTTCGCTCTGTGATAAAATATCTCAACAAACTTCTTCCGTAGGGACAGACATCGCAAATTGTAAAGAAATTGGAAAACGAATTGAATTTGCTACTTGTTCTGCCCCCTTTGAATGAATAAACTTTTCACAGCTTTGATCTGACCTTCCGCAAATAGTGAAACTGATAACGTTTTACTACAATGAATTTAATTACATGCAGATTGTCAATATATGTGTATTTTCTTTTATTGCACCGGTACCTTTAATCTATCTGTATATCTTCCACACACACGATTGTTAAACGTAAAAGCAATTACTCTGATTACATATTCATATATATATGAATAATTTTTATTAGCTAATTCTTCTGATTATGATGTAACCGTAACAATCTTATTTCTTTTTTGTTGCTGTTGTTGCTGTTGTTGTAATTACAGTAATATATTTTATTGACCACATATATATACATATAAATATACATATAGGTGCAACTATTTATTCTTTGTCAGTATAAAGAAATAAAAAAAAGAGTAGTGAATAAGCATATTTTTGTATTTTCCACATTATAGTTTTTATGCTATACATCTAACCATATATTTTATTTGAAGGATTAATTACAGGAAGTTATTCTAGTGCTTTGATATGAATAAAACAGCATCATTCATTTCAATATTCTCAATACACATATAAAGCACTCTGCATATTTGATTAAAAGATGCAACATATTAAAATATCCGAATTACCAGAATTTGAAGAAAATTTAGAACAATTTTATACATTAATTGATGAAACGCTCATACCCAAAATACACAGAAAGAAAGAGAAAAAACAAGCATTGTCAGATAGAATATTATCACGTATAATAGAAAAAGAAGAAATGAAAAATAAAAAGAGACAATCAAATAATTATGATAATGATAATGACAGTGATGGAAAGGCTCCTGGTGTACATTTACGTTTAAAGAGACAACTTATTGAATATTATTATAAAGGTAATCAAGTTGATAGTACTGATAGTGAATCTATGGGTTAATAATAGTCATCTTTCTAATGAAAAATGAAGAACAACAACAACATAGAGTACCGTAGTACTGATAATTAATTAATTAATAATGTAATTTCTCTTGCGGAATAAAAATGAAGAGAAGTAATAACTTCAATGAAACAACCATACCGATACCATCACTACAGACATGTAGAAAATTGGTCATAGTTTGAAGCCTAGTGACTCTCTGTTGCTGAATATATTAATTTTAATTAATATCTTCTGTGTTCTCTTAGTTATGAAATAAACTAAGAGAACGAATAAGATCTCCGAGCCGGTCCACCCAAGCATCGCTCTCTAATTATTTTATATTATTTATTTTTTTTGCCTTCTGGGAAAGGCGTAAAGGAAGGGAGAGGGATGACGATATATAAGACCTAAAAGGGATTTAAGACCCTTTTAACATAGTTTCGATATTCATATGAATACTACAAGTTTATATATACATATATCATAGAAGGTAGCACAGGTTGCTAGAATATATACTTCTAATACTGTTAACATATAAAATCATAAACATTTTGAAATACTTTTTTTAAACTTTAATTATAAGGGATCAACAAAAACAAAATGAGGATAGCGCAATTACCATGTATTGTACATTCAACTGTAATTTTACCAGGGTCTCAAGTTCAAATCCATCTAGAAAATTCTATTGCATCTGATTTATTAAAATTATTCAACAATAAAAAAGAATATGATCCAGAAATTAGTCGAATACTGAATAAACAGTACCCATTAACTAAAAATGATTCAACTATAACTCCATCCAATTATTTTTTTGGAATTATACCCCAGGATTTCACTGGTGATGTTGGTTGTCTATGTCGTGTAATTTCATTTAAAAAACTGCCAAATGATACAGAGACCACATTAATAATTAGATCATTAGTCAGAATTCAAATAGAGACACCTTTACTAAATACTGGTAATATCATATGGAAATCTAACGTAACAGTATCAAATATTGTCGATACATTAAGCGTCACTTCCACAGATCAAATAAAACCTATTGTTCTCGATGTTTTGAAATTAACGGAATCATTAGAGACTACAGTCAATGAATTTATTGCCACTTATAAGAGAGCCCTCAAGAGAAATACAAATGAACACTTTTTATTATTATCACCTTTATCCAATACATTATTTTTCCAATTAAATAATTCTCAATTGAAGAAAAATTGGACGAAAATTATACAATTACGTAAGGAGATAACAAATGATATCTTGACTACTGATAACTTGAGTAACATATCTGATTTACAACTTAATAAATTGTTATCACTTTTAGATAATGTTGTCGCAATGATTGCAACTCCACATATGGAAAAATTACATTTTTTAAATGCATTACAATTCCAAGACAGAATAATATCATTTAGCAATGTTGTTAATGGTTTCATTAATATTTTTACAGAATTATATTCAACAACAGATTACATTAAGAGATATTATTCTAATGCAACGATTATTGAAAAAGCAAACTTAATTGCAAATCAATTAAGATCTTTAAAATATTTTGTTAATGACGTAAAGGGGAAACCTTATATAGCAGAAGGCTCATCTTCCCCAAAAAGAATTGTATATATGGGTAATACAACAAACACAAATAACAAGGAGTACATTGATGATGACGCTGTTGATGACGATGTAGGAGAAGACGATTTGAAACATATCAGAAACTTCATTAAGAATGTGAAAGGATTAGATATCCATGTTGATGCATTGAGTATGTTAACTAAAGATTATCGTCGTTTGAAAAAAATGCATGGTTATCAACATAATGCTGAATATCAATTATTACGCAATTATTTTGATGTTATAATTGATATTCCATTTGGCAAATATTCTGGCCAGGATATGACAATAGATGTTGTCAAGAGTCGAAAAATTTTAAATGATGATCATTTTGGTTTGATTTCAGTTAAACAAAGACTTCTAGAATATTTATCAGTTTTAAAATTAAACCAAATGTTAAACGTGAAATCAAATGATAGTAATGAAAATGTTTCTGTGAGTAGGCCGCCGATCTTATTATTAGTGGGTCCTCCAGGTGTTGGTAAGACATCAATTGCTAAGTCAATAGCCAAAGTATTGAGTCGTAAATATCAAAGAATTTCACTTGGAGGGATCTATAATGAGTCTGATCTAAGAGGCCATCGTCGTACCTATGTAGGTGCCATGTGTGGGTCAATCATTGACGCAATTAGAAAAAGTGGTACCATGAATCCATTAATTTTACTAGATGAATTAGATAAAGTTAGTACCATGGATGGTAAGAAAACTTCTAGATCTAATGGTGATCCTGAAGGTGCACTATTAGAAATTTTGGATTTCGAACAAAACTTTTCATTTATGGATCATTATGTTGGATTTCCAGTCGATATATCACAGGTATTATTCTTGTGTACTGCAAATGATGCATCTACAATTTCTAGTCCATTATTAGATAGATTAGAAATTATTAAAATCCCCGGTTATACTACTGAAGAAAAGATTCAAATTGGTTCTAAATTCTTATTACCTAAACAAATCAAAATGAATGGATTTAATAGAATTCCAAACGGTGACTTTAAATTGACAACAGAAGCATGGACAGCTTTGGTTACAGGTTACACTCGAGAAGCTGGTGTTCGAAATTTAGAGAGGAAGTTAGCTTCTATTGTTAGAGGAAAAATTGTTGAATATATAAAGGATACAGAAACCAATGAAACTTCCCAAAACTCATTAATTACTACAATAAGGGTACAAAGCCAAGACTTGTACAAGTATTTAGGGTTTCCATTACCATCCATTAATGATGAATTATTGATTGATGTTAAATATGAATCTAAAGTAGGTCTTGTGAATGGTTTGTCATATAATTCTAATGGTACTGGAGGTGTCTTAATGTTTGAAATTGTGAAAATAGGAAAATTTCAAAATGAAAACATTAATAACAAAACAATAATAGATGAACCAATAATTAAATGTACTGGCAATTTAGGGGAAACCCTTGAAGAATCAATTAAGATTGCTACAAGTTTAGTAGAATCTATAATTAAAAGAAATATTATTGATGGTATCAATGAAGCAATGATTCATCAATTTTTATCAAGTAAGTATCACATACATGCTCCAATGGGTGGTGTACCAAAGGATGGACCAAGTGCAGGTATGGCTATAACCTTAGCATTATTATCAATATTATTACAAATACCTATTGATCGTGATATATGTATGACTGGTGAAATTACATTAAGAGGTAAAATTCTTCCAATTGGTGGTCTAAAAGAAAAAATGCTAGGTGCCAAGATGAATGGTATGAAACATATCCTTGTTCCAATTGGTAATCGTAATGATGTAATTAGCATAATTACAGATGATAATTTTAATGAATTTAATGATAAAAATTTTATGGCTATTAAAAGTAGTAAAGATAGACAACAAATAATGCAATTTAGACAAAAAGAAGATGCAAAATTATTATATGACAAGGTGGGGCTGAAACTGACGTATGTTAATGACATATACGATGCTATGCTAGCAATTTGGCCAAGATTAATGTTTAAAGAACCTGAGGACACCACAAAGTACGTGGAATCGTGTAATTCAAATACAATTACAAGCAAAATGTGAAGAGAAATAAGGACACATCTAATAAGAGAAGACTATATAACATTTTTCCCTAAGATTTTTCCCTTTTCTTTTGTAGATATATAACAATCAGCAACAAACACACGAGTTCGTTAATTACTTATGTTTAATGACACCTAGTGGGACAAAAATACATATATTTTCGCCTTATATATATTGGTCTATATTCTCTGTTTTTTGCCTAATTCAGTTATGATACGTGAAAAGAACAAAAAAAGACGCGAAAAATTGCAATGCAACCAGCCACCAAATATTATTTTACGTTATTCACAGCGCAGATCCCGTTCCTCGTTCTCTTGCGGCAAAAAGTGCTGAGAGAAACACACAAATGGAATATGCACTCTTCTTCTTTGTTTTTCTTGCCAAAATCTGTTCCTCGTGGGTGGGGCGCAGTTAATTTGTAACTGATCCGTCTCTCTATCAAAATAGGTACAATAATGCAGTGGGAAAGAGTGACGCGTTATTTTTTCTTTTGCTTTTGCTTCTGATCATTGTAGATACGTAGAGGGATGGAGCGGGAAGTCTTTCTCTGTGCTTTTCTGTTCTACTTTACAATGGGGGAAAACGGTAATTATATTAAACTGGAAATTGAAGGTATATTCTTCTTTGGATTCAATATATTAATTGGGATATCACGTTAAGCTAAGTCTATAATCTATTCAATGAATCAAAGTAGAGGGAGCGGTGTGTTCTTTGTTTAATTGGAAACCCGCCACTTCTTAAATCATTGAATGATATACCTATCTAGGATAAGGAGACAGTAAGTTACTAATAATAAATTAACTACAAAGAAAATGTTATTTATTAAGAAGAGAATAGCTGTTTGATTTCTCCCCTCATTATTCGATCTTGTTATAGCAATCGTATAACGATATATAGATTTATTTGACATACGTATATTCATGTCTGAAAAGGATGGAGTTTATGTCTTGCGTTCTTCCTATTTTATTATTCCAAACTCATTTACACATATTCTTCTGCGGTTAATGTTTGTGTACCCGTCGTGATGAGATTCAATTAAAGTTAAAAAAAAAGGCTCTCTTTCCGCAAGATGATTTGATCCGTTAATAATATATATATATCAGATGTATATGTATAAAATATTATTTAGTTTTTAAAATGGAGAAGTTATACTACTTTTCTAAGTCTTCCCTTTTTCTGCTATATATTTCCCCATTCATTGTTTGTTTTAATTGTAATACAGTTTTACTTATTCCTTTCTTTTTATTATTAATAATCTTGAATTACATTTTATAAGAAACAATACTACGCATTGAGGAAATATATCTTTAAAAAAAACAAGTAATATAAAACACTTAAAGGTTTACTTATTAACTATATTCATTCACTTCTAACAATCTGTTATTTAAATTAGAGTCATACCAATTTATACAGTGTGCTATATATTAAGAAAAGGGAAAAAGAAAGAGTTATTTTACTACTTATAGAATTTAAGTCTTCTTCATTTCACTCGTTTTTTAACACGAAAATTTTTACCTTCCGCTTTGTAAATCGAATTTTCGGAGCCAAGAGAATTAATAAAATTGAATAATTAAAAAATATAAAATACAAATTATTTTATATTTTAATTAGTATTTCGACAAAGGTATTCTGTTTTTGAAAAGGGGAAAAAGTATATTAACAAGTTAGTTTTGCTAATACATTCGCTATCATTTTTTCTTTCTTTACAAATTTATCATTGGATATACTTATAAACAATAATATTATATCGAAATAAATACCAAAGTAATAATGAACCCATTTCAGATAATATGGTATTTATTACCGTTTATACTGTTCTCTACAACTGAAGCAAAGAGAAATTTAAAAGCTACATCTTTAGTTACGTGTATGAAGGGATCTCAGGTGTCTTCTAATAGTTTTGATGTTGTATTTGAACCTGATGACAGATCTTTACATTATACATTAGATTTACAAACAGAAATTGATTCTTATATTTTGGCTTACATTGATGTTTATGCTTATGGATTTAAAATTATTACTAAAAACTTTGACGTTTGTTCTGAAAATTGGAAACAATTTTGTCCAGTCCATCCAGGTAATATTGAAATCGATTCTATAGAATATATTTCTGAAGATTATGTTAATGAAATTCCAAATATTGCATATTCTGTACCTGATATTGATGCGTACGTTAGAGTTAATGTCTATGATAGAAATTTAACCTCTCACTTAGCATGTATTGAAATTTTCTTCTCAAATGGTAAAACTGTATCTCAAACGGGTGTTAAATGGGCTAGTGCAGTAATTGCTGGTATCGGTTTATTGTTATCTGCTGTTTTATCCGCTTTTGGTAATTCTACTGCAGCATCGCATATTTCTGCTAATACAATGTCATTATTTTTATATTTTCAATCTGTCGCAGTTATTGGTATGCAGCATGTTCATAGTGTTCCTCCTATTGCAGCTGCTTGGTGTGAAAATATGGCATGGTCTATGGGACTTATTTATATTCATTTCATGCAAAAAATCTTCCGTTGGTATGTCGAAGCTACAGGTGGTACACCCGCTTTATATTTAACTTCTACATCTCAATCTGTTTTAACTCAAAGAAGTTGGGATTATTTGAAAAATATTCAATTATTTAAACGTGCAGAAAATGTTTTATATGGTAATGTTAACACTTTAATCTTTAGAGGTATTAAAAGACTTGGTTATAGCATGGGTATTGAAAACACATCTATTGTCTGTACAGGTTTCACATTTTTCGTCTTATGTGGTTATGTCTTAGCTGGTTTCATTATGGTTTGTAAATATAGTATTTATTTGGCTCAAAGAGCTGGATGGGTTAAACCACAAAAATTTAGAGAATTCAACCAAAATTGGAGAGTTATTTTAAAGGGTTCTTTATTAAGATATATCTATATTGGTTTTACTCAATTAACTATTCTAGGGTTTTGGGAATTTACTGAAAGAGATTCTGCTGCAGTTATTGTCATTTCATGTTTATTCATTGTTTTATCTGTTGGTCTTATGGTATGGGCTGGTTACAGGACTTGTTACTTTGGGAAAAAATCTATTGAAACTTATAATAATCCTGCTGCACTTCTATATGGTGATGAACGTGTCCTTAATAAATATGGGTTCTTTTACACCATGTTCAATGCCACTCATTATTGGTGGAATGTCGTCCTAGTCAGTTATATTTTTATTAAGTCTCTATTTATTGGGTTTGCACAGGCATCTGGTAAGACACAAGCTTTAGCTATCTTTATCTTAGATTTAGCATATTTCATTGCTGTTATTCGTTATAAACCATATTTGGATCGTTTAACCAACTTTTTAAATATTTTTATCTGCACAATAACAGTTGTAAATTCTTTCTTATTCATGTTTTTCTCTGATTTATTTGGCCAACCATACGCTGTATCTGCTATCATGGGTTGGGTATTTTTCATTATGAATGCTGCTTTCTCCTTTATCTTATTAATGTTAATCTTAGTATACACTGGTATGATTTTGTTTTCAAAGAATCCAGATATTAGATTTAAACCAGCTCGTGATGATAGAACTTCTTTCCAAAGACATGACATCAAAGGTGATGATGTTAAAGTATCTATAAATGATGATTTAATGGCTTTAGGTAATATCGCTAAGGACCATGCAGAAAACTGGGAATATGATATGCAACATAATCCAAATGAAAATATTTTCTTAGGTTCTGATGAAGAAAATGAATATTCTACAAGTTCTGATTTAAATAGAAATATTGGAAGAAAACCAACTTTAACTCAAAAAATATTTGGTAAATTTGGTAGAAAACAAAGAAACGATATGGATGAAAAAGATGGAGTAAATAACTCTTACTTAAAGGAAGATGGTGATAATGGTACTTATGATTACACAACTTCTTCAACATCTAAATCTACTTCTCCAACAAAGAAATATCCTGGATTAGAACATCAAAGAGAAAATTCAGAGACAGGAAATGGTTTAATAGGCTCTTACGAATCTGAAGCTCTTAACTTCAATAAACCAAGTACAGTAGATTTACAATCGACAAGTGGTGGTATTTCATCAACTGGATTCTCCGAGCGTGATTTTAGTATGAACAGTCTTCAACAAGAGCAACGTAAGACAGATGTCTTACATGATGATTTCTTATGAAGCACAAGATTGTTCCTTTATTTTTATCTTCAATCACCACTTTTAACATTGCATTTCTGAATTTTATTCATTCTCTTTTCTTTGCCACATTTCGAAAACTTTCTTTTATTTTATACAAACATAGCTTTTGATTCTTGTAAAGATTATGTAACTACTACCAATTACTTAGCATATATTTTTAATAAAGACACTCATTATAATATTGAACACAAAAGAATGCCATTGTTATATCAGTTGTATTCTAATAATAATTTCGACACGTGTAGTATTGATAATAAAAGACATTCCATATATATTCCTTTTTTTCTTATTTCATTTTTTTTTACACTGTACAATAAATACTCATGAAAAGTGCATTGAAAAAGAGTAATAAAAGCAAAATCTAAATAAAAAAGATGTAATTCATGAAATTCCAGATACAGCTCTACTTTATCAATTCAAAAAAAATGCATCTAATGGAATTAGAGCACATCTGGGAAAACCATGAGTGATTGCCACGGAAAAATCTGGTATTTTCCCAGTTATTAAGTTAAATACAAGAATGTTGCCCATCAAAGAGATATGGCTATTTTATTTAAAAAAAGTTGTTGTGGTAAGTTAATTATTTGTAATTCGATTCTATAATGTATAGATAACTAATTGAACGTGATATATTAAAGATGGTTATAACGTGATAGATCTAGTATGCTATACTATACTACTTGATAATGTCACAAAATTACCGTGCTTCCGTTAACATTGATGATATTATGTTCTGTAATTAAACTTCCCATCTCTTACTCTCCTCTTCTTATTGAATATCTGAAATATATTTAATTAATCGAGAACATCTTAACTTCTCATGTATACCAACCATATCTATAGAATATCGATGCCCATCGGCATCGACAAATATCATATTGTGAGTCGGTGATATTTTCCTCTTTGCGTACAACACCTGAAAGTGGGATTATCACATAACACGAGGTATCGTTAGAAACTCCACGTGACAAGATTATAAAAAAAGGAAATTGTGATATAACGAACCCTATAGCTTATGGTTCTCAGATGCGGGTAATCTTCAAATGAAGATCACTTTTATATTACTCTATAGATCACGGTATTCTAATATTGTTACAACGCTTTATATGTTGTTGATATAATATGTTGTTTATATAAACTTAATCTTATCTTTTTCTATATCTATATTCCTCTAACCTAGAGATTAACAACGGTAACTTCAAATATATACTGTTATAGTGTAATAAAATTGTGAAAAAATATCACCCAGCAGGAAGATAGATGACAGAACCACAGGGATTCTCATCTACTTTCCTACAGGGTAACCTTCTATCACAATACTCCAACCTACAAAAAAGTAAAGTTAGCACTCACACTGGGGGTCGAACCCAGAATCTTCTGATTAGAAGTCAGACGCGTTGCCATTACGCCATGCGAGCTAAATTTACGAAACGTTAAGGAAGATAGTTGTCTATACCAGTTGACAATATATTTAATAAGAGTGATTTTATAGCTATATAACGTTCGCTATTTGTTAATTAATAGAGATAAAACTTCTTAATCTATATATAATCAATACCAAGCCTTCCTGAACAGTATATGATAACTGTTGGTGTTTAAATAGTATGAACTGGTCCATTGTTAGTGAATTATGATCCTTCGTCAAACGTCGTCCATGAACTACTTCGATGGAGACCTCGTGATTCTGTTGCGTTGCGTCACTGTCGAGCGATACCGTGCGACACATGGGTGTATGGGTGCTCCACAACAATACATTGTGGAAGGTCCTATGGGCAGTACTAAGCGAAATCGCTTGGCAATGACACTTTCAGCCATTCCACCACAACAGGAGCTTTTATGCATTAATGTACATGTAGGGTGTGTATTAGTCGTTCATTGGATTAGTTGAGCTGTAATGATTACCGAAGAGATCATCTTGACTTCATGAAGGTCGTATAGTAATAGAATGTCAGGCCTTTCTGATCCTAGAATGCGCCAGGCCTTCTGGCGTTAGCTTCCGGAACATTACTCGCTGGGAGGTCTTTAGTCGATGACTAGTAACAATGTAAATCGATCATTCTTTGCTTCGTGACTTCAAAGAGCATAAAACAGATTCTAGATACCTTTGAGGCACAATTTCCCGGTCACGTCATGTCTTCACTTTTACTCATGCATTAACGATGACTGAACTCATTAGCCAGGACAACCAACCAGATAACCAGATAATTAGAATTCAGGCCGTTGGATGTGACAAGAGTGCCAGCGGTATACAATTGTCTATCTTACATTTTTGTAACGAGGTATGGTTTATGTCCGCGTAAATTTTTGTAACGAGGTAGGGTTTATGTCCGCATAAATATTTATTAGTTGTGTGGCAGATTACCTTAAATCGTATTATGGATATCTAATAACACATGTTTAGGTTTATGTTAGCTCTTGAACCAGTTAAGGGATTACAAGGGGTGTATTAAGTATATTGCGTGTATTGGAAGATTTGTAGTTCACTGATGGTGATGCTATATTCTTCAACGGCTTAATGTATACTTGAAACAGAATGATCGATTGCGATTATCTTGCTTTAACTTGACTGGTTTCTTTCAACTGAAAGATGAACATTAACATTTGGAGATAGGAGAGTCCCTTTTATAGGAGTGCTCTCTATCCCAGCTGACATGTGTGTGACGTCCATTTGGGTATGTCCCTCGTTGCTCAGGATCGGCCTGCTGTCGTGTCCCAAACAACTCATCAACCAATGTCAGGAGAGGGCTCTGATTAGTTGGATCTATATGACGTGTCGAGAGAACTTCGTTCTACGACTCTTTCTGAGTGTGATGCTCGTTGGGCTGTCTTTATAGCTAAAGATGCCACTGTCATGGAATAAAGTGTCAGTAATGCCTAATGCGGTTTACTGATCTTATTCACGTGATAGTTCTATTGCAAGATGCTATCAGTAATGCATAAGATGCTAACGAAGGTTGGTTTATACCTTAGTTGTCATTTTTGAGCAAGCTAAAGGGTTAACCTTGTTACATTTTTTTGTATTGGTTGGTCAATATAGAATGCTTAATAGTGGTTATTATTATGTATATTAACTACAACAACATGGTAGCCGTTCTGTTCGTTAATAAGTAATTGTATTAATAGTAAGTACTATGTTAATTATCTATATTTCTGTATATTTTTTATTATTTATGTTTCAAGATATATTATACAGTTGTATGTTACATGTGTTATGTTTGGCTTAAGTTCGTCTTATATTTGATGTTCTCGCGTCGACCTTTGTCGATTTCCGTACAAGATGATAATTATTATAATCGAGTGGCTGAACCTTAAAGTCCCAATTAATACATTGTTGTATTGTTTGACCAGTAATGAAAGAAATGATTATTAATGATGTATGAACAACTGGGGAAATATGGAGATTCTCTTGTTCATTATCACTTGATAAGTTATTAGTAATATGTCTATATTATGATTATTGAGCTGAAGCGGACATATTGATGGTACATTCGGTTTGGTTTTAAATATTAAATGAGTATTGTTTAGTAATGATGATTATTTCGGCGATAGTAAGTTGTAAAGCAAATGTAGGAGTCACTGTTGTTCTAAATTTGGAAGTGGTTTTTAATTTCTTATTTAATATACAGAGCGAATGAATTCTACCTCAAATTGTGTGTTCTGATTGATTCGCATTTATATAATTTAATTTCTTTCAATTACTTTCTCGTTTATTAGGTAATCCTCCTTGTGTAATGATTCATTAGTAATATGCATCTACTTTTGCATTAGTAATGTGTTTACGTAATATCCTATTACGTATTTTTCTCGTGATTTTTCCATGTTATTGCTAAAACATTTTAGATTTACTCATATCATATTATTTCCGTCACTCATAGATCCTACTAGTTGGAGAACATTTACAATCATATACACATCAATTATTAGTACTTTCATTACAATTTTTCAAGATATATATTCTCATAAAACTATATAAATTTCATTGGACATGATTCTGAACTTTAAATATGTTTTGCCGCCTTGCTCCCAAACTGAAATAAGGACAAGTCTGTTTGTATAATGTTACTAATAAATACCTATATTAGATATAATACCATTGAGGAGAAAAAAAAATCGTTCTGTCGTGGTCCTAGCAGTTTAAACATATTAGAACCAGTTAAAACAGTATGCGTCCTTCATAAACCTCACGTATCTTTAATGCTATTCATGTTTTCAACTTCTTCTTTCCGTTCTCTTTTACAAATGCTCCTGTCATGAGTTTGAGTATAACCTGGTAAGTATTATGCGAGAGTACTAAAGTTACTAAAATAGTTATTCCCTGTATGAAAGTAAATACCATAGCTATTATGAGCATCCTCTGTCCATACCCAAGAACTATTTCTTCTCGATGTATGTACGGGGATTAACTCTGAGTTAAAACGGCATCCACAGTCTAAGACCATGCACCTGTTTCTACTTCTTAAATATTCTTCTCTAAGGTGCATATACTCTTCGTCCTCGACGTCAATATTTTGCAAACATTGTATTTTAGAAGATATGACCATCGACAATGTTGAACACCAACGGTCTACGAAGATAGGCATAAATCCTCTGCGGACAGTACAACTGGGGATCATTTTTGCTTATCGAATAGTGCGGTGATATTTGCATCAACATTTTTTATGTTATCACCAGAACAATTGATGATTAGTATTGGAAAATATTCCAATGACTCCAGAATGGCATATAGTCGAGCAGGATTAGGCTTCCTTAACTGTAATACATTCTGTAGAAAACTTTTATAATTCTCTGGTTTTCTAGGTCACCATGGCAACCCAGATAATCTCCTTACATCTCCCTTTATAGGGAGGTAAGGATAAGCGAACACTCTTCTTGGTGTCCACAATCAACAGCATGAACTCAAAAATGGCATGTAGAAAGATTATAATGGGATAGGTACTGACTATATAACTGGTGAAACCTAATTATCATGCTCAAACAGCAAATATTCTTTAAACTCTATTGGTTTTCCATCTGAGATAAATTCTGTATATTCTGTTATAAAATGGGAAACACAACTGTTAAACTGTTTTTTCGGAACTGGACTAATCAATGGTTTTCACTTGAAATTAGTTCCTTTTAAAATGCTGCTGTTGTGTTTTTTGGATTGTGTTCATCTCCTATGAATCTGAAAAGACTGAGCTAGAGTTTGGAATAGCAACAGTCAAACGTTGCATATTCTTTGTCCTAAACACGGTGTTTACTTATTGATGATCATAGATTGCAGTCAAACACTGATAAATGCGCACTCCTGGAATAAAAGAAAATACTTATAGATCATTAAATACCCTGTAAAACAAAACAAAAAATAAGATACTTGCTTATTTGAAAATAAGAAATGATGAAAATTTTGACATGCGAAGATGCGGAGTTCCAAATACGCGATGACGTCATTCGCTGAACAAAATGTAGATTTGGTAGTCAAAATAACACAAATATTCAGGAGAGATAGGATTAACTTTTTATAGTGTAGTTGTAAAACACTTGTCGGAAATTAATAGTATATATGCCACTATATTTGCAATATATGTGGTCTCATAATTGCTCTGATTTAAATCATAACGTCAGGATTGATGTCCCTTAGGCTGGTAGAACTCCTAGACTTTTAACTAGGATGGTGTCTATTAAACTTTACAAGTTTGGATAGACTAACTGATTTTGAATATGAAGATATTTTAGTAGGACTGCAGAATCGTAGTAAGAAAATTCATGTATAGAATGTAGGGGAGATATTTCCATCTCCTTAGATTCATTTGATTTTTCTCTCTTATTATGTAGTTATTGGACATACTTAAATATGATAGCGGTTTGACTATTTAAATCAATTGTCAGGAATAATAAATAAATTTCTGTAACCGCCATAATCAAGTAATCTGTTTTTTTAACACGGTTGAAATTTGATGTACTTGAAGACTATTGTATCACAAGTACAATTGTTTTATAATGCCGAGCAAGAATCCCGTTGGAAACACCTTTGTTGAAGTCCGAAAATATTATATAACAGCCCAATTTTTAAATTCTAGTCTATTGGTTAGATGTAGATGTTTAGTTAACCATAACACTAACAACTATACGCCCGAGAACGACTTTATTACTGATAGAGTTGTCAATCAGTAATATAAAATATTTCGTCAAAACTGAGAGCAGTATTTAATCAAAAAACTATAAATACACAAGCCATTTATAAATTGCCTAAATACTGTCCTGCTATAGCTGTATTTGGATATCCCAGTGGTACTAGTACATGTTCATTGAATTTTTAAGCTCAAAAACTAATATTTTATGTGACTACTTTCTGTGAACATCCGGACATCCTAGTGATATAATCGTCCAAAAAAACTGAAAAACGTTTCTAAAAGTTTTTGAATTTTTTGATTTTTCTATTCTGAAACAAAATTTTCGGAAAGCCATCGCGAAAACTCTGCGCTCGCTTTTTCTTTCTTTAACAATTTCGAAATTTTTGAAAATAATTCAATGTCATTCCAACAGAACCCAACATCCTGAGAAAGTTATATATTCTATAAGAAGACCTCATCACTCGTTTTTTATTATTTACTATATGGTACACGTTTAATTCTTAATTATATTTTTGTATATTTTTTTTAAAAGTCATTGTACAAGTCGAAAGCCTCAAGGACCACCAAATACTTTGGAAGACAAATACAAACTTAAACAATAATGTCTAAGATCTCTACCTCTCAAGTCAGAGAGCACGTCAAGGAAATCTTGAAGTACTCTACTGAAACCAAGAAGAGAAACTTCTTGGAAACCATTGAACTTCAAATCGGTCTAAAGAACTACGATCCTCAAAGAGACAAGCGTTTCTCTGGTTCTCTAAGACTACCAATCTGTCCAAGACCAAACATGTCCGTCTGTATCTTTGGTGATGCTTTCGATGTTGACAGAGCTAAGTCTTGTGGTGTTGATGCCATGTCTGTTGATGACTTGAAGAAGCTAAACAAGAACAAGAAGTTGATCAAGAAGCTATCCAAGAAGTACAACGCTTTCGTTGCTTCCGAAGTTTTGATCAAGCAAGTTCCAAGACTTCTAGGTCCTCAACTATCCAAGGCTGGTAAGTTCCCAACCCCAGTTTCTCACAACGATGATCTTTACCAAAAGGTCACTGATGTTAGATCCACCATTAAGTTCCAATTGAAGAAGGTTCTATGTCTAGCTGTTGCTGTCGGTAACGTCGAGATGGAAGAAGACGCTCTAGTCAACCAAATCTTGATGTCCGTTAACTTCTTGGTTTCTCTACTAAAGAAGAACTGGCAAAATGTTGGTTCCCTAGTCATCAAGTCTACTATGGGTCCAGCTATCAGATTATACTAAGCGATTTAAACTTATGTTTGCTAATACATATCTTATTTTTATAAATACTATATAATTTAATCATATTTTATTCTCTTTTGGTATAGCTCAATATTGACTTTTTGAAATAATTTCTATCAACATGATTGAAAAGAGGGATGACAACCATATTTGGGGGGACTGTGACAGTTACCAGGGGTTGATTAAATCATCATTTTCCATTACTGATATGGAGCGCGGAGGAGAAGTACAATATATATTTACATAGTTGATGCTCCTAGTTTGGGTTGATATAAAGTTCGGCTAAGAATAATGCGTAGTAAAGTCTTTATAAAAAAGAAAAAAGAAAGGGCTACTTAATTATACAGAAGGTTAAAAGAAAATAAGGAATTAACAGCCCTGGGAAATAACTAAATTAGTCTGAAGTATGCTTAACTTTATGTTATTCGATAGAATTAAGGAAAAGACGAATACCCTTGTTGACAATATTAAAGGTTAATAAAAACAACTATTCCATCCTTTTCGTACTTTTAAAGTCTTATTACTTTATTTTTATTCTTCATAAACATATTAGAGATTGATACCACCGTTTCATAAGAGTAGCATCTAAACATCTTAATAACGAAGGCAGAAAGAGATTTACAAATATACTACAACCCAGGAAAAGGTTAGGAAAACGTGAATAGTTTCAACTCAAACCAAAAACTAAAAAATTAATTAAAAAAAACACTTTTTGCATTACCATTATTTTATTTAATATGGAACATGATCCAGTTACAGACTCACATCTATTGTCAGATAAGTCTAAGGAAACACAATATAGCATGTATGACGATGATGATGATATAGGTATTGATCTACCTCTCAAACCAAACATACTTCAAAATCGAAATTTTTTGGATATCGAGGATGAAGAAGCACGACTGTTTCCTAATGTTCAGAAAGTTAGATTTCAAATTGACGCCGAAAAGGATTCTGATCCATTAACGTTAAAGAGTTCTACAACGGAAAATGATTTTGATGATATACAAAGTGGATCGGGTGTATCTGATACGGATACTGTTACTCGAAATAAGAATAGAGAATCAGTAGAAGAACTGTTACAACATGCTAGTGAAGTTAATGATTATGTTGCCGAAAATATTGATAAACTAAAAGCATATCCAACCAACCATAGTGCAAGTAGTAGGAACCTACAGAGAATTCTCAGTGGAACAAATCCAAAAACTGAATCTTTATCGACATTTGATTTAAGTGATGTTGATACCGATGACGCATATGATCTAGATCATGTTAGTACTGGTTCAATTAGTCATTCAGGGGATAATAAGGAAAGAACCCCATTAGAGCAAGTCACTACGGCATCAGAGATTGAAGAAATCCTTTCGAACGATGGAAACTCTCAAGATAACGATGATATTGATAGTCGTTCGATGAGTAATCAATCAACGATAGATGATTCACCACCAATGGAGAGACAGGCATTTCAATTCGATCAACAAACGTGTATAAATAATGCCAGAGATTTCATTCATAGAAGGGAAGAAGCCAAACATGAAGAAGTATCTAATGAAGACGATGATTTAGTATTTGTGGAGATTAGTGTTGAAGAAGCCATGAATAATTTTGAAAGAGTAATTCAGTTAATGAGAGATCTTTCTCACAAATGGGACACTCAGGATTGTGAAATATCTGAAACAAATAAGAGACATTTTGATAATTTTATAATGAAAAACACACCATCTTTATCCTATCAAGATTTCATTAGTCGTGTTCAATCTAAATGTATGTTTGGATCCATTGTCTTTCAATCTGCTACATATTTACTTCAAGTACTTTTTATGAGAAAGGATTCTCCTGACCAAAAATATAAATTAAAGCACAGGTTACAAGACAATGAAATTCATCGAATAATAATTGCGTGTGTGCGTGTTGCAACAAAACTGATCGAAGATCAAGTGCATTCCCATCAATATTTTTGTAAAGTATGTGGTGTCACCAAGAAATTACTTACAAAATTAGAGGTTTCGCTGGTACTTTGTCTTAAGGATGACGATCTAGTTATTACGCGTAAAATGCTGGCAAAATCCGTTAGAGTCATCGACTATATGATAATGGATCTACAGACATAAACATACATGGAAAATCACAACATTTGACTCACTAAACATGTTCAATTACTCTCACATTCACCTTAACGTTTTCATTTTTATTTATTGCATTTTTTTTCAATATGTATTGTCATTTCCCCCACCCCCTCCCAAGCATGCATTACTACATCACAAGTACTTTGGTATTTCCTACATATATTAATTATTTACATACATATATTTTATATACATGTACAACAAGACAATCCATAAACAAAAATAGTCATAAATCTAATCATACTAAACAAAAAAATCGTTTACTCACTATCATATCTCTCTCTTTCCTCTAGCTGACATATCGGTGTTTACCATATTAGCTCGTTTGTTAAACCAAATATATGTGTGTTTGTGTGTACATCATCATACATTGCTATTATTATTACCCTCTTAAAACCACTTATCTGGTTTCGCACTGTTTCTCTGTCACTATACGAAAAACCCAAAAAAACTGAAAAAAAAACTGAAAAATTTTGTCGCTGCGAGAAAATTGAAAATTTGTTTTTCTTTCCCTTTCGCTGTGGACAGGTCGTCACAATATCAACATACTGCAAGGTTGAATCGATTTTCATTCTAGGAATTTTGATATATAAAACACTGGGGGAAGTAAGGTAAATAACAACAAATGTTTTTTGATTTTAGTTTTTGTAGGTGTGTGTATCCCTTACATGTTTGTTTCTTTAAAATAAAGAGGCTCTTTTTTTACTTTGCTTGTTAGATAAACCCTTTCTTCCTTTGTTCTATATTTAATTTTTGACAGTTTTTACTCTCAATAAAGTAAGGTATAATAATATAAATACACATTCACACACGAAAGTATGGCTGCTTGGGATATATTTGGCTGGTTCAGAGACGTCTTAGCTTCTCTAGGTTTATGGAACAAACATGGTAAATTACTGTTCCTTGGTCTAGATAATGCTGGTAAGACTACTTTACTACATATGTTGAAAAACGATAGATTAGCCACTTTACAACCAACATGGCATCCAACTTCCGAGGAATTAGCCATCGGTAATATCAAATTCACAACTTTTGATCTTGGTGGTCATATTCAAGCTCGTCGTCTATGGAAGGATTATTTCCCGGAAGTTAATGGTATTGTCTTCTTAGTCGATGCAGCTGATCCAGCAAGATTTGAAGAAGCTCGTGTAGAACTTGATGCTTTATTCAGTATTGCTGAATTAAAAGAAGTTCCATTCGTCATTTTAGGTAACAAGATTGATTCACCACAAGCTGTCGATGAAGCTGAATTACGTAATGCTCTAAACTTACAACATATTACTGGTGGTATGGGAGTTGATGGTGGAAGACCTGTCGAACTATTCATGTGTTCCGTTGTTATGAGAAATGGTTACGCGGAAGGTTTCCAATGGTTATCTCAATACATTTAATCGTTCTTCTTTATTTATGGAAATTAATACTTAAAAAATGGTAATATGAATACATATAATCTTCCTAATTTTTACTCATCATATCATGAAAAATTCTTTATATGATTTAAGTTTACTTTGGGTTAATAACATAAAAATAACAATAATAAATAAAGGTAATAATTTATTAAAATCATCATTTTAGGAAGAGTTCATTTCTAGGTATAATTTATATAATGTATGTATAAAATCTCACATAAGTTCAATTTAAACTTTTAGCATTATTATGGAAAGGAATTGAATGTTTTTTGTTCGCGTTTCTTAGAATGATGCAAAATTTAACATTTTGTATAATTTGTTCAAAAAAAAAAAAAAAAAATAAAAAAACACAAAAAAGTTACTCAAAATATTTTTAGAATTTATTTTACAACAATATATAATTTGATATATGATAACCAAGAACCTATCTTCTCTTACTACCTCTACTATCTTCAGTAGTACTACTTCTCTTTTTACCATTCTTAGCAAAATATTCTTTCTTCTTCTCTTTTTCCTTTTCTAATTTAGCTTCCTCTGTCTTAGCAAGTCTCTTTAATCTTTCCTTACGTTGATCAGCCTTTTTGGATTTTCTCTTCTCGTCCTTAGCTCTTGATATAGTCAACACCTTTTGCATAAATGCACGAGCTTTCTTTTCTTCACCGCCCATGACGACAGCCCTCTTAGCCATATATGTTTTCTTCTTTTGAGGTTTCATTTGATGAATTTGAGACTTAAATGGCAAATCCTTTTGAATAGCCTTTGGAATTTTCAAACCATTGAAATGTCTTTCAACACGTTCAACCTTCTTGTATGCACTATCTGGGTTAGTTGGAGTCTCAATATTTAGATCGGCCCTAATCTTACCGGTTAATCTTACACCCTTCCATTCTGTCTTCTTCTCCAAAAGTAAAGATGTCACAGGATTATAGAAACGTTTGATACGAACTGGATACCATGATCTTAATATAACAGTGTCACTCATTAAAACCTTATCTTCAAATGTAGCTCTGAAATGTCCATCAGGCTTAGATAATGCTCTTTTGATTTCACCTCTGATACCAGAAACAGTCTTAATTTGTGCACCTTCAAATCTAGCAACCTCCATAGCACTTGAAAACATATCTTTAATGAATGCTGTATTCTTGAAAATCTTGTAAGGATAACCAATTAACTTCAGTTTCTTAACAATTTCTGTATCAACATCTAATTCTTCAATAACACCAGTGGCAGCAATTCTGAAACCACCACCCGTATCACTGTTTGCTACGATTTGAACACCACAGAATGGTGTATTTGGAGAACATAATGGCCCATAGAAACTAGCATTACAAAAAGTATGCTCTGGGGTATATTTCAACATCCTTGTTCTTGTTCTAGAATCGGTAGTAGTATAGATTGGTAATGTTTGGAATCTTCTCCAACCAAGAGAAACAACCAATGGGTCATTGGTCTTTAGAATCTTCTTATGCCAACGATGTCTTCTTAATCTACCCTTGATAATACCGAATTTCAATTCAGTTGGTAATAACCCACCCATTATGATAGGGAATCTTGCATCAAAATTTTCAATGAATTCCATAGGAACATCGTCAAATACAATACGGACATATGAACCTGCTTTATAACCTTCAATTTTTTGGCGTTGTTCCGGAGTCATATCATCTAGTTCTGTCTTATTAATTTCCAATTGTTTTGCCATTTTAGCCTTTTGCAATTCGTACCATGTATCAAATTCATTATCTGGGTCATCTTCCTTGAAATTTTCACCTTCTTCAATTTCAAATTGTTTACGATATTTCTCTTTCTTAGCTGCATTTAGTTCACGCTCTTCATCCATGGTTAGATCCTTTTTCTCTTCTTTATCGAAGTTTGTGAAAGAATCATCTGACTGTTCTCCTTCATCATCTTCTACTTCGTCCTGATTTTCTTCTTCTTGATTTTCGTCCTCTAAGTCTTCAAAATCACCAAATACCTCATCTTCATTAGAATCGCCTTCAGCGTCCTCAGTTTTAGATTTCATAGAGGCACCAATAAATCTATCGTTAATTGAATCCAGAGATTTCCATTTTTCAACTAATTTTTCAATCTTTTCAAAATATGGAACAAATTTTTCTAAATCATTAAAAGTTTCCTTGTTTTGATCCATGACCCCGGTTTTTTTAGTGAAGAATTCTTGTTCATCCTTTTCAATATCGCTCTCTCCTTCATCATCACTTTCGTCTTCTTCATCTTCACCCTTCCATCTCTTAATACAATCCTCAGGTTCAATATTGTTCATATATATAAGTTTTCCAATATCCCATTTTCTACGACGCTTAGTTTTATTCGCTTGTAATTTATTGGCAACATCAGTTTCCCAATTGTCGTCATTATCACTTAGCTCAAATTCCGAATCAGTCTCTGCAGTATTGGTGCTTTTATTGTTGTCTCCAAAATCAATTTCCTCCATTCTTGGTTCGCTATCATCTTCCACATCTTCATTTTCATCGTCACTTGGAATAGCATCCAAGTCGATATCATCATCATCTTCTTGAATAGATTTACCATAAACCTTTGGTTTTCTCATATTAGCTCTACCTTTATTGCTACCTTCCACTTGTTCTTCTTCTTCGACGAACTCGTCTTCTTCAGGTTCAACGGAGTGTAATTCAGTACCATTACTAAATAATTGGATACCAACACCTTCAAAATTTTCTGCAATACTCTTTTCAGCTAGCTGCAAACTTGTAACTAATTTTTCACCTTCACCTCTCTCCTGACCTGGGACAAAACTTTCATCTTCATTTTTCTTACCAACATTGATATAAACTGCATCTTTATCCATAAGAATCCCTCCTACATCAGACATTGGAGCATAAATTAATTTATCTTTGTCATCCAATCTCTTACGTCGTTTTGGTGTTACTGACGTACTACCTTCTTCCTTCATCTTTTCTCTTTCATAATCGTCCAATTTTTGTTGATAACCTGGAGTTGGACAAGGGTCTGGTAATTTTTCCACTTGAGATATTGGGAAATCACCTACACCAGCAATATGAACTTTGGTACCAGAAATAGAAGGTAATGCAGTCCCATGTAAATAACCGTATAATGCAACTTTTCTATCAATTTGTTTCCCTTCTCTTTCAATCTTTTCTGGATGAGTTAAATCTGTAATTCTATCGGCTAATAAATAAGGATGTTCATTTCTCCATTTCAATGGTCTAAATTTCATAACTGAGATAAATCTACTCAAGTTTAATATTTCTCTGTCAGGGTATCTACCATTGATTACACCAGACAAATAGAATAACTTTGCACCTTGATACACTTCTGTCCAAAATCTATGCTTTAATCTCTTCTTAGAAGTTCTTAAAGTAGATTGAGATCTAAATAAATCTAAATGGGTAGTAACCCCCAGAACTCTAGGCATACCATGTGTTTGGGCGATGTTTAAAAATTCCATTGTCTCCATTTCAAAACCAAAATTACCATCAATTAATAGTAATACTAGATCAGCTATCTTAGCTACATCAACCATGGAGTTCAAATCATCAGCAGGACATTCAATAAACGTTAATCTTCTATGTTTACCTGAAACAACAGTGATGGGACCATTAATATCATTTAAAGTGGTCTTGGTCATTCTTCTAATTAATGATTTAATCAAAGTAGTCTTACCTGTACCTGGAGGTCCAACAACTGCAACGATCACTGGAGGTGGATCATCATCAGGAGTACGATCAACCATAGGAACGTGCAACTTTCTCTCGTTGACATCACTAGATCTTTGCATCTGTCTTGCCATCTTTCCAGGTGCCGAAACTGCAAAGGCCTTGGCATTATGACCTTGTGTATGCAGTTTCTTCTTGGCTGTGTTCTTTTCCTTCGTTTTACGATGGGCTTTATTACTCTGCTCCATTGTAACAAAGGTCTATAGTCTGTACCTGTCTTATTAAATAAATACAAACAATTCCAAAACCTGGAATTTCTTATTTTCAAACTGTTAAACGTTCTTCTTTTATCATCGTTAAAGATAGGTTAGTAGTCGAAATTACATTATTGGGTCAAGCTTGCTCATCGCAAACTGCCAGGCTCATCGCATAAAAATTTTCAATAGTACTCTTTTCATTTTTCCTCGCTCCAACACGGAATAATATCGCGTTGAACGATGTGGAGAATAGTTTTCAAAGCAAAAGTAATAGCGGCTAAAAACATTCAAACACCTAAAGATCAAAGTTAATAGGTTATAAGTTGAATAATCCATCTGCCAACACTGACAAAAACATATCAATCTTAATAATGACACTGAATCAGGGCAATATAAATGGATATCTAATAACTGACCTATCTAATTCACGTTAGTACACCTACTAGCTGTACCTGCCCTTTAAAATCGAGAAAATAACATCTACCGACTTAGAAATGACGTTATATTTTTAATCATTATAAAGACTATATTCAAGTTCTAACGGCGAAACACAGTCTACTAATCTACATATATATGCCTTTAAGAGAAATATATGATAAAATGGAATATTGCATAAACAGAAAATCATATGCCAACTCATCCATAAATTAACTATACCCATCGTTCACACAATAACGATACTTCAATACCAAAAATTTGACAAACTATTATGAATTGAATAAATACAATTGAACAATCAATATCTTTTTTATCTTTATCTGTCTCTCGATAGTATTGCACTAAATGACTCTGAATAGTCTGCCTCCTCATCTCTTATGCACTGTTAAAAGTTCTTGATGCCGCGCCACACACTGAAAAAACTCCAGCAGAATTGAAATTTTGAAAGAGAGAGAAAGAGAAAGAGAGAAATAGATACACAGATAGTGAGGGCGAGGGGTGAGGAGTAGGAGGTAGGGGAAGGGAAACAAGAAATAATCGAAGGTTAGTGGTTAATTGAACTATTAGCAAAATATTTTCAATAAAGGTACAATACTACAGTCCATATAATTGAACTTTGACATTGATTTAGTTTTGTTAAAACTGTGAAACAATAACATAGGTATTAGAAATCATTTTTTTATCGAGGTAGATTAACATAAAGTTCGTGAAAAGTTGAACGTAACAGTTAAGAAACGAATCGATATAAAAATGTTAAAGTCTGTCCTTCGCAATTCTGGCTCCAGTAATATTTCAAGGATATCCAGAACCAACATTCTTAAAAATGTTGGTGCTCATCCATTTGTATACTATTCCACAACGAGAAAGACTTCACCATTAGAACAAACAAAAAATATAAGTAGCAATGAATTTGAATTTAGTACTAAAGGTGCACCCATTGTGAGAGGTAAGAATTCTACTGCCACAGAATATACACTTCCGAAGTGGAAAGAAGCTCTAGGTGAATATGTAATCAAGACATTTGGACTGGACATGGATAAGATTAGAGCAGGTCCAGTTGCTGGATCATACTATTATTCCATCTGTAAAGAACAAGGTTTACAATATGAAAATGAACCACTCTCAGAATCTGCAAAATTCTTTTATGAAGAATTGAAACTACCAAGAACTTTCTCACAATGGTTTCAAATTACTGCTTTACACGAATGGATGTTATTCGTTAGAATGAGGGCCATGCCGTTTAAATACGGTAGAAATTACCAACAAAAACTTGTAGATAAAACTTTCAACGATATTGAAATGAGACTATTTGATGAGATGAATATCCATTCAGGTAGGATTGTTGATCAATATTCTAAAGATTTTAACTCCCAATTAAAAGGTGCTGTATTTGCTTACGACGTTGGGTTTTATACAGATGACGCCACATTAGCTACAGCTGTATGGAGAAATTTATTTGGTGGTAGAAAAAATATTGATTATTCTCACTTAGATGCAGTTGTAAAATATATCCGTTCCCAATTATATGTAATGAGTAGAATGTCTGACAGAGAATTCGCATTAGGTAAATTTAAGTTTGTTCCAGCTAAGGAGAAAATCAATAAATTAACATCTGCAGAAGAAAAAGAAATGAAGGAAAAAATTATAAAGAAATACGAAGAATTGGACAAGAGTGGATTACTGTTACCGAGTGATAGAAGTAACTTATCCTACGATAATTGAGCCCTTTTAACGTAATCACACTTCAATTCAATGAAAATACATCAAGTTGCTCATTAAACAGTCCAAGGAGCATTTTTCTTTTTTTTCTTTTAATCATTAATATCCAGTACATACACATACACATACACATACACTCTACTTATTTATTCTAAGCTCACAATGTAAATATCGATAGGCAAGATCATTTGTAACATAGTTATTATAATTTTTGTACAGTAGCGGACCATTTAGATGGTTCATTTTCATGAAATAGTTGATATAGATTGTCAATCAATTGTACATTGAAAGAACCGCTTCCTTCACAGGATAAAGATGCATTTTTACCAGCTGATTTATACAGTAAAACTGCAGATACTACAGCGTCAAAGACCGAACCTTCTGGACTTAGGCCACCAATCAAACTAGCAATGGTGGAACCCAAAGAACAACCACTTGCTGTGATATCACCCATGATTGGAATATTACCATTTTGAACAGTGTATACGATTAAAGAGTCAACAGAGGCACCATCGGTAGCTTTGGATATCTGGAATGCTCCACCAAATGTACCATCACATATATAATCAACTTCACCTGTACAAACTGCGATGGTTTTAAATTTAAAAGCAACAATTTTAGTAGCTTGTGCTAGTAGACTAGCATCATTTAAACTTGTATCCGCATCGACACCCCTCATACTACCACTGTTCAAACCAGAAAGGCCTAAGATTTCGCTTGAATTCCCTTTAATACAGGAAAATTGCCCGTAAGATAATAACGAGTCATTTAAGCTCTTTCTAGTTGTAGTAGCTGAGTATCCGACTGGGTCAAAAACTATAGGTCTTTGTGCTTCATTATAAGCATGGACGGCACTTTTGACCATCTCTATCGGAGCAACCGAACCCGTATTTAATAGAAGTGTCGCATTAGGGATACGGCATAATTCACCAACTTCAGATTCAATTTCAGACATGATTGGAGATGAACCAAGAGCTAATGTAACATTGGCACCAAAATTTTGATGAACCTTATTAGTGACGTGTTGAACTAATGGCCTATTTTGAGATACTTGCTCAATGACACTATGAATTGCATTTACATCAGGTGTAGCATTATTTCCTACTTTCAAATCGTTTCCAAATTTAAATATGTCATTATCGATCAAAGCACGTAAAATTCTAGTAGATCCGGCAGCATCAGTAGAAGCCATAATATCACTGACTAAGGAAATACCATCAAGAGATCTGTTACCATTTGTGGAGGTACATTGATACAAAACTCTTTGAATATTATCTGGATGCAACCCACCAATACCTACTGTTCTACACCAAGTAGCATTGCTTGCTTCCAAGGCATCCAAAATTTCAATAGCTCCCTGTGGGCCCATTGGTACCTTTTTGGCATTTTTTTTGGTTTGAGTTGGGAAAAGGGTACCAATACCGATATAGTCTACTAAGTGAGGGCCCCATTTAGCTAATTGTTCTACCTCAGAAACCTTTCCAACACTCCAGCCGATAATCATATCTGGGCCCACAAGGTCTCTAACCATTGGAATTGGCATGTCGTCTTGTCCGACATGAACACCGTCGGCTTTGATTGCCATAGCTACATCAATTCTATCATTAATGATCAATGGTACGTTGTATTTGGAACAAAGTTCCTTGACTTCTAAGGCTTCCTCAATGAAAAGTTTAGTGTCAGTTTCCTTTTCACGGATTTGTACTAAGGTAACACCATTCTGTAAACCAGCCTCAACTTGAGAACATAAGGTTGTTCCCTCTGGTAACATACCGGAGTCAGTCACCAGATATAAAGAGTAATCAACGTCTTCTTTAGCAAATACCATTATTTGTTTCTATATGTAAAAAAAATTGTAAGTATCAACCTTTCTAACTGTTTTTATCTAGATAAATCGATTTTTAAATAATAAGCAAGAATATAAATATCAAGAAAGGATATCCAAAAAATAAACCCAATTCATTTTGTAACTCTTATATACATCTTACATAAGCAATAATCTATGCAATTCAATGAAGACAGTTATCACTCCATACATTGTCGTCTTTCTAAGAGCAATTTCTCTTTAAGTGCATACAACTTCGCGATGTTTAACTAAATTTTTCATATCTTGTTGAAAGTGCGAATTTACATATTTTCAATTTTTATAGGAGCAATAGCGCAGGTGATGCTTTAATAGACAGTCTTGTAGTTAGGAACAGTTGATGATAAAGCAAATCGTATTATTGTCACTGGCTATAGTTAGAGAGGAGAATCTGAAATACATTATATTAACTATATTGCTGATAGATTATTTACCCTCTTTGGATGAACTATCTGAATTATTAACTTTATCAATATTAATAGCATAAACTCAAAAACAAAAAAATGAAATTTACACCAAGTGTGGTACTTGATGCGCCTAGTTACTATGTGGATTATTTCCATAAGAAGCAGAATGTAGATAAATGTACTATCCTAAGGGATCTCGATTTAGAGATTGATTCTGTTGTGATGCCTTCGTGTGTTGCGCTATTATCTAAACCAACACACATCTTAGACCTCACGAACAATAGTCTAATCGACTTTCCAGATCTACATGACAGAGCTGATATACATACGTTATTATTAGGACGAAATAGGATTAATGGTACCATCAACGGTAGGAGACTGCCGAAATATTTGAAAAATTTGGTTTTAGCGAGTAACGATATCAAAGAATTAAATGAATTGAATGGATTACAAAGTGCTCCGAAAACTCTTACTACCATATCCCTCCTGGGGAATGGAATATGTCACTTGGATGGTTATAGATCGTATGTTTTAACGATACTACCTAATCTACATAACCTTGATTTTACAAAAATTTCAGACCGGGAGAAAGCCAAGTTGAAGAAGAATCCAATTTTGATATTGAAGAATGATAAAAAGGCAAAACAAAGTAAATCGAAAAAATCTCAGGATAAATCCACTGAGATGATGAATTTTGTAGTAAATAAGATGACAGATAAGAGAAAACAAGAACTAAAGAAACAATTAGCTGCAGCTGTGTCCTTAGATGAAATCATTAAGATTGAAAAACAATTAGCCGGGGGAATATAGCAATCAACATTCAAATATTTGCATATATACAATTCCGTACTGTGTGAAAGAACACACTTCATTATTTAGCATAAACAATTAAAAAATTGTAATAGTAGTACAACAGACCATATCTGTAAATAATAACAATAATATACAAGTTATTACACACATATTTCAAAATATATGTATATAGTTATTTATTTATTTATTCCATCCCAAAATATTTAAGTTTGGGCATCTACAACGTCAGATGTAGACTCAACTATTGATTGATCCTCCTTAGGTTTGGATTCTTCTTTTTTGTCAGTAGTTTTTCCGTCGATTTTTTTTGGAGTTTCATTTGTTTCAAGTTCAGGAATACCTCTGGCAGTTAAAAATTCGAATATACTCTTTTGAACATTCTTACCCTTCTTATCTTCAGTTTCTTCTCCTTGAGCACCAGTAACTTTGTTAAAACTATCAATATAGGCAAAAAATGCATTAAAAACGTTTTCATCGACTTCTTCTTTGTAAATTTTATCATATATATGTTTCATCTTAAATGCATCAATTTCTTCTTGATATTTGGAGAAATCAATAGGAGTGTAACCAAATTTTTGTAATCTATCGTTGTAAGTCTCAAAAACTGGAGCCTCCAAAAGAAGACCAAGAGCTGGTGCCTTTGGAATATTAATCTTTTGTGGACCATAAGCTTGACTTATACGTTCTACTGGGGTACCACAACGTGCAATCAAAGCAGCCATAGAAATCATCTTACGGATTTGATGTAACATGAAAGATTGACCGTGGATCTTAATAGAGACCCATTCAGTCTTTGCATCACCAATGACAAATGGATCAGAAACTTTAATCTTTTTCATGAATCTAATTGCACTAGCATCTTTGAAATCCTTTCCTAAGGTAAAATTATGGAAATTATGAGCACCAATGTATTGTTTCATTGCAGAACGGAATTTTTCTAATTTTTCAGCAGAAATTCTGTATTTTCTACGATGAGCATATTCTAAAGCTTTATATTTCTTAACCATTTGATACACAGCTTCTGATTCTTGGAACTCGTCCTTTGGTGGTGGAGTATAATTTTGAATTTGTTCAATCTGTTCTTCAGTGAAATTTTCATTTACATCTTTCTTCAAATTTTCCCAAAATTCAATAGATTCAGCATCATCATCAAGAACACCAGGTAATTCTTTTCTACTTTCTTCAATATCATTATAAAGAATAGAGTTTGGTTTTGGACCAATCAAAGAGTAAGTAGGTAGCAAATATTCATACCAACGAGAACCACACATTTTTCTACAATCGAAGGCTTTGTTTACTCTGGTGATATCCCATACTCTAATACCTTCTGGTAGTGCTTTATTAATCTTCTCTTTAATATCCGGATCCTCAATAATCATCTTCAAAGAAATCAAGTTACCACCTGCATGAACACCTTTATCAGTTCTTGCAGCTCTCATAAACCCATTCTTCTTTAGATCATTCGAATTATCTTTAGAAATTGCACCCGCTTCAACAAATGCTTTGAATAAAGCATCTTCAATAGTTGGATGAGGGGGATTGTATTGCATACCATGGTATCCAGCACCACAATAACCAACCATAACAGCGACTTTACGTTTTGGTTTTCTTGGTTCCTTTGGTATTGGATTGCCATTTGAATCTAATTCAGGTGGTCTTCCAACACGTTGTTTTTTCTTTTCAGGTTCTTCACTTTCTTTTTCTTCTTTATTATTACCTTCTAGATCCTCCTTACGAGCTTGAGTTATCTTGTATTGTGGACCTCTCTTATAGGCATCATCAGACGGTTGATCATCGTATGTAGGTCTCAAATTATCTTCGGACATCTTAATTATTGTTGATGGTTTCAAAATTTGTAAAAAATTATTAAACGACTTATATCTTAACGAAAGTAAAGGACAAAATAACTGCGTGAATCGATCGGCTAAAGTTGTTTTCCAAGTGGGCTGTTTCAATTTTGATAATCTTCCCAAGTTGTGATAAAGTTTAAAAAACGGTATTTTTTAATGATTGGACAAAACAAAAAAATAGGTATACACACAGAACTAGCTAAATCAATTTAAAAATTCTGATGGATTGTAAATCAATTAACAAATATATTTACTCGAGACACCAAAGAAAAAAGAAATGGAACCTTTTCAAATATAGACTGCAAAAATAAACCTTGATCTAAGTTCTTCTCTGTAGTTTATTTTTACCGTCTCTTCTTTCCCAATACGAAGAAAGAAGCGATGAGCTGAAAATATTTCAAATCGCGGTGAGAAAAGTAACCAGCAAAAATCATTGAATACGAACAGGAGAAATTTTTCACAATTTAAAGAAAAACTGGACAGAAAATTTGAAATTGTTAGCGGGCAAAAAATGAAAAATTAATGAGTTGGAATGAGCTCGATGAGATGAGGCCTTACACATATGTAAAAGTAATATAAACAGAAGTTAATCTCAATAATTAACAATATTTAAGAATTTATTCTTTGCTTAAGGTGAAGGGCCGTCATACAAGTACACACAATATATATATATAATAGATATAAGCATAATGAGACAACTGACAGAAGAAGAAACCAGAGTTGTATTTGAGAAACTCGCAGCATACATTGGTAGAAATATTTCTTATCTTGTCGACAATAAAGAAAATCCACATGTGTTTAGATTACAAAAGGACAGAGTTTATTACGTACCAGAGAATGTTGCCAAACTAGCTACTAGTGTTGCCAGACCAAACCTTATGTCTGTTGGTATATGTTTAGGTAAATTTACAAAGACAGGGAAGTTTAGATTACATATTACATCTTTATCTATTCTAGCACAACATGCTAAATATAAGATTTGGATTAAACAAAATGGTGAAATGCCTTTCCTATATGGTAATCATGTCTTAAAGGCACATGTCGGTAAAATGTCTGATGATATCCCAGAACATGCAGGTGTCATTGTATTCTCTATGCATGATGCTCCACTTGGTTTTGGTGTTAGTGCTAAGAGTACTTCTGAAGCAAGAAATTTACAACCTACTGCCATTGTTGCATTTAGACAAGCTGATATTGGTGAGTATCTAAGAGATGAAGATACTTTGTTCACTTAGATAATTTTATCTAATTAAGATTTTTGTGTGTGTATTTTTTTTGAATCATAATAGTCATCGCATCCATCTATAATATATATATACATATATTATAGATATATAATTAGCCGGATTCACAAAGCATCTGTATATCCCATTGATAATAGATATTCTGTATATTAATATTTTTCATATTTCGTAACCCTTTTTTCTTCTTCTTTTTCTGAGAGAAACAAGAAGTTACAAGAACAGTTTCAAGGTTATGTGTGGCCTTGGCGTATATTTCTATTTTTTTATCATTTATTTCGTATACTACATAGTTTCGATTTAAATATATAATAATTTACAATATTTTCCTTACATGCAACTATTTATAATTATTTGCGACCCTTCTTAACCTTCTTTTTTGAACCAGTATTAGTATTCTTCTTTTGTTTCTTTGAAATATCTAATGCTTGTTCCGTTTGTTTGTTCATAGCACCACCTTGAGTTTGTTTAGCCAGTTGCTTCTTCTTTGGTCTATAAGTAGATCTATCTTTTAACGGTAACCATCTTTCTAGGTCAACTGATTTATTAGTTACATCATGTGTAGCTAAAAACTTTTGCAGTTTAGCTTGTTTTTTCTTTTCCTTCCTTGCAGCTAATTTTTTTTTCATCACCCTATTTATTGACCCAGCTGCAACAGTTTGCGATCTATTGGAGTTGTTACCCAATGGAGTAATACCAGATGATATCAATGCTGGAACATCTACAGATGCAACTAAGTTAGAGACACTCGCAAAATCAAATGAATCTTCATTATTTTCATTCAATATTTGTTGAATATTTTCATCCATCAAATGGTCCTTAAAATATTTTACATTTATCAATTGTTTAAAGATCTTTCTACCATCTGTTGATTTACTTAAGGTCAAATATTGGAATGCAATATGTTTCCAGAAATTTAATTTATTAATTGAGGATTTTGTAATTTTTGAAAAATCTTTAGAATTAAATAATTCATTGGTCTTCTTTAATAACAGTGATTTGGAGTGTGTTCTACCGACATGATTGTATAATTCAAATAGCACATAAACTATAGTAATAAGATCATCTGTTAATTCGTTGTTGGATGTTATAGATTTGTTGAAAAACAATTCACTTAATCTAATGGCGTTATCCCATTCATTTTCAACAGTAAGTAATTGGACGGTTAATAAGACTGCACCGATAGTGCTACCCTCTGTAGAACTGTTGACTGCTTTAGTAGCAAAATGGTATAGTTTTTTAGATTGTGTTTGATAAGGTTCCAAGTTTATATTGTCCACTATCTTAGTATAGTTATGTAATGTACGAGATAGGCGGGTTAAATGAGGTTGTACTGCCACATTATTGAATAATTTCAAAAACATTGCATTGGAATTTAATTTTGTCCATTGATCATGAGTAAATGATTGTATGTTCAGCCCATTTTGCTTTTCAATATTCAATTCTCTCATTAATAAATTGATATTATCCTTATACTTGGAGAAATCTTGAAAAGCAATTAAGTTATTCTTAGCAAGGATATGCATTTGAGAGCCTGATTCTAATCTTTTCAATAAATTATTTAGATATTCTTTGCTATCAGCAGTGTTACCTAGTAATTGATGAACATAAGATAACTGAAGTTCAATGGTATTGATATCATCCTGATAGTCACTAGCTTTGGCAATGTTATATGATTTTTCCAATAATCCTAAAGATTCCTTATATTTGTCTTGTGCAGCCAATACGATAGCTTCATTAAATAATATATCGTAGGAGTCTTCAGAAATTTCATTGATTAATGGATAGTTGATCATCATGTTTGGCTCAACAGTTAATGGAACCCTTTCGTTACATGCAAGTTCAGTAGTGTTATCAACTTCCGTGGAATTATGAGACGCTAGGTAATTATAGATACGGTATGATTCATCGTTTTGACCATTCTTATAACAAAATTGAGCTCTAACATGTAGAACACCTCTCAATTTTTCTATTTGACCCTCAGGTTTAGATAATAAAGTATCGATATCATCAGTAACGATAGAAGAATATAGTTTTTCAAACTTGGTCACATTATTTAACTTGTAATATATGTATAATTTTTCCATTTTCAATTGATTACCATATTTTGTATCAACAGCCTTATATTTATTCAAAACAGATAGAGCTTTGTTATACTTATCCTGTTGAATAAGTGCAATCAAACAGTATTTCAATGCCATACCGGGATTGGTACAGCCATTTTCTAACAATTGAATACTGGTCTCTTCAACTTGAGAATGCTCATTATGTGTGGATTGAACATTTAATTGAGACAGTAAGTCGGTCAATGAACCAGTTGCCATGTTTCAACGTGTATGGATGGATTTGTCAGTCTGCTTTGAAGGATTCAAGTTATAACAATTGTAGCGTACTTTTGAATATATAATTATATAGGTCTGTATCTATATATGCATTTCACTGTTGCTGTCTATGTGATATACCTGGAACAATTCAGTTCCATGTAAACGATGAAATTTTCTGGCAAAAGGTCGTGTTTAGAGAACAAAAAGAGGACACACTCGGCGAAAATAAAAAAAAATGGCAGAGGAGACAAAGTCGGTAGAGCAAAAGATGACATCGTTCAGTACGACTAGGTTAAACCCAAATTAGTTCAACTATTATTCTCATTAGACATATCCATCTTACGATCTGTCGAGGCACCACGTTTATAGGAATATTTGATTTCAATTATATTAGCTATAAATATATATATATATAGCCGAATTAGCTGTTGTGTTGAATATAGTTTCTGTCGGATCATGATATGTTGTCCCATCAGATGGCGATAATTAAAATGTTGCAATGACCCACTCTTGAGTCTTCTCCGGTTCGCAATCAGTTCGGTAGAGCTGCCCATGATGATTTATTTTTCTGTATCCATGGATGCTCTTTAATTGACCTTAACGATAATCTCTTCTTGGGATCCTGTACTAATATTCTTTTGATTAAATTTTTTGCTTGTTCAGAGACTTGTCTGTCATTGGGGAAAACTATGTTTCCTCTGACAATACGTTTATAAGTCATCTCTTTACTCTCTTCCTCAAATGGAGGTGCTCCTATTATCAATTCATATATTAAGATACCCAATGCCCAGACATCGACAGTTTCATCATATTCTCTAGATGTAATAATCTCTGGAGACAAATAATCTATCGTACCACAAAGTGTTTTTCTTTTAAGACCCTTCGGACTTATTATACTCCACCCGAAGTCAGTAAGTTTGACAATATTATTAAATCCTATCAGTATGTTCTCAGGCTTAATGTCTCTATGAATAATATGTTTTTGATGCATGTATGATAACCCATCTGCAATTTGGTAAACATAATAACTTGCCAATACCTCCGAGACTGGACCATTGTTCTGTAATAATTTATAAAGTTCACCATTTACAAGATACTCCATTAATAAATATACTCTTTTTTCATCATAAAAATATCCATAAAGTTTTGTTAAATTTTGATGATTTAAATTAGTTTGTATTTCAACTTCTCTACGAAATTGTTTTTGTAAGTTATATTGAATAATTTCAGTTTTATCCATAGCTTTGAGTGCACAAATAAATCCGGTCTTTTTATGACGAACACAATACACTTTACCAAATTTCCCTTTACCTAATTTTTTACCTATTTCAAAGTCGCCTAACGATAATTGTTTAATATTCTCCTGAACATGATTTATAATGTTATCGTTTCTCTTAGGAGATGGTATTTTTGATCCTCGACCTAATGTAATATTTCTTTTCCCTTTGTAATTGTTTCTTGGAGAAGGTATTAAAGTTTTCGTGTTTTTGTTTTGTAAAGGTGATCTTGTCATCCTCCAAGGCTTTCTTAAGTATGTTCCATCATCATCCATTATTAATATCCTGACAGTGTCCTATCTTCTTAATCTTTTATCAATATTTAAGACGAATCCTTAACCTTGTAATTCAATCACTCAAGTGAATGCCTATTTGTATTTATCTAGGTTAGATGTATAGTCATTTGTTTTGATTTGAATCAAATGTTATTTAGCGTTTTCGCTTCTTGTATTTTTTATCAACATATAAACAAAAAAATAAAATTGATAATAAATTAAAATTGAAAAATATCTACGTTTGTTCAAATGATATTATTAAAAGAATCTATAGCATCAAGATAATATACAATGTCAGAATTGAAGATTACAAATTTGTTGGAATGGGGGAGAGTACATAATTGCGAAATCCCCGATGGAATTTCTTTTAAATATGAACCTAGTCGAGGCATTTATTGTGTAACTAATGTTGATAATCTGAATCAACAGACAAATATAAAATTTGAGTTACCGAATGAATTAATTATTAGAGATAATTTATCAAAGGATATATTTGGACATTCGGGAACAAATTGGTTGAAATTTTTGTTCGCAAGATTAAAATTTGATACACAATCAACAGATGAGAAAATTATTTCTTTACAAAACCGATTCCAATATTATATTGCAGCTCTACCTACTGTGGTTGACTCTCCGTTAGTTTGGAATTCCGATGAATTAGATTTACTAGAGGGGACAAATTTGGGTAGTTCCATCACTGATAAATTCGAGACAATTTTCAAGGAATGGCAATCACTTATTGAAACACTTATTGTTGGCTCCGAAGAATACGTATTGTCAAAGACTGAAGAGTTATTAATGATCTCTTTTGATAATTATGATCATAAAGACATTTATGAGAATATAATTCAAGAAATTGTTAACAATAATAAAATTCAATGGTATTCTTTTGGTGCATATTTGTGGTCTCACTTAATATTTACCTCCCGAGCATTCCCAGAACGTATAATAAATCCAGATTGCGAAGAATCAAGTGTTATGCTATTACCTATTATTGATTTATTAAATCATGGTAACCATGTGAAAGTTGAATGGTCAACAAACTCAAAAGGCTCATTTTGTTATACAAATCTGGAGCAAAACATTCCTATTGGGGAAGAATTATTAAATAATTATGGAGCTAAGAGTAATGAGGAATTATTATATGGGTATGGTTTTACGTTGGATGATAATGAATTTGATTCTGTCATGTTAAGGATCCAGCTACCTCTTGATACTATAAATAATATTTTAGATAAGGAACCTACATTAAGATTACCACTTATTGATGACTATACAACATTTGCATTTGAAACAAAGACTGCGAAATCAAGCATACATGACACTTCACGTAGAATTTCTTCTGATTATAAAGATGGTATACTATTTTTATTGAACAAAACTAATACTAAAGCCTGTTTAGATCCAATTATTGATTTGTTTGGATTCCTAGTTTCTAGAACTGGAGGAGAAACTTTCAAAAGTAGTAGGGCCCAATTTGATGCTATACAATCTCTTAAAAATGCACTACATCAGAAATCTAGAAATATAGTTCAAGTGGAAAATAACGTAAATGAGCCTCAAGAGCATACTGTTAGTGATTACCGTAGAAGATGTGCTACTATATATAAGGATGGACAAATTGATGTTTTAAAGAAATCATTGCAGGAATTGAAAAAAATTGAGAAAAATATGTTTAGTGAAAACAAGAATTCGTTATTGACAACGGCAAAAGTTTTAAAATATGACGAATCCTTTTCTGATGAAATCACCAAAGTATTTTGTCAAGATGAAACACATCGAGATATAAATTTTGATACTAATTTCGAAATATTCGTACTATGGCTGGTTTGCAAGGTACATTTTAAATCTATCCCAAAAAGGTACGGATGGGTTCTTGATCAGTTTAACAGTTTCAAATCTAATTATGGAGAATCTGATATCTCTGAAGGTGCTGTTGAACTTTACACTGAATTATTTAGTGAGGGTGAAGATTCTGAAAGTCGTTTAATACCTTTCAATACAGAGACTAAACAAATCACATTACAAGAATTGTCTATTGCATATGATTTTATTGAATATTACTCCTTTGCAAGACTTTCAATGTCTGGTGACGCACCAGATACTATTCTTGTAAAAGTATAAACTTAGAAATAACTCCGGTAAGTGCATTGTTACATAATTTCCTTTAAAATAAATTTATAGAATCAATAAAAAATAAAGCATTATTATAAAGATGATTATCAAAGCATGTTTCAACCTTACAGAGACATTGAAACGTTAATTAAAAGTATATAATTTAAACTTCTTTATTCCATATCTTTGTTCTAAATAGATGCACAAAAAAGAAAAGAAAAGAAGCCTTAATAAATTTACAGAATTTTCGAGCGACAAATAGAAAGAAAGGTGAAAAAATAGAAAAAATATTTAAATATCAATTAGTAAGACAAAGCCGATACTCATCGCAATTACTTTTTTTTTTTTCAGTAGCATCTCAAATTCTAAATACTCTTAAAGCAAAATTAACTCTTGAGTACTGTTCTATTTGAATATAGAATCCCTTATTTCTATTGAAACTGTCGTTTTTGACTATTTGTAAAAAGGTAAAACATTCAAGTGTTTTCTATTGAAATCGAATTAACCGCAAAATGGATTTGAAATCAAAGGTATATGTTACACTAGGTCTAACATCACCAATATTTTTATATTTTGGAGGTAGACTCTCTATCCTGGTTGTTCTATGGACCTCTGTAATTTTATTTGGAAAGGAGATATTCGGGAAGGATAACGAGGCCACTGGGGAACCACACAAATGTAAATGTTCAGGTAAGAACGCTAATGGTGAAACACATGAACATAATCATGAGAAAGAAGACTGTTGTGGTGGAAAAGGTACTGGAGTGAATGGTAAACCATGTTGTGGTAAAGGTGGTAAGAGTACTACTACTTCCCAACTTCCTACATTTAAGAAAGAGCTATTAAAATCTCAAGATGAACAGAAAGCAAAGATTAAATGTTGTGGCGGTAAAGGACATGATGTAAAGAAACATGGTGAAGTCTGCTGTGGTGGTAAAGGACATGCTGAAGAAAAGAAAATTGAACCTCTAGAAGAAAAGAAATCAAAGACTAAATGTTGTGGCGGTAAGGGGCATGATGTTGAAAAACATGGTAAAGTCTGTTGTGGTGGTAAAGGACATGGTAATGAAAAAGAAGAAGTTGTACCAATTCCGGAACCTGTTACCGAGAAACAAGAAACTAAATGTTGTGGTGGTAAAGGTCATGATGTAAAGAAAAATGGTAAGGTTTGTTGTGGTGGTAAAGGTCATCGTAATGAAAAGAAAACTGATCCAATAGAAGAAAAAAATACAAACAATTGGGATTCGTTAACTGTTGATTTCACTGAAGCATTTAAATCTACTACTGGTAAGACCACTAAAAAATCAGTAAAAGTATTCACTAAAAAAGGTATGACTGAAGTCAAAGCTACGCAGAGTGAAGAAAGTTCCGATGGTTTAATTAAGAGTGCATTTACTGTGTCGAATGTTGAATTACTAGATTCAGATATTTATGTATTCTATAGTTCTCTGCAAGGTTCTTCTTCGAAAGCTGGTTCTATTGTTCAAGAGAAATTAAAAGAAATATCTGGTCTTCAAAAGCAACCGATTTTGTTAAATTTGGATGAAATTGATGATCTTGACGAATATTTTGTTAATGTTCCAAGTGAAAAGGCTATATATGTCCTTGTTGTTCCATCTTATGATGTCGATTGTCCATTAGATTATTTCATTCAAACTTTAGAAGAAAACTTCAATGATCACAGGTTGGATAAATTTCCATTAAGAAAATTAGTTGGTTATACTGTTTTGGGTCTTGGTGATTCTGAATCATGGCCTGATAAATTTTGTTATCAAGCCACCAAAGTCGATTATTGGATTTCTCACTTAGGTGGTAGAAGAATCTTCCCTGTTGGTAAAGTATGCATGAAATATGATGGTAATGATAAGGTTATTGAATGGGCAACTTTATTAGGTGATTTATTAAAGGATAATGAACCAATCTTGTACGAGTACGACGAAACTGTAGATAATTCAGATGATGACTATGATGATGACAATGGAGACTCTGATGGTTCCAATGGTAATGATGATGGTTCGGAAAAAGATATTGACCTTGAAGATGTTGGTGGTAAAGACGATAATAGAATAAATGAAAATTATTTAGAGATTAAACAGATGATTGCTAAGGATAGTCCTACATATAAGAATTTGACTAAACAAGGTTACAAGATTGTTGGTTCTCATTCTGGTGTGAAAATATGTAGATGGACTAAAAATGAATTACGTGGTAAAGGTTCTTGTTACAAAAAGTCTCTATTTAATATTGCTTCTAGCAGATGTATGGAATTAACTCCATCTTTAGCATGTTCCTCTAAATGTGTCTTTTGTTGGAGACATGGTACAAATCCAGTGTCTAAGAATTGGAGATGGGAAACCGATGAACCTGAATTTATTCTTGAAAATGCTTTAGCGGCTCATTATTCCATGATTAAACAAATGAGAGGTGTTCCTGGTGTTATTGCTGAAAGATTCATCAATGCCTTCAAAGTAGCACATTGTGCATTATCGTTAGTTGGTGAACCTATCCTTTATCCATATATTACTAAATTTATTGAATTATTACATGAAAGGGAAATCACGAGTTTCTTGGTATGTAATGCTCAACATCCAGAATCCCTAAGAACAATTGGTAAAGTTACCCAGTTATATGTATCTATCGATGCATCTACTAAAGAAGAATTGAAAAAAGTGGATCGTCCATTATACAAGGATTTCTGGGAAAGAATGATGGAATGTTTGGATATTTTACGTACTGTCCAATCTCATCAACGTACTGTATTTAGATTAACTTTAGTGAAGGGTTTCAATATGGGAGAAATTTCGTCATATGCAGATTTAGTACAACGTGGTCAACCATGTTTCATTGAAGTGAAAGGTGCAACGTTCAGTGGATCTTCAAAGGATAATGTGAACTCTTTAACAATGCAAAATATTCCATATATTGAAGAATGTAAAGCATTTGTTGAAAGATTTGTTGGTGAATTACAAAGACGTGGTTTAGATTATGAAATTTCTGCAGAACATGCACATTCAAATTGTGTATTAATTGCACATCGTAAATTTAAAATTAATAATAAATGGCACACACATATTGATTTTGAAAAGTTTTTCAAATTATTAGCAAAGGGTGAACCATTTACATACATGGATTATTTAAAGGAGACGCCTGAATGGGCATTATATGGTAATGGTGGCTTTGCACCAGGGAACGTTAGAGTACACAGAAATGAAAAGAAGAAGAAGAACGATAATGGTGACAATAGAGTTAATCCTGAAGATCTACCTGCATTACCTGTAATGTAAACAAAGAATCGAAATTTTCATATTTTGTCTGTGTAAGATAGTCTATATATATATATATATATATATTTATTTATTTATTTATTTGTTGGCACATATTATCTATTGCGATGATATAGTATTGAAAGAAAGAAAGAAAGAAAAAATTGTACATATTATAAATTGAAATTGAAATAGAATAAAATAAAAATATATTATAAATAGGATTTTACTAAAATTACATGAAATGAATTGCTTTCAATACAGTATAAGTCATTTTTGAAATTGAATAGCCAAATAAAATTGGAGTATGAGCCCAACCTGAATGTAATATTTGGTCAATAACATCATAAATGATACAAAATGAATAAAATCTAATACCTTCACGTGAAGTTAATTGTGGAATATTGAATGGTTTTTTAGCAATGATTTTATCTTTCAATAACTGAATATATGCAGTTGTTGTTATTGGATCATCTGTTATAATGCCATAAATTGGTAAACCGATTAAATAATCCATATCAATTTGTTTATTAACAGTCCAGAGAAATACATGAATATTAAATTTTTGAATTAATGGCACTAAATGATCTCTAAATTTTTTTGTCCATGATGAAACATATAATAAAGAAATACCATATAAAGCATAATCTGGATCATTTAATTCAGCTGAAAATTTGATAAATTTTTCTGCAACATCTAATGACATTGTAATCACAATAATATCAAAATTTTTTAATAAAGCTGTTGTTATACCATATTGATACCAATCTAATGACCAAACACCCCAAATAATTCTCTTTTGCCAATAATTAATATTATTATTTAATTTTAACATTGATGAATGAATTTTATTAATTAAAATTTTATCATTATCAAATTTAATATCTAACATTAATTTACAATTTGGATGATCAATTGCCCAATTTAATAAATCATCGATTGTCATAAATTTTTCTTGTGATAAATATTTATGTTGTAAATTTAATAAATTTTCAAAATTTTCATTTGCAATTATATAATCATTATTCCACATTCTACCTGTTGTACTATCATGATTAACAATAACAATACCATCTTTTGTCATTTGTAAATCAGTTTCTAAAATTGGTACACCTGCTTCATAAGCTTTATTAAATGCTTCAAGAGTATTTTCAGGATATTTACCAGCAAATGCTCTATGACCTACAATTTCAACCATAACTTAAGGATTAGTAAATTCTTTGGACCCTTTTGGGCTTGTTTGTTTTTTAACGAATGTAATAAAATGATGCTGTATATATCTCTATATACAGCAAAATATCAGATAATAAATAGTAAAATTATATTACAAGTTGTGTGACACAGTAGAATAAATATTTGAAGAGTTCTGAGTTCTGTGTATTTTTGATAAGTTATTTATATACTATTCAATTAATAACTTGTTAAATAAACAAAACAAAAAAAATTAACTCCAAAAAAAAAGAAAAACGTGGTAAGATATAGGGATGTTATAAAATAAGTACCAAGAGAACAAAACATTCCTTTCAATAATATGTTACAGATGAATCAGTTAAACTGCATTGTTCTAATTCATTCTCTCCGAACCATTCAATAACAATCCGTAATATATCACCTAATAATGCTAATAATTGTTCTATTGTAGTTTGGATATTCCTTTCACACTGCTGTCTTACCACGATATAAAATAACTAACTCTGTATGGGTATACCTTTCTTTATACTGTTAGCTGAGGCTTATTTTCTCTGCCCCATCCATCACCTATATAACAATAAACCTGTAAATTTATCAAAAATCCCAAAATTTCAATTTATTTCTCGCTCATCGCTGAATTTGTGTGTGGGAGAGACAAAAGCGAACGTTTCCTTTTGTCCCTTTTGGGTAAATTTATCCGCTTTTACCCTCTGTGTCTCTCGCCATTTTCTGTTGCTGTGCGGGTGGAGAGACGGGCTGTTCTGTTCTATATAGTGCTCGGTATGGCACGTGTCCTTTTTTAGTGTGAGGGTGTGTGGGTGCACATATGCTATCGGTTGGTTATGGGTGTGGGCAGCAACGACTACAAGCATTAAGCAGTTCGAGTTCCCCCGTCAGCGGCTATTTTCGTTGTCTTGTGGGGGGGATTAGAGAGGTAACTGTGTTACCCTGCCACGTTGTTTGAACTTACAAGAGGGTAACGCCCAGGCAAATTTTTTTTCGGTTTGTTCGGCCGCGTTCTGTCCGTGGAATTCAGAGTGAACCAAACAACAAGATGAATATTGCGTGTGTGTGTGAGAGAAAGGGAAGGGTGCGCGATTGAGTCGTCGATAGAAAGGAAAGAAAAAAACTGACTGGATATTTTTTTTTTATTTATTTATTTCGTGGGGGGGACAGCAAGAGGAGGAAACTTTTTGAAGGTTTTGAAAAACAGAGAGAGAGAGAGAGAGAGAGAGATACAACAACCGTAAAATAAGAAGGGAAAGAAGGTTGTGCATACACTATTTTTTTATTTATTTAGCTATTTTGTTTAGATTGATTCACTGTAATAATTTTATCATACATATATATAGAATTGTTTCTTTGGAATATATTGATTTTTTATAAATAACAGTACTATTTTTATTTACACGTTAAATCATATTTGTATACGCCATCAGATTAATAATAAGACTAAGAAGATGGATTTACGTGTTGGTAGAAAATTTCGTATTGGAAGAAAAATTGGTAGTGGTTCCTTTGGTGAAATTTATCATGGTACCAATTTAATTAGTGGTGAAGAAGTCGCAATTAAATTAGAATCAATTAGATCAAGACATCCTCAATTAGAATATGAATCTCGTGTTTATAGATATTTAAGCGGTGGGGTTGGTTTACCATTCATTAGATGGTTTGGTCGTGAAGGCGAATACAATGCAATGGTTATAGATTTATTAGGTCCATCATTAGAAGATCTATTTAACTATTGTTATAGAAAATTTTCGTTTAAGACTGTAATTATGTTAGCATTACAAATGATTTGTAGAATCCAATATATTCATGGTAGATCATTTATTCATAGAGATATTAAACCGGATAATTTTTTAATGGGTACAGGTAGACGTGGTAGTACAGTTCATGTAATTGATTTTGGTTTATCAAAAAAATATAGAGATTTTAATACACATCGTCATATTCCATATAGAGAAAATAAATCTTTAACAGGTACAGCACGTTATGCAAGTATTAATACACATCTAGGTATTGAACAATGTAGAAGAGATGATTTAGAATCATTAGGCTATATTTTTGTTTATTTTTGTAAAGGTTCTTTACCATGGCAAGGTTTAAAAGCAACAACAAAGAAACAAAAATATGATAGAATTTTAGAGAAAAAATTAAGTATTAGTACAGAAGTTTTATGTGAAGGTTTACCAATGGAATTTAAAGAATATTTGGATTATTGTAAAAATTTAAAATTCGATGAAAGACCAGATTATTTATTTTTGGCAAAATTGTTTAAGGATTTAAGTATTAAATTGGAATATCATAATGATCATTTATTTGATTGGACAATGTTACGTTACACTAAAGCAATTATCGAAAAGCAATCTTCTGATATTTTAACAATTAAAGAAAATGGTGAAAATGGTAGTAATAATAATAATAATAATAAAGCTGAAGTATTTAATAAGATTAAACAATTAACATTGAAAAAATTTTCTTCACATTTTCATTATTATCGTAGTAATGATAAACACACTCCAACTCCAGATGAAATTAAAGTACAAACGAATGAAAATAATAATATTGTTCCTTCTTTACCTCAACAATTACTATCAGTAATAGATAAATCTTTAGAAAATATTAACGCTACAGATTCTACAAAACAAGAGCAGCAGCAGCAGCAACAGCAACAACAACAGCAGCAGCAGCAACCGCAACCCTTGCTAGATCAACAACGTCAACAAGTAAATCTTCAAGCACCTCCACAACAGAATATACAACAACGTTCGGGATCTACTTATTATCCACCAACTAATAGTAATCCTCAACAGCAGCAGCAGCAGCAGCAGCAGCAGCAGAGTAATAATAACATATGGTTGTAGATTACGATAAACTACAGTATATATATATATATATATGTCGGTTTGAATGTGTGTGTCCATCACCTTCACTCTTCATCATAAATTTACGTAAACATATATTATTATTAATTAATTAATTAATCATAGAATTCAATTGTCCCATCTGAACAGGTTTGTACGCTGTTTAGGGGGAGAGAAGCCACTTTCACAATTATTTTTTTAGTTTTTTTAATTTTTCACCGGAAGAAGGAGTTAACTTCGCTGATATCATCATAATAATAGGGAAACAAGAAAAACAATGAAATAATTCAGAATTAGGGATAGTCAACTGCAAACAGTCTATTTTATTCTATTTTTTTGAACAATGAGGATAGTTATTAAAAACAAATTATTATTTTACTATATTGTTTAAAGATTTGAGGTAAAACAGCTGGTTACTAATCAGTTTATTAAAAAAAAACCCTGATATTAATTGATCGGATATATTTAACGAAAGGTTAACGGTAATACTTAATCATTTATTCTCTATTTATATCTGCATACAATAAATTTACATATAGCAAAATTTGAGATATGCAACACGAAGTACCTTCTGCGATGCAAGTTGAGGTTCCACAACAATTGCAATCTGACCAATTACAACAACATGCACAACAATTGCAATCTACACATGCGACCCTCGAACAGCAATCGTTATTACCGCAACGGTCAACTATTTCAAAGGGAAAATATTCTCTTCATGATTTTCAAATAATGAGAACATTAGGTACAGGATCCTTCGGCAGAGTACACTTAGTAAGATCTGTACATAATGGACGTTATTATGCTATTAAAGTATTGAAAAAAGCACAAGTTGTACGTATGAAACAAATTGAGCATACAAATGATGAAAGAAGAATGTTAAAATTAGTAGAACATCCATTTTTAATTAGAATGTGGGGGACTTTCCAAGATTCAATGAATTTATTTATGGTAATGGATTATATTGAAGGTGGTGAATTATTCTCATTGTTAAGAAAATCTCAAAGGTTTCCAAACCCTGTAGCAAAATTTTACGCTGCTGAAGTGACTTTGGCACTAGAATATTTACATTTTCATAATATTATTTATAGGGATTTGAAACCAGAAAATATTTTATTGGATAGGAATGGTCATATTAAAATTACAGATTTTGGATTTGCTAAAGAAGTCGAAACTGTCACATGGACCCTGTGTGGTACTCCTGATTATATTGCTCCCGAGGTGATTGCAACAAAACCATATAATAAATCAGTAGATTGGTGGTCTCTCGGGATTTTAATCTTTGAAATGTTAGCAGGGTATACGCCTTTTTATGATTCTACACCAATGAAAACATATGAAAAGATTTTACATGGTAATGTTGTCTATCCATCATTTTTCCATCCAGATGTTGTAGATCTATTATCTAAATTGATCACTGCAGATCTAACAAGAAGAATTGGTAATTTACAAAGTGGATCTGAAGATATTAAATCTCATCCATGGTTTAGTGAAGTCGTATGGGAAAAACTATTAAATAAAGATATTGAAACGCCTTATGAACCACCTATTACTTCTGGTGTTGGTGATACTTCCTTATTTGACCAATATCCAGAAGATAATTTAGATTATGGTATTCAAGCTGAAGATCCATATGGAGAATACTTTACAGATTTTTAATGTTGAGAAATATTATTACAAAATTTTAAAAACTCGAAGATCTTAATGTATTTAATTTTTTCCTTTCTTTCATCATCAATCTTCCTTCTATATGTTTTTTTATGCCATCTTATGGAAGATCGTAAGGATTTATTATAATTATAACATCCATATATTCCTATCTAATGATATATGTAACGCAATTAAGAAGATATATACACATATATATTAATATATCTTTTTCAACAAACATTTCAGATTATATTTTGCATTACATGTAATTTATTGTTGAAAAGAGTGTCATCCTTGTGAATAGAGGGTGTTCAAATAACAGTCGAAAATATGCTATCCATAGAAAATAATCATATCAGTATACCTATCTTTTATTAAGATTATATAAATACGTTAAAAAAAAAAATAAATAAATAATATTATCACTCATCACTCTTAATCAGTTTACATCAAAGAATCAAACATAAATTGATTATTTGGGTCATTTGGTAGAGTCTTTAATTGACTTTGATGATCCTTGGGAGTCACATCCATTCCATAATTCAAATTTAAATTTAAATCATCCTTTGTTACAAAATCCATATAAGAGAGATCTGTAGGTTCCATAAGGGTATCCAAAGTTGTCGCAGTAGTAGACTCAGGACCATTTTCTGTAAAAGCGTCAATTCCATTATCAGAGGAGTTTAAAATCATGTTCAAATCTTGGTCAGTGAAATCCTGTGATAGTGGATTGAAATCTATTGAATAATTCAATAAGTTGTCATTAGAAGGTGTGGTGATAATTTTGTTGAAATTGAACTCATCTAATGAAGCCGTTTGTTGCTGCTTGAGTGATGGTTTTGTGGTTGTTTGTTTCTTAAATTGAGGCACACTCTTCTTTGTAGCAAACATGTTTGTGAAATCAATTTCATCCAAGTTTGTGATGTTACCAGGTGGTGTTACAGTCTTGGAATTTATTATGTTAATGTTTGGATTGTTTAAATCTAAGAAATTAGATATGCTATCATATTTCATATTTCCATTCATATTATTTAATGTAGTACTACTATTATTACAAGTATTAGCTGCAGTAGTAGCTACAGAATTTCCATTATTAATATTTGTCTTCTTGGTGACTTTTTTTGTACCTGATATTTTTGGTTCTGGAATAACAACATCAAACCAATTAACTTCACTGGTTAAACCACAATCACATGAGATGACTTTAGGTAAAATTGGTAATTTAAATTTAGTCTTATATTCTAATTCTTCAAATTCTTTAATTGTGTCAGTATCATTTTGAGCAATTAAATGATTCTTGAATTTTTTATATTCATCAGAATCTGGATTGAATACACATTGGTGTGAATGAGTATTATTTACAATCACGATATTCCATTTCTTCAACTTTAAAGAATATGATGCCCTTATACGGAATGGACAATTTGTTGTGATTATAGGAGTTCTACGGTTTTCAGTTGTAGTTGTATCGTTATTTTCGATGTTATTGGTATCTAACTCATTTGTTGGACGCGTTACAGCTTTACATTTAAAGATTATCTTACTTTTATCAGATCTTTCAATCACCAAATCAATACCTTGAGGAAAGAAGATTTTTTGTAACCATGGTTTAATTTCAGATTTATCATTAAATATTGGTACCGGCTCCAAATGAATTAATTTATTAGAATCATGATTTAAGAAATTTGATAATTTATCAGGTGTTGTAAATAATTTTTCTCTCTTTATGCGTGGTTTTGGTGGATTCTTACATTTTTTAGTATCTTCCTTTATATTTTGCTCCTTTTGTATTGGTTCAATTTTTGTCATATTTTGTGATAATTCTGTCCTGCTAAATCTACGATCCTGATGAGAAGTAGAAGGAGTATTATGTAAAACACTCGTTACGAAATCGTAAGGAATGTTAGAACCTATTTCTATCATATTTGTTGTTGTTGTTGTTGTGACTAACTATCGAAAAATTGGGTAGTTTTAAATTTTCTTCTTTTTATTTTTTTTTGCCTCCAATTCAAAATGAATGAGCAAAATAACGATTGTTTATAAATTGATTGACAATTATGTGTACGGATAGTTATGGTGTGTTTTCTAAAAGCCAGAGAAATAAGATAAACGGTATGAGTAGTAAACAAGATAGAATAATTTTCTTTTTATATAACGACCTCTTAAAGCTGACGTAGTTCTCAACCATCATTCATTACCTATGGTCTTAACAGTTAAAACCTGTCAATAGTTGAAATTCACGTAAAAAAAAAATAAAAAGAAAAAGAAAGAAACAGGATGCGTATACAAGGCTATACTATCATTGCAGAGATGCTAAAAGTGTTTTACTTGCCTTTGAAACTGAAAGAACGAGAGAGAGAGAACCACGCTGCAAAATATAATTTACGGATGAGTAAGCAGTAAATTAATTTTGTTCTTGTAATTCGCACAGAAAAGGTCGTGGACAGGAAGTGAAAAAAAAGCAGTTTATTTCTTTTTGTTGCTGTACGGTCGTTTCTTTGACAAATGTAGATCTCCTTGTTATTAATTTATAATAAGGACTTTTAGATTCAGTTAAATAAGTGTTATATACATTGAGAAGGATTTAAAGATGAATGATTAAATATAATAATATATACGTATTTATATTTTTTGCTGAATAATACTCAAATTATAGCTAAGACCTTTCCCGAAAATCGGAATTATGCATTTGTTTTAAAATTAACCGTTGACTATCAAAATAATATCAAAAGGACGTGAAAAATGAATATATTATTGATAAAATAGAAAGTATGCAGATTGAAATATTGATATAATATTACTTGGAGGCGGTATGTGTGTATTTTATAGTTGTTGTTTTTTATTGTTATGACATTATGACGAATGTGTCAATTATCATGGGGTTAGAATGATATAATGTAATAGTGTTATCATCTGGATTATAATGAGCATGATGAATATCTCTTGCATTATTACTGTTGTTATTCGTTGGCAATTGTTCAGATGTTGATGACAGTAAATTACTTTGTAAATCATTATAACTATCTAAAACATATTGTTCAGTATGTTGAAACCAATTAAGTATTGACAATGATAAACTATAAAGATTTTTTTCAATTAAAATCAGTTTTTTTAAATCATTTGAATATAATGTTATTGTTGATTTTGAATTTTTAGTTAAAATAACTTTAAAATCAATATATTCTTCAATAATTGTATTAATTGTAATAATTCTTTGATTTGTCTCTGTTGTAAAACGATGTAAATCTGTTATTAGCATTTTATCTAAAGTTTCCCCATCTCTTAATATTGATGATAAATCGAATTTTCTAATATCGTAATGATTTAAATCTAAAATATTATTAATTTGCCAAATACAATTATTATTATTTGAAATTAATAATTGTGGGAAATTAATAAAATAATTAAATTTTTCATTAATTAATTCAATTGGAATCTCTAAAGAATGGAAACAATCTTGATTTAAATTATAAATGATAAAATTTTTATCTGTAACAATTGGTAAATAATTTGGTAAAAATTCAATAAAAATTTTATAAATTGAATTTCCAATATTTTTAGAAATATTAAACGAAGTACAATTTTCATTAATTAATTTAAAATTTATTAAATTATATGACATTATTATAATTGAATTGTCTTTTAAAATTAATGTAATAAATAATTGTGAATTACTTCTTTGAACCCAACCATAAAGATCGATAATTGGTGATAAAAGTTTAAAACTTTGTTTAATATCATTAATTAAGTCAATCGAATGAATCAAAGTATTATTATTATTATCCATTGTAACAATTTTAATTGGTTGTAACCATTCTAAATCATAAATTAATGTTGTTGAATTATTACACTGTTTAAAACGTAAATTTTTACAATTTAAGTTTGGTATTATTAAATTTTGTTTTGGTTCAATTTTATAAGTTTCATTATAATTATTTGATAAATCTTGATTATTACTAATATAATCATTTGAAGTAACAATTCTATTTGTATTTGATGATGCTAATAATAACCAATCATATAATTTTTGTCTTGCATAATCATCTATTGGTTTCAATTTTGAATATTTTTCATGTTCAAGAACAGTAAACTGTTCACTTGTATATAGATCTAAAGGTATACCCATTGTACTGTAAATATGTATGTATGTATGTACTTTATTATAAATATAAATCAAGAACTTTTTCAACTTTTAAATATAGAAAACTCCGCAAGTTAAGCCACATACCAGTATATACATATATATATATATATATATATATATATATATATATATAT